GCGGGCGATGCGGGTGTTTTTGCGGTGTTTGCGTTTGGCGGCGGGCGGCCGTTTTAGCGGCGGTTTGCGGTGGGCGGCCGTTTTTTGCGGCGTTTTGCGGTTTGCGGCGGGCGGTCGTTTTTTGCGGCGTTTTCCGGTTTGCGGCGGGCGGCCGTTTTTTGCGGCGTTTTTTTGTGGTTTGCGGCGGGCGGCCGTTTTTGCGGCGTTTTGCGGTTGCCGGCGGCCGGGCGTTATTTGCGTTGTTGCGTTTTGCGGCGGGCGGCCGTTTTTGCGGCGTTTCGCCGTTGGCGGCGGGCGATGCGGGTGTTTTTTGTGGCGGCGGTGTTTGCTTTTTTTGCGGTGTTTGCGTTTTGCGGCGGACGGGCGTTTTTTGCGGCGTTTTTTTGCGTTTTTCTGCGGTTTTCGGCGGGCGGGCGATTGTTTTTTTGCGAAGATTGCGTTTGCGTTTTGGGCGTGCGTTTTGCGGTGTTTGCGTTTGGCGGCGGGCGGGCGGTTTTTCACAATTAAAGTCCCAACCTTCGGATCCGCAGAGCTGTTCGACAAGCGCTGCCCGGGCCTTATATTTCTTGCCATTTTCAGCGTTTGGTCCCGTGTGGGGGAGCTACCGGCTGGCAAAGTTACAAAAAATATAATTGACACGTTTTGGGGTAATCGGCACGTGCATTTTCCCATAGGGTTAACATGGGGAAAAATTGGAAATTCGATTTGCGAAAAATTTCGTCAATTATATTTGTTGATATTTTTAGGGTCGGATCTCGGGCAGGCACCCCAACTGACGGTGGTAATTATTTAAAATATAATTGACAAAATTTCGGGTAATCGTCAGGAACAGTTACCCCATGTTGAGCCTATGGCGAATTTGAAAAATTATTTTGAAATCGATTTGGCAAAAAATTTCCACGTTAGATTTTGAAAATGCTCCAATATGTTGTGCCCCGGGGTGTCGGCTACCACATGGTATGGGTCAGATATGGGGCGATTGAAAAGCACGTGCCACGTGCAAACGTGTTTGATGGGGTAACCTCCGGGAAAATCCGACATTGGCCAACTGGGGGTCCTATGGCGTGGAAACCACTCCACCTAGCGACACCAAATCAACGCAGCCGGTGAGCAGATGAGTCCAGCTTGTCGCACCAGTGGTCACGTGGCGCACGTGCTATTGCACGTGCCGTGGCACGAGGTCAATTTTTGTGCTTAAATACACCAACATTGTTAAATGCAAGGAATGGGGGAAATGGCCGTTAGGCCGTCAGTTTTTATGATAGGGTCGATATGAAAACGGGTATAGACACAAAATGAAGGGGTCTAAAAAACTGCTATCTCGGATTTTTTGTAAAATGAAAAATTTAAAATTCTAGGGAAATTATATATTCGAAAGGTAAAATTTCCCTAAATTTTCCCGTTTTTCAAGTTTAGCCGTCCACTGTTCAGAGACGGTGACACCGGCCGGGGTCATCTTTTACATGCCGATGGCCACTTGTATTGGTCATGACGTGGCGTGAGCCGTTAAGCTGTCAGAGGTCCGGCACGTGCCACGTGGCCACGTGTTTGAGCCAAGTACCTCCCACATATTGGTGTTTTGGCCAACTGGTGGCCGTATAGCGTGGAAACAGAACCAGCCAAGAACACTAAATTGGGTCAGTCGGTGAGGGGACAAGTCCTGTTTACACCACCGGTGGTCACGTGGCACACGTGCAAATCTGGGCACCTCCGTTGCGGAGATATTTTATAGTAAAATATTCAAATAAACATAACTTTGTCAGTTTGTGTCCGATTGGGCTAGAATTTGATGGGTGGACGAATTGTTAAGCGACAGAAACGAATGCGCCAAGTTTGTTGCAGTGCGCCACGTTTGTCTCAAAGCGCCATTTCTGCCGCAAAGCGCAGAATGTGCGTAACTTTGTCGAACATGGGACGATTAGGATGCGCTGATGGAGGGTTGGTTGCTTAAACAGCAGATATGAATGCACCACACTTGCCGCAAGGCGCCATATTTGTCTTAATGCGTCAGTGTTTGCGTTTTGTGGACGGCGTGCGTTTTTTTTTTTCGGCGGTGTTTGCGTTTTTGGTGTTTGCGTTTGGCGGCGGGCGGCCGTTTTTTGCGTTTTTTTTTTGTGGTGTTTGCGTTTCGCGGCGGGCGGCCGTTTTTTGCGGCGGTTTGCGGTTGGCGGCGTGCGGTGCGGGCGTTTTTTCGGCGGTATTTGCGTTTTTTTTGCGGTTTTTGTGTTTGGCGGCGGGCGGGCGGGCGATGCGGGTGTTTTGCGGTGTTTGCGTTTGGCGGCGGGCGGCCGTTTTAGCGGCGGTTTGCGGTGGGCGGCCGTTTTTTGCGGCGTTTTGCGGTTTGCGGCGAGCGGTCGTTTTTTGCGGCGTTTTGCGGGTTGCGGCGGGCGGCCGTTTTTTGCAGCGTTTTTTGTGGTTTGCGGCGGGCGGCCGTTTTTTACGGCGCTTTGCGGTTGCCGGCGGCCGGGAGTCATTTGCGTTGTTGCGGTTTGCGGCGGGCGGCCGTTTTTTTGCGGCGTTTCGCCATTGGCGGCGGGCGATGCGGGCGTTTTTTGTGGCGGCGGTGTTTGCGTTTTTTTGCGGTGTTTGCGTTTTGCGGCGGACGGACGTTTTTTTGCGGCGTTTTTTGCGTTTTTTTTCTGCGGTTTTCGGCGGGCGGTTGATTGTTTTTTTTGCGAAGTTTCCGTTTGCCTTTTGGGCGTGCGTTTGGCGGTGTTTGCGTTTGGCGGCGGGCGGGCGGTTTTTCACAATTAAAGTCCCAACCTTCGGATCCGCAGAGCTGTTCGACAAGCGCTGCCCGGGCCTATCCGTTGCTACTTGGCTTACAGGACACGGCTTGCAAAAGCAAACACATTGTGCACGCTTCAAGATATCAATGCATTACTATTTCTTCTTGTTCTGCGTTGGTTTTTTATGGACAGAAAGACCAATCCAGTACATCAAACGACTCCATCTTTCTCCAAAATACAATGTTTAATTCAAATGTGATCGACCTCCTATGAGATATGGAGCTACTTTTCAGTCTCATTTAGGTTACTCAATACTCCTCAATGCCCCAGGTTACCCAACAATACCCCTCAATACCGCGGGTTACCCCACAATATACCAGATTACCCCCACGATGCCCCAGCTTACCCCACAATGTCCGTTAATGTCTCAGGTTATCCCACAATATCCCACGATACCGCGGCCGCGGGCTACTCCACAATAACCCAAAATATCCCAGATTACCTTACGATACCCCAGCTTACCCCACAATGCCCCACCCACACACGCACTCCACCCCACGTCCAGTTCGCCCAGCCGCCTGCCTCCAAGCCGCGCCCGCCAGGTCGAAGTATCACGTGACAGGCGTGTGACCCAGTCATGATAAGCCAATCAGCGTCGCCGGTTGGCGCCGACCGCGCCGACCACTACAGATAGGTGCTCACACATCGCCAGTGTCCTGCTAGACTTCTGAGAAACTCTAATGTCCTCGTCTTTCTTTCGCTTCCGATAATGGCACCGATGCAACCAAAGAGTGAGCCTAATGTGGCTACTAATTGATCATAAATTGAGAAAGGGTCATCTAAGGTCGCACGCCTTCCCATAACATTTCTGAGTAGGGGTGATCTTATTGGTTGGCTTCGAATCGCGTTATAATGATGTTGCATGATGTCATCTTTGTACTTGGTATTTGTATTCAGTTATAATTTGCATTACATTTGCTAAAATACATTTTACATCCATATGCACGTAACAAGATCGCCGTAATACAAGATATTAGGTACAATTATTCGCACCATTAACCCTCGCCCCGCTGGGGGGGGGGGCCAATTTGCCCCCTCCTCCTGTGGTTTTTCCTAAATAGCAAGAAAACGGCGAAATTTTCAGTACCTTTCCGGGCATCAATTTGACACCTTCACACCAAATTTCAAGTCTTAGGTCACCTTAGGCTTAGTGCTGAGTGCAATAAACGTTATATAACAGAAAAGCAACGCGTATATGACCCTGCTCCGAGGCATACCACATCGCTTCTACACGCGTATAGAATGTCACAGTTTGAAGAAAAATAATCATAAAAACATACCTCAACAGAAAGACTTTTATATTTCATACCCAAACAAACCGAGAAGCATATTCCATATTGGCTAGTGTTATTAACCCAGAGTTATTATCCCAGTATCTTATGATACATCAAAACCAATGTTTAATTATTGCAGTCCTGATAGGGATCCAAAACGGTGTGATGTTTATTGTTTACTGTAATTGGTGTGAAGTTACGTTAGTGACTGACTACGTTGTACGCAGCACTCACTGCAATTAATTAATTCAGGAGTACTTAATTAAGCACGAGTCTGGCTTCCTCCTTGCTACTCAGTGTTACATGCAGTGTAAGGCTTCCTCACAAACGCTCGATGGATATGCTCGGGTAAATCAGAGAATACATACACACAAAGCCCGCCACATTATACAGCTGGTCGCACACGCAAATTGATAAGTCACACTGGTATACCCGGTGCAAGACCGGGTGTCGCGTTACCTCTGTGCTACTCCGAACTCGTATATTCATGGTGGATGGAATGTATCTATTGCGTTTGTTTTTCCATGAATGCAAGTACTGCCCCCATTAATTCATGTGGGATATGATTGCAATATGAAAAATACTCCTTATATGTCGCAACTCATTCAGGGTTCATATTCCATTATAATCTCACATTTCAATCTCAATCTCATTACTCATCATGTATATCCACTAACTTTGACGTTCAGCATAGGTCATGACAAACCCATCAGTACTTTTTCACATAACGCACTGCATTTGTTGACCCCAGCAGGAACTGGTGACGACTGTATCTGTTGCGTATACCTCGGCAGGTATCTCATATAGATTGTGTCTTTGGCAGGTATCTGGTGTTTGTACATTGTATACCCTCTGAAGTGCCATATCTGATGATAAATGTATCTCTTTCCCAAGTAGGTATCTGGTGATAACTGTATTATCTGTTGTATCTTCTCAGGTATCTGGTGATCGTCCACCCTCTGAGACGCCGGATCAGGAAATGTGAAGCCGTCTCTTGTATCGTGGTAATCTGGCTCAGCAGTGCCGGATTGAGCACACCCTGTCTGCTGTACTCAACCATCGTTTCTCACAGGTGAGAAAAGGAGCAAAATGTGAGCGAGACGCGAGTTCCAGGGTGAGATAGAGGTTAGAATCGCGTAAGAATAAATGGGAAAGGGATGAGCCAGAGTGAGGTACGTGTGAGATTCAAATAAAAATAGGTTGAGATACATGCTTGATACAGGTGAGAAAAGGGCGAGATGGAGGCTAGAATAGAGTGGTACAGGATGAGAAACATAACAAATAAAAAGCAGGAAAGGGATACATAGATACGGACTAGAGTAGGATAAGATACGGATACGGCGAATAAAATTAAATGGATGGCATTTGAGGTCAGGACCACACATAGCGAAGTTAAAACTAAAACGTCACGTCTCTAGCCGTCGTTTGTTAGCTACTCCAAAAGCTGCTATGTAGAATATGTATTTGCATGACCATTGACTATTCCGGTGTGAATTTATCTTTTACTGACTAGATATCCACCGTGTTGCCAGATACCCGTCCGGTCACGAAGTACACGGCTGTATCCTGGTGTGGCCAGATGGACCCCAGATGTCTTCCTTCACTGACTACGTGTGAGTAAAAAAAAAACGCTGAAATGTTCCACAGTCCATACTAAAGCAAACTGCGGGTAAACGTTACACGCAGAGTAACAACTTCGATACTTTGATGCAGCTGTATGATATCCATAACTAAAGGCAAGCTTTATGATAGATTTCAAAGGGTTGTCAACCCGGGCCATAAAGGGGGCTTTCATTCGAAGCACGCCACATTGAAATGAGCAAAGTGCAACATCAAAGTTTCGTTTCAGCTTCTTAGTCTTATTTAAAACGTGCACTTCAAGCTCTAGGGACTGGATGTTGTGAATTCCTTTGGGGCTCGCAATTCAAATATGTCCCCTACAAACAGAGACAGAATAAGCACACTAAGCCATAAAGTTGTTTGGCAGCTTTGATAAGCCCATAGAAAGAAACGGATATTAAAACGCACGAGGCACCACACGCTGAAAAAACATCCGGAGTAATGAGTACCGTGGGAGGTATTTGTATTTTCTGCCCTGCATGCGATTCAGTGCGATGGTTAAAGTGGGAAAAACAATGGTCCCGTGTGCACAAAAGAATGAGTAAATGAAGCATTTGTTTCCAAGAATGTGTTACCAAGGTTCTGTCATTTTTGTCGTCATTGATGGCTGCTATGTTTCAGGTACAACATGATATTTCTGGCGCTCACCTATATTCTGCCCATGATTGCCATGGCGGTCTCCTACACAATTATCGGTAAGTTGCCGGAAATTGCTCTCGTGCTTATTATCTGTGCTATTTTTAGCTACCTCAGTTGGAAAGTTGTATGGTTAACAGCAACCACCTTAGCCATCACCATGACAACAGTGACAAACGGCATCATTAGCACCATCACTATTGCCGTCACTGCTATGAGAGACTATGCTTTTAAAACGTACCGACTAGGTGATCATCGGCGTTCATATCGCCGCCATCATAATCACTAGAATCACTATTACTAGCAGCACCATCACCACAGCCAACGTCACTGCAGTTACAGTCTCATTAACGTCATCATCATTATCGCCACGACTTCGATGATTAATTGGGACATTATCTTGGACACCCAAACTACGATAGTCAATGGTCATCAGAGTTCAGCGTTGATATCGTCATCACAAGCAACATCATGGCTACTGGCTAGCAACACCGTCATCACCAACACCAATATCACCACCAGTCACCACCATTGTCGACATGACTTCCAACATGACTTCCACGGTCACAATCGCTTCTGTTGCCACCAGGGCGGCATTGCTGTTAATTAGGAATGCCCATTAGTGACGCTGATGGCAATTTTTTCCGCAACTGGAATTGCTCTGCTAATATTCCCTCCGCGAGAGCGAGAGCGAGAGAGAGAGAGAGAGAGAGAGAGAGAGAGAGAGAGAGAGAGAGAGAGAGAGAGAGAGAGAGAGAGAGAGAGAAAGAGAGAGAGACGCGCAGTCAATTATACAGCCCAGAAATGTCGTAGGAAGATTTATCATTTGCTCATATGTCTCTTGGCCAACTGACTCCCCCATGCCCCCCCCCCCGCACCCGCCAACTCTACGCTTCCCTGTACTGCGGCTTTTGTACACTTCGTTCTTTGTACTGTTGTTAATTGTACACTTTGTCCCCAGGTCACCACCTGTGGGGAGCTCAGAGTATCGGCGTGAAAACCGATCGGCAGATGGCCTCCATCCGATCCAAAAGAAAGGTAATCTGGACGCTCTAATTCACGTCGGCGGAATAGTAATTTGGTCACTCTTTTAAATTATCGTTTAGCACGGTAATCGCATGTGCAAAGCATTTTTTTTTTGTTCGACTTTTTATCTTTTTCTACTAATAGTTACTTGTCACGCATTATGCTGATTATATTCCGCAATTTCTTCATTGCCTTTTATACCTATTCATGTAGCAGTGCAAGGCTTTCTATTTACAATCCATAAGATGAAAGGTGTCCGACTAATGGTTGCTGAAATACGTGACGTTGAGACGTTTACTGATCTGATGATATATGTGGGTGGAGGACTTCATGGATGCTGTTCAGCTCAGTTAATTATTTTATTTGAGATTCGATTCTTCCTCCCAGCACAAGCTTGGGGCGCAATATAATCAAACTGAGCAGATTTAAGCATATTAACCCGCGCCCTGCTGGGGGGGTGTTTGAACACCCCCCCCCCCTGTGGTTTTTCGCGAATATCTCAAAAACGGCGGCGCGGAGCGCCGCCGTTTTTGGTACACCTTATCATACATCAATTCTATACATGTTGTGAAAATTTCAGACCAAGGTCATTCAAGGTCAGGTCACCAGGTCACTTGAAGTGACCTCACCTCATAAAAAGTTTCAATGTCTGTCATAGCTACACCGAGTGACCGATCGCTTTGAAACTTTCAGCGATTGCTAAGAGCAAGCATGTACAAAATGTATATCTCAGAATTTTGATATCGATGACCTAAGGTCAGGTCAATTTTGCGACCTCCCCATTATAAGTCAATGGGAGAAAATTGAAATGCGCCTCTTTTGGACGAAAGACATTATAAACACTCCCAAACACTGAATTACAAGTGGTTTAGACACACTGAACATGAAAATGGTGTCCGTGACCCCTGTTTATGCCCTGAGGTCATCTTAGGTCACGAATGGTATCTAACAGTTTTTCGCAAATAACTTTTGATAGAGGCATGCTAGAGCGATGAAAACGCCATAGATGTGTTCAGTAGGGTGTGTCATCAGTAACAGAACCAAATGCCGTAAAGAAATTCCTTGGCACTGAGACCTGCAAACACACGGCATAGCAACCGTTTTTGCAAAAAATTAAAATTCGTGCGGCGCCAGCCGTTCAAAGTTTTGGCGCCCGGCGTTGCAGTCTCCAATGCTGAGCGTCACCCAGCACTGCGAGTAACACCAAGTATTGCAGCAGGTAATAATGCAAAATAACTGCTGCTGAAAATGATGCTTTTGAGCGCTTCTAAGGCTGATTGTTGCAAAAAGCATGTCATTAGAGTGTCCAATTACTGTTTTTATTGTGCTCAATGAATTAAATGGAGCATTGCTTCTGAAACTAAAGAAAAAACTGCCCGATTTTGAGAAGCGGGCGGGGTGGAACTGGAGGCGGAGACGGGAAGTGACTCAGATTCGTCTTCTGAAAACACCGACTCCGTGGCATCCTCTGGGCGGTGCTTCTTCTTCTTCTTCTTCTTCAGCATGTCATCTCGTGTGACCCGGCCCGTCTCCACCAGGAAGTCCCGGATGAGTCCAGCCTCGGTGGAAAGGATCTCCCTCAGCGTCGGCAAAGGGCCCCACGGGCGGGTCCGTGGCCCCTGGTAGACGGGGTAGTCGACCAACAGGTGTTTGGCCGAGTCCGGTTCGTCGCAACGGACTTTCTCGTCAGACTCGGCCGGACCAAGTCGGAATCGGGTGTCTCCGGTGAGTGGGGAGCAGCTCACGCGGAGCTGTGCCACTGTGATCGACGTTCGGCGGTCCAGTTCTCTCTCCGTGGCCCAGAGCGCCACATCGTCCGCATTCGCAGATGTGTACCTCCAGTTCCCGAGCCGCAGTTATAGCCGGTCATACGAGCCTGCAGGGTTAGCGTCCGATGGCTGCGTTGGTCCTTCAGGAAGACAGCCTCCTGCTGAGTGACTCAGTGGGCGATGAGACTTGTGCACCTGCTCTGAGAGTTGCATTTGCATTTGGCGATATCCAGGAGTTGTTGAATTATGCAGTGGCGGCGCTTTGTTCCTTCCTGTGTCTCTGGTGTTTTGTTCAGAAGTCTGTAGGGCTGTCTGTAGGGCTTATAGCAGTCCCTTTTGATCACTTTCGTCGTGTGTTTTACATAGATCGCGAACAGGGATTCCTTCATTAGTGCAGAGTTGCCTTGTCCTTTTTTCGCCACGGCCCTAAATGCACTATTTGTTGGATTTCTTCTTTGAGCACTCAGCCACCTGACATAACTGAAGGCCTCTGCTTTAGTCAGCAGTCGCTGTTGGGACAAAAGTGCCGGCTGTCCTATCACGAAATGTTTTGAACGCGGCCGTGTCACTTTCGGCAGGGCCCTATGCTATCCGGATCATAATTCACGAGGCGAAAAAAAACGTAGCTGATTAGGAAATGCCCATACGACAATTATAGCACGACACAGGGAACCAGCAAAGCGCCGCCACTGCATAATTCAACAACTCCTGGATATCGCCAAATGCAAATGCAACTCTCAGAGCAGGTGCAAAAGTCTCATCGCCCACAGTCACTCAGGAGGAGGCTGTCTTCCTGAAGGACCAGCGCAGCCATCGGATGCTAACCCTGCAGGCTCGTATGACCGGCTATAACTGCGGCTCGGGAACTGGAGGTACACATCTGCGAATGCGGACGATGTGGCGCTCTGGGCCACGGAGAGAGAACTGGACCGCCGAGCGTCGATCACAGTGGCACAGCTCCGCGTGAGCTGCTCCCCACTCACCGGAGACACCCGATTCCGACTTGGTCCGGCCGAGTCTGACGAGAAAGTCCGTTGCGACGAACCGGACTCGGCCAAACACCTGTTGGTCGACTACCCCGCCTACCAGGGGCCACGGACCCGCCCGTGGGGCCCTTTGCCGACGCTGAGAGATCCTTTCCACCGAGGCTGGACTCATCCGGGACTTCCTGGTGGAGACGGGCCAGGTCACACGAGATGACATGCTGAAGAAGAAGAAGAAGAAGAAGAAGCACCGCCCAGAGGATGCCACGGAGTCGGTGTTTTCAGAAGACGAATCTGAGTCACTTGCCGTCTCCGCCTCCACCCCGCCCGCTTCTCAAAATCGGGCAGCTTCTTCTTTAGTTTCAGAAGCCATGCTCGATTTAATTCATTGAGCACAATAAAAACAGTAATTGGACACTCTAATGACATGCTTTTTTGCAACAATCAGCCTTAGAAGCGCTCAAAAGCATCATTTTCAGCGGTAGTTATTTTGCATTATTACCTCCTACAATACTTGGTGTTACTCGCAGTGCTGGGTGACGCTCAGCATTGGAGACTGCAACGCCGGGCGCCAAAACTTTGAACGGCTGGCGCCGCACGAATTTTAATTTTGGTGGACTCGGATATGGATGAAAATTCATTATTGATCAATGTGCCAAGGAAAAACCTTACGGCGTTTGATTCTGCGAGAATCACCCCCTCGATGACACACCCTAGTGTTCAGCTCGACGATACGGATCGACTGATATGCAACATGACCCTTCCCGGTCAGGTCATGACCTTGACCTGAGGTCAAATTTTCAAGTTGACCTTTCAAGGTCAATTTATAGTTCATTCGATGCGTCTTGACGAGAGGAACACGATGCCGGTAAAAGTAAGCTTGTACAACCTTACCTTACCTTACCTTACGGTATACGGGTTGTGGGAGGCCAATTTGGCCTGTGGGGCCCGGTCTCAGCGAGCTCCCAGTGCTTATCGACAGTCAGCCTCAGGTTGGGTAAGATCGGGTTCAGGTGGGAAGGCTTTGCATGATGTCAGCCCAGTGGGCATCCAGCCTGGTCTTGAATTGGTTGACTGACGTAGCTGATACGACCGCTTGCGGGAGAGCATTCCATGGGTTAATAACACGTGTACTAAAAGAGTGTCTTCGGATGAACGTCGTGGCCCGCGGTTTCACTAGTTTCCACTCATGGCCTCTTGTTCTTCCTGAAGTTGATCTGGTGAGCAGCTTCTCGGTGGGGACCGCCATGCCACCATGCAGAATCTGATAGACGGCTATCATATCACCCCGTTGACGTCTGTAGTATAGCGAAGGGAGCTTCAGTGCGCGCAACCTCTCTGGATACGACAGGTGTCGGACAGTTTGTACCAGGCGAGTAGCTCTTCGTTGCACCCGCTCAACCTTCTTCTGATCCAGCTTACTAAACGGTCCCCATACGAGGTTCCCATACTCCAACAGCGGTCTCACCAGTGTCTTGAATAGTAATGGGAGGGTGTTTGAGTCCAGGTTCGCAAATGACCGCCTGATGACCGACAACACCTGAGAGGCCTTCGACACTGCAGCCGCTGTCTGCTCATGAAACTTGAGTTGGTGATCTATGATGACGCCGAGGTCCTTCTCTACGGTCGCCTCGCTGATGGCACTGTCTCCGAGGCTGTAGTGCATGCGAGGGTTTCTGGTCCCAATGTGCATAATCTTGCATTTACTTGCGTTGAAGCGGAGGAGCCACGTTTCCGACCAGCGAAGGAGGGCGTCAAGGTCCTGCTGAAGAGTTGGCATGGATAGCGCAGTAGGAACGCGGCAGTACATCTTGGTGTCATCGGCGAACATCCGAACGCAGTTCGTTACACATTCGGGTAGGTCGTTAACATAGATAATAAACAAGGTAGGACCCAAGACAGATCCTTGAGGGATTCCGCTTGTAACGGGGGACCAGTCTGATGCGTCTCCCTGGACCTGCACCCTCTGCAAGCGGCCAGTCAAGAATGATCCTATCCACCGTAGGAGTTTGCCGGAGATGCCATATGCCTTCAGTTTCCCGAGGAGGTGCTTATGAGGGACCGAGTCGAAGGCTTTTGCAAAATCGAGGTAGCATACGTCGACTGGTTTACCATCCTCAATAGCTGCGCTCCAGTCGTCCAGGACTTCCAAGAGCTGAGAAGTACAAGACCGCTTCGGCAGAAACCCATATTGAGCAGGGTGCAGCAGGCCATTGTCAGTCAGGTGCGAGATCAGTCGGTCTCTCACCATGGACTCAAGTATCTTGGAGGGGACAGAGGTGAGGCTCACTGGCCGGTAGTTTCCCGGGGACCGTTTGTCTCCCTTCTTGTGGATCGGGATCACATTCCCAGTCTTCCAGTCCGGAGGAAGGATTCCGGAGTCCAGCGACTTCCTGAACAGAGTGCACAACGGGAGAGCAAGGCCGTTTGCTGAATCTCGCAAGGCTCTAGGATGAATGGAGTCCGGTCCTGGGGCACTGGTTGTCTTCAACGAGGAGAGCTTCTCAGCAACAGTCGCGGGCGTGATCTCAATGTCGTCAGCTGGTTGACAAACCGGCTCGACTGTCAGTACTGGTAGATCATCGCTGCCTTCCTCTGTGAAGTTACTGGTAAAGAACCTGTTCAATATACAGGCTTTTTCATGATTTGATGTAGCGACTTCGCCCCTTTCGTCCCTGAGGTCACCAACTCCACATCTTGTTTTCAATCTTGATGAAGTATACCTCCAGAAAGCTTTTGGATCGTCCTTTATCCTTGATGCTAGTTGTTTTTCGAAGCTCCTACGAAGGTTTCTCGTTAGAGTTCTAAGCCTGTTGCGACACGTTGCGTACCTGGCAAAATCGATCACATCTTTAGACCTTATGTAGATCTTCCATAGCTGGGACTTCTTTTTCTTCAGCTGGATGGCTTGTCTGTCCATGTACAAGTTTCTGGACCTGAGGGCAGTTGGCACTGCTCGGGTGCACAGCTTGACAGCCCAATCCCATTTGTCCTTGAAGAAGGAGTAAGCGTCAGTCAAGTCCATGGAAGTCATATGGCCCCATTCGATGGAGGCTAGGGTTGAAGCCAGTTGATTGAAGTCCACACGGCACCTCTGGTCCTTAGGAAGAATTTTGGCTGCTGAGTAGCATACCAGTGAAAAACGAAGAACTACATGATCACTGTTTCCCAGGCAGGGATGGTATTCAACATTTCTTACCATGCCCTCTTCATTGGTTAGTATAAGATCTAAAGTGCTTGGAGCTTCACCCACTCGGTATCGTGTCGCCTCTCGAACATGTTGGTAAAGAAAGCAGTCGTGAATGCATTCAATGACAGCATGAGAAGGATGAGTCTCAGGGGCTGTGGACACCTCGCTTTCCCAGTTAATTTGGGGGAGGTTAAAATCCCCCGCAATCATCAGGTGGGATGCTCCATGGTTACATGCCTCTTTCAATGTACTTGACAGCTGTTCAGTGCTTTCCTGCATGGGCCCAGAGGGACTGCGGTAAATGCATCCAAGCAACAACTCATCCTGTCCATGGAGGCCAACTTTGAGCCACAACTGCTCCACATCACGTTCGGGGAATGGTACTTCATATACAATGAGTGAGCTGGACACATATATGCATATTCCCCTCTTCCCACTTTTTCCAAGCATTGTATGTGAGGGGTCAAAATTGCTGAAGATTGTAAAGCCTGGGATGTGCAACAAAGCAGGTGAGATAGGAAGAGTCTGAGCTTTGGGGATGACTTCCGTGATCATAATTATATCAGGCATATTGTCACAGATAGCCATGCACAGGTCGTCCCGCTTACTAACAAACTGGTCGGCATTTGTGTATAACACCTTGAACTGTGCACTGTCCGCTGAGTCAGTATGTCAATACTGACGTGGTCTGCTTCCGGAAGACCCACTACCAGCATGGCTGGGAGCATTCAGAGCTGGTTGTTCTTGGACGAGAGAGTCTACAGGTTGACTTTGTTGCCTGTTGGAGCTTGAGACTTCTGGTGCAACTGAAGCTTTTTCACCGGTCTTGGCTGCGGTAGTATCTGAGCTGGTCTTGTCATGTGTGATGGGTTTGGCAGATCCCTTCATGATCCTGCCCTTGAAGATGTACAGCTCTTTCTCTCCAGCCATCCTGCGGCTGTTGAGTTCAGCTCTCAATACTCGGTTCGCTTCTCTTTCCTTGAAGGTCAAATCAGGAGAGATATATATGTTGCTCCACCTGGCACTATCCCTCAACTGCCTCGCACTTTTGAGAAGCTCAATCCTTGTCTCTACGTTTTCCAGTGTAGCAATCAAGAGTCTAGGTTTGCCAGGTTGCACTTTGCCAGCTCGGAAGGCTTTCGTAACTCTGATGTTGAGTTTCAGTTCCTCTCTGACCAGCTTGATGAATTCCACTTTGTCCCTATCAATACGCTCAGCTGGTGTTTGGCCTTGATCGTCTTCTGGCAAGTTGTGGACCACCACATTGCACTTCCTCCTTTCTTTGTCATTGTGGCTGTCAAAGATACTTGCAATCTCCTTGGCTGCCTGAGATCCTATGTTCACTGCTGGTGCTGAAGTTTCAGCTGGTTTGATTTCCCTGACAGATTTGACAACCTCGTCACAGGTACCTTTCACAATGCTAGCATATGAATCCTTCATTTCCTTCTGTTCCTTGAACGAGCGTTCAACAACCCGCGTTTGATGAATCAGTGCAGTCTCCTGCTCCTTGAGAGATCCCTGAACTCGCTTCATGTGCTCCATAAACATAACTGTCAGACCCTCCACTTTGCTCTCAAGGGTTGAGATTCTTTCAGTCTGACGAGTGATTGTGTCAGTCTGTTCAGTTATCTTTTCCTTCTGTAGGGCAAAATGATCCGAGAATTCATGCTCTTCCCCTCTTTTCATTATTGATACCTTGCACTCTGCACACAGCCATGACAGTATCGGGAACCTGTTGAGTGCTCTGTATGCACCGACAGGGACTCCCTGGCAGGAAGAGTGAAACCATTGGTTGCACTTATCACAATGAACGCCCTGGTCATCCTCTTCAACCGGGTTCCCACACACCAGGAGGTTGGGTCCCCCTTTGCAATGTTTTGACCTGCCATCGCCCTCACTGCTTGTGTGGCTGTGACCTGATCCCCAAAGCCTGTATGCCTCTGGGCTGAGTTTACCAATGCTTTTTGATTCTCCCCCCTTGCATTCACTTTCCTTACCAGTTGCAGACTTGATGATCTCCTCAGAAATCACAATATCCGGAGCGGTATTAAACTGGGACACCGCATCTACCGCATCTACGTCTTCATCTCCTCTAGCAACTTCTTTCTCACTTGCACTTACTTTTGCCGCAACGCCACTGGGCGCAGAAGCATGGCATAATCCCGCTTTATTTCCGATGGCAAATTCATGCTGTTGGTCTTGAGGCGTATCTGACGCACCTTCCGTGAAAATTCCCGCGCGTCGCTGCAAGGGCGGAGATCGCCCAACCGGCATTTCCGCGAGGTGTTCAACCTTCCGTTTCGCATATAAGGGATTAATAGAAGGTAATTCTGGATTTGTTATCTAAGGATTTATAATCTGGAACGATCGTGGTTGAGTAATTGTGGTGGATAGTGGAGCGTTGTCTGCCAAAACCGGGAGCTCCTGGAGACGCGTCCGCCCTCCACCACGCCCCGACACCGAATACAAGGCTTGGGTCAAAAGTTATTGCAGAAAAACTGTTTCCGAAAAAATCGGCTATTTTTGCAGTTTTTGCCCCCTGCAGGCAAAACCGTTGACGTTAGGTCAAATCTGAGAAAATTACTCAGAAAGGGCGTTAATAGGGCTATCGAATGCGCTTTTCCGCGGCGCTGTAGCTCTATTGGTTCCCGAGTTATGCGTTGGCTTCTTGGAAATTTTCGACATTCGACCTGGAAATCGGCGAAATTTTGCCTTCAATGACCTCTGGTGACCTGACCTTTGACCTGACCAAAAAATTGACCGAAGTAATTTCCTCATTATTTTTGACGCCCTTTCGAACGCCGCCTTCCGCGTATCGCTACGTGGCCCAGGAGCCGAGTTAGAAGGGGGGGGGGGTGTTCAAACACACCCCCCCCCCCCAGCAGGGCGTGGAAATCCAGGACCCCCAGCAGGGCGCGGGTTAATAATGTTTCTATACGAACGCAGCCCATTAATTGATTAACACGTTGCTGAAATTCTGGCCATTCTCCCTACAACACAATAGAATTTCGGTCCCAGCGTCATCTATCCAATCATAACTATTATCCTCTGTAGTTTAATTAAACCGTTTGTAAAGCTGTTTTGACACCTCATTGTTGCATCAAAATATCTCACTAAATTACCCATTCTGATTGTAGCGGGTAATTTGATTCTGAGACAAAGTCAATGCATATAGACGTAACTGCATATATGTGTACATATTGTAGCTAGCAGAAATGAAATGAAATAATCTTATGAAGTCCAAATCAAATAACAATATGAAGCAGCATCGACTTAATTATGTAGACAACTATCAGGCAAATAGGACATATTTTAACAACCCAGTCATTTCCGTTTTCGGTTTCTCTAATTTGTGTGGTTTCGATGAGGCTTCGCATAGACCACCCCGACTGGAGAATGTTAAAAAATGCACGATAATTGATTTAACATCAAGCATTGATGATCGCTGGAAGCGACCCACACGTAACAAAGGGAGCTCACAGTACGTTTAAAAGCCGTGTTCAATCAAACTATCTGCAAGAAAGACGTTGATGGCATTCAAAATAGCGAGCGAATGTGATCGATTATTTACGCCAGTCTGATCGCAGAAGTGCACAAATAAATACGGCATGAGACGATTATATAAAAACGCATATAAAGTAAAAAGTAAAATCAAGAGTAACACAAAGAGTATGATTTTCAGCTAGCCAGTGTCAAATGCATATCAAGGTTTCAGCTTCACGTGCGCTTTTCATTAAAGCCATGAGACCTAAAGATCCGACCACAATTCCCCCTGCTACGAGGATGACCTTTGTCGCTCTTCCACAGCTGGTGAGAATGTTCATCATCGTGGTGAGCACGTTCGCGTTCTGCTGGCTGCCGTACCAGGTGTACTTTGTGTACACGTACCACGACACCACGCTGGCCAAGGAAGAGTTCGTTCAGGTGAGGTGTGGGAGTCACACGGCCGCGAGGCGTTGGGATTTTTGTGCTGATTTTATGGACATCTAACATATTAAGCATGTGCATTGGGAAGGAAGGGAAGTAAAGAGAAAGAGAGAAAAGATAGAGCGATAGAGTGGAGAGAGAGAGAGAGAGAGAGAGAGAGAGAGAGAGAGAGAGAGAGAGAGAGAGAGAGAGAGAGAGAGAGAGAGAGAGAGAGAGAGAGAGAGAGTACAGTTTAAGCAAGGTCCTAAAGTTACACTTTTATAAGTGCTGTGAGTGTTCAAGAAGAGCTAATAGATTTAACGCACATTCCTTTCTTCTTTCAGCACTTGTTTTTGGCGTTTTACTGGCTCGCCATGTCATACTCAATGGTCAATCCGCTCATCTATTTCTGGATGAACAGGAGGTAAGGCTAGTTTAGTAACTGTTAACACAAAAATGTAACACAAATATGTTTTAATGTGTGACGTCATGTGTAGTATGCTTGCTAGGAGCAAATTGACACCTTTGTTCCTGATGATTTATCAAGAATGCCAAACCACAGCGTGCCCCTACCATAAACCATACACAAAAAATGTTAACATGCATTTACCATTTATCATGAGATCATTCAACAAGATCTCCTAACTAGCATCAATTTACGAGCACCCACTTATAAATTCAGCAACTTACGAAAGTCTACCTATAGCGTCGGTGGGAAAAGCTGTTACTCGTTCGAGACACCTCCAAGCGAAGGGATATTGGCGCTTTGAATAATTTACTAGCACCTTTCCAGTCAATAACGGACGTTTCACTATTATTCAGAAGTAAACTGAACGGGAAGTTTTGAAGTCGAAGTCGTTACATTGACAGAAAATGGATTCAGGTGTTCAGTGTGTAATTGTATGTGCTATTGCAGTATTCAAGCGCGTGGGAATGTTTGGATCGAACGCCAGTTTGAGTTAGTTTGAACCAGTGCCTATACTGAATCTAGCTACCCGGATAACCAGGTAGTTTCTGTTGTAAGGACAACGTTTGACCAGTATCTAATGATTAATGGTGTGCAAAAAGATAATGATAATAACTCTGTTAGAAATGTACAAATACCATATGGTATCGACCATAACAAATTAAGCTATCTATATGTCATTTGATGCGCTGAATGGTGTCCCTTAAGCGTCCTTTAACCTTTCGAGCCACCTCCAGGTGATTTAAAATGACATGCTAACTTTCCGACACCTGACGACAACCGAACGGGCACAGTACCGCTTTAAAATTAAACTAGGTTCAACGGAACTTGAACTACTCAGCCCCGCATCAATTTGAGTCCCTGCGGACGCATCCGCGCTCTGCAAATTGCTTCTTGACTGACATTGCCAAAGCTCGGGAGAGAAGTCAACTCTAAAATGCAGGAGTGCAAACTGTGCCAACTTAGGGTAAAGACCGAGTTAGGGTTCCGGTCATAGAAGTTGGTCCGTGTTAAACAAGGGAAGACGTTCATTGTCGTATTGCTCGAATAGTTGCAAGTTCGGAATGGAGATAGATGTTCTGCTCCAATTTAACCCACCATGCAAAGACGATGCCATTGCCAATTTCATTGATAAGTTTGTTTCCATTCCAATCCTATAACGCAGCGTTTATACAAATATAGACTTTCGGAAGACGACTGTTTTGTTTTAAACATCTAATTGTTTGAATCGAACGCATGAACAATGAATATGGGGCGCTGAAAATAAATTTAAATTAAAACATTAACTTAAAAACTGTTATCAACACATAGCCTAGGCCTAAGCAAGCAGAATATGTAGTCATTCAGAAGAACCATTTAGGCCGAGAAGAGAAGAATCCGTGGTCAGTCAACATCTGCCGCAATCGCTGATTCGCAGATATTCGGCCTTGATTGGCAGTTGTTGACAGACTGTCAGCCACCAGCGCGTGCGATCTCGATTGGGATCCTCCCGGATGCGAAATTCCCCACCAGCCCGGAGCGTTTTCGAGGCGGGGTGACCGCTCTAAAGAAGCGAACGATTCTATTGCAAATTGTTTTGCTCCTCAGCCGTCCTTTTAGCATGATTTTTCATTAGCATTTACATTAACCTTAACCGTTGATAGAGACGGAACTCCATTTATTGATGAAGTTTAAAATATATACTTTGATCAAGAGCGCAGCAAAGGGTAGGTAGTTTAATACCTACCAGAGACCTGATTTTTTTGGATATTGCAAAATAGTTCGCTGAGACAGCACCAAAGCTAACTATAGTCTGGCAAACCTAAGAAAGAACGGATTAAGTGTTACGGCCTTTTATGCATGTGCATTTATATTGTGAGAGCATATTTTCCCTCACAACTTTTCACACAAATTTCTCCGAACCATACATTAATCCATTTCAAGTGATCAAAACACGTGCAAAGTGATTCAGGCGCTTTAACTCCGTTCTTTCTTAGGTTTCTTAGGTTTCCCAGACTTTAGATGCATCAGCATTTGAAACTACTGCAACATCCTTGAAGAAACAGACAGAATCATTTCATTCAACATCGTTTTTCAAACGAATGCACTTGTATCGCATATAACAAACAAAGACACACACAAAAGACAAAACGTATCAAAGTGGTGGGATCCCTAGCAATTTGAATTCATATGCAAGAAAAAGAAAAATCCGTCTAATGGGACAGCTGCATCATCATTCATCATATTCATCACATGCATTACAAACATGTCAATCTGTTGATTACGGCGACGCTTAATCACAAACCTAGATCGGATTCCAAGCAAGCGCTCTACCGCCTAACAGTAATAGCAGTTGTCATTAGCTGATCTCCTCAAGAGGCAAAAATGCGACTTACGATGAATTCAGCCTTGACATCTATGCAAACAAGCGCCAATGAAGCAAATCCACTAATGCACAATTCTCGAGACACATTTGTAAAAGTAAACATGTGCGTTAGCGGTTGAGGTATCGAAAGAAAAGACGCATATGCCAGGGCGCTGTTGACTGAAAGCATAAAGACAAAAGGCAGGAGCTGTCATAGCCTTGGAGCCGTCGCTGTAATATTTCAGCCGATAGTTACTTGGGAGTTTCAGATCCGGAACAAAGACGGTACGCAACCACGAATTATATCTGGTAAAATGAGCCTATATAGACCACTTGTACAGCCCATGAACACAGTCCAAAAACACAATTCTCACACATAGTTAGTTTCCCAAAACTCTTCACAAACACATACAGCATTTGGCTTCCAGCTGTGTTACAAATGTACAACCACATATATCCCAACAGATCACGCCCGCACGCACCACAGTCCACATTTCTTCAGAACAGGACGAAATGACATCAGCACTGTCGTATCGCAAAGCCTCTATTTTCTTCCCAAGTCACGACCAATGTCGCTGTATCCTGTTTTGGAACTCTGCGGTAGTGAAGTAACGCGATGGTGTTTGCTTCAATAATCAATACTACATCGGCATTTGTTTTCTTGTGTGCAGTCTGTTTTCATCGGCATAAGCGATATGTGACAGTAGTGTAAACAGAGAACATTTGGCATTAGTATCGCACAAATAAATAAATTATGACTGCATCTGACCTAAGCCAAGCGCTAGGATCGTTTAGCCTGTCACTAAGCCTGGCCGATATAGCATGTTTCAAAAATAGTGTGTCAGTATTATTATCCTCATCGGAGCTTTGGAACCTTCCACATGACATTTCTTCCCAGTGTGTAACGCTGTGTCTTCACGTGTGTGCTGCAGGTTTCGACTATACCTGGCGCACTGGTGTCATTGTGCATGCTTCAGCGGGGGCCTCGAGTACGCCAAAACGGTGGTGTCAAGAGTGGACTCGGTCGTAGTAATCACAGGTGAGATATACGTGTGTAGGAGAGAGGGAGAGAGAGAGAGAGAGAGAGAGAGAGAGAGAGAGAGAGGGAGGGAGGGAGGGAGGGAGGGAGGGAGAGAGAGAGACACAGAGAGAGAGAGAGAGAGAGAGAGAGAGAGAGAGAGAGAGAGAGAGAGAGAGAGAGAGAGAGACAGAGAGAGAGAAAGAGAGAGAGAGAGAGAGAGAGAGAGAGAGAGAGAGAGAGAGAGAGAGAGAGAGAGAGAGAGAGAGAGAGAGAGAGAGAGAGAGAGAGAGAGAGAGAGGTTGGAAAAGATATAGGAGCACATGTAAGGTTGACATCAAATGTAAGAGACGTAAACAACTTCTATCTGAGACCAGACGTTGGACTTGTTAAGATCACAGGCCAGTCGAGTTATTGAATTCGAGTATCTATTTGATCTGCAAGCGTAGTACGTACAATCGCTAAAGTCATGAAAAAGGCATAGTTGAATCCAGGCATGACGATCAAAGTTGATGTAAGGCTTTGGGGACAACTTCACTTTCACCATTATAACGACAAAACTTCAGGTGGGTTAAAATGGCAGTGGTCTAAGGAGCTCCAAACCTTACTAGAAAGGATTAAAAAGCTGGGAGATGTCCTATAAAGGCCTGGCTACACTATGCGTTTTCTGCGCGCGTTTTTTGCGAGTTTGCGTGACTTGCGTAATATCGTTCTAGAAAAAGCGTTTAATATTTATTTGAAAGTTGATAAAACTTTTATATTAATTAAAAGTTTATATGAAAAACATAACAAAAACGTAATGTCGTTTCTTTCTAGAACGATATTACGCAAATCACGCAAACTCACAAAAAAAAACGCACGCAGAAAACGCATAGTGTAGCCAGGCCTTTACAGGACATCTCTGAACAGTGAGCAGCCCCCCCCCCCCACTGTTCGCCCTGAGCATACCTGGTGCAGAGTACGATTGTGGGCTAGCAGCTACCATTTGAGAACCGCTAACATGCGAGCGGAAAACAAGATACCATACGAACAAAATCCGATTTCGACAGCCATTTCGACAGCCGAACGCCGAAAAGAAACGCAAATGTAGCCGCGTCTTGAATTGGGACGCGAGCTACAAAACTGTTCTCTGTAGAACGTGCCTCAGCCGCAGCCGGCACCACATCACTACAGCGTCTTCAAAAAACATTTAGCCAGCTTTGGTAGGCATTGAAGCATGCATTCGTATAAGGCACGGTTCTATAAACCGAGCTGTGATATCAGTAATAGGCAAACAGTGATCAACATTACCGGTATAGATGATGTATATGACCCCCTGTACGAGACCCATCACAAGACTATCCAATCCGCAAATTATAAGACTCAAAAAGAAGATAAATACAAATTCAAACTCATCCTCATTCATCGCAGCATATCGTTGTGGTGCTTTGCCAGAGGCACATAACTCAAGAAAATTGCAAAATGGAATGTAGAGTTCGTAAGTATTCTCTTCAAAACGATGCACCCCGCCAGCATCTGGCAAACCGTGCCACGAATTGTGCGAAATTTGAGGTCAAAGAGATCCTGCGTTTCAGAGAGCCATTGTGCTCAACAGAAAGAAATCAGAAGAGGCAGAACTCGAGGGAAGAATAGCAAAAATGAGCGACTCTGCTGAAAACTCTGGTCCTTTAAATGCACCCTTTGTTCGTATGTGAACTTACTTACTTCAGAGCTAAAAAAATGATGTTGATTTATGGTAATTGAAATCATCCTACGGACCAAGAAAGTCGTATTGAATTGTATTCGAACCTGTCTTGCCTGGAACGGAATATTATCATTTATGCAGCACGCGCCAATATTTCGTTTGCATCTATTCAGCATCAAGAGAAGCCATTTATTAATTTTTCAATAAAAAGCCTTAAAGTCAAACTAATCCAGATAGTTGTGCACTTTGCCAGCAGAAGAAGAATTGGAGCAGTTATAAGGGCGATTGCAAGTGGAGATAGAGATCAGCGCACCCAACGAAATCGAAAATTAATTCGCGCAACATCATACCAACATGGGTCTTAAACTTGAAAAATTGCGTGCTGATATCTCATCGCCCACCGTCACTGGCGTCGTTATATTACATAAACCTATGACGTCATAGACCTGTGACGTCATTCTAATATCTACAACCCTGGCAACGGACATCCTCTAAACAACTGCCACAAGGAGAGGCGAGCCACCTATACCTATTGCCTGTAATACTGCACCTTTCTAAGTTTCCTCCTGTCATCACGCTGTCTGAAGTGGCTTCGAGTAGTTTCGGGCACAGATTCACTACTCCAAGAGCTCGTGAGTCATGAGTCATGAGTCATGAGTCATGAGTCATCAGGAGTCATGAGCTCTTGTTGATCGTGGCTGACGTCCGAATTGCCTTTCGATTGGAGGGTTTCCGAATCTGGGCTAAATCTGGGCTAAATTCGGACTGAATCTGGGCTGAATCCGGGCTGAATATGGGCTGTCTGAAATAACATTTGATTCCGAGATGGACGTCTATGTCTAAAGCTGTACTTTATTGCGCTGAAAAGAATAAAAAAGATTCGTCTCAAGAAACCTCAGTCCAGTTGGGTTCACATAAATATTTTTAAACCATGCTTTATTAGCTTCTGAACTAATTTCCCATCACTTCATTTCAACTTTATTTGATCTATGTAGTACCAACCCACATCCATCTTCAGCAATGCCCCCTCCCCCCCTCGCCCCCGGCTACTTATTCCGGAGACCTCACATCCTGGTCATTTTCTCAGTGAGCACTGCGCAAAACTTCCACAAAAAGTGGCATGCATCTCTTATACCCAGAGTTTTGGCTGCAAGTGGGCGGGGTTCATTGTTCGAGTGATATTAAGAAGAGCCTTGAGCAAGGCAATATTGCGCCCTCCCAGAATGATCAATAGTTTGGTCTTCACAAGATCGATGCTCATTTATTGACTTCCATTTTGGGGCTGTGCGAACAGCAATTCCAAGAGCCGGATATACCTCGAGTGATGCGAGGTTTATGAATGAATGAACCCGATTTGAGAATGTCAATGTCAGGTTTTCCGTCTGATAATTCCGGGTTCTTATGCTTTGTTGCATGTTTGCTAGTCGTCAGTAAATAAATGCAGCTGAAATGATATTTCTTCTGTAACTACTAACTACAGTTGATCGGCTGATACCTACTTTATAAAATTTGAGTCATACTGATACTATAAAAAAATAACTATCGGAATCATAAAAAACAAACACTTAACACAAACACGATCAGATACGACATTCACGCCCATTCTATCAAACCGCGACTCCTAACAATGTGTGAATTAACGCCTCTACTGAAACTGCCCGGATCAAGATCTGAAGATATAGAGTACCTACAACCATCTAACCATCAAGTAAACATCAAATTTGTCTCTCTGTCCCTCTGTCTCTCTGTCGGTCTGTCTCTGTGTCTCTCTGTCACTCACTCACTCGCTCACTCACTCACTCACTCACTCACTCACTCACTCACTCACTCACTCACTCACTCACTCACTCACTCACTCACTCACTCACTGCCTCCCTCACTCACTCACTCACTCAATCACTCACTCACTCACTGCCTCCCTCACTCACTCACTCACTCAATCACTCACTCACTCACTCACTCACTGCCTCCCTCCCTCACTCACTCACTCACTCACTCACTCACTCACTCACTCACTCACTCACTCACTCACTCACTCACTCACTCACTCACTCACTCACTCACTCACTCACTCTCCCGGCATTGCCATTCTCGGATCACAACTAAAGACAATCCAGGTTGAAACGCAACTAACAAAATCCCAGTACCTCCATGCATGAAATCTGACCGGATCCAACTACAAAGTCGGGCTCAATGTTATAACCCACAATCCCGGAACGTGAGCTAGCTTTTAAGTGCACCTCTACATCCTATCAGTGTCACTGACAGACTACCCCCGCTTGTTTCTTGTCGACAGGACGAAGGAATTCAATGGATTGTCCCAGCCGGTCGCCCGTCAATTCAGCTGTGGTTCTCAATTCATCCCGTGGTCGAGATCGGCCGATCGTCCTGCCATCTCGCGGATCGACGGTGCTGCCACCGAGCGGTCGAAAAGGGAACCATGTACTAAATGGTCGTGCCGGCGGATTGCAGGTTGGGGATGGCAAAGGCGCTACAGCTGGATTCAAATGGAATGGAAAGGATTTTGAGAGCGAGAACAAGATGCAGTCCAAGAGGAAACATTGCACGGTGTTTAGGGACAAGGTTTCTACGACAGAGGAGGCTGAAATGTCCAATGAAATCGAGATTTCGGAGATATTTGAAGTAGGGAGCTCGCCAGCTTCTATCGGCAAACTAAGAAACCGTAGCCCAATCAAAATCCCTAGACCAGCGAAGGAAGTTGAACAAATCTTGCCAATCGGGCTTAGCGATGATCACAGCTCTGCTACCAAACGACAAGTTGTTATTTCACAATACGACCAGATGGCGTGTGCAACTGACGAGAACGGCAGTCGAGAGAAAACTTTAAACGTCTCACAACAAAGCCTCGTATCCGGCGTAGTGAGCCAAACGGTTGAAATCAATAACATACTGGTTTCAACCAGTATCAAAGCAAACGAAACTAGTCAAAAAGCCAACAACAAGCCTCATGCCAAAGCACTAATCACACCGTCGGTGACGCAACTGGTAACCTCATCTGGCAACTCAAGCGATGAGAACTCGATCCTAACGTCATCGGCACAGCGTGAGGCGACTAATCCGACGCAGAAAAGGCAGAACTGCGGCAACCAGGCAGCTCGTGTTCGGATTTCTGGAGAGGAATGCGTGTCATCACACGATCGACAGAGATCGGTAGAAGTTGTACCGATGTCGGAAAAACTCCAGGATGAAAAACTCGAGGTGAGACAGTAAAATACATCACAATAGCTGTAAAAAAACATTTTCAACATGAATCACGATTGAGCAAAAAATAATAAAAACAAATGCATATAAAGGATAAGATGATATTTTGACAACGTTGCAGCTTCCGAATCGCGTCAGACTGTAAAAATCAGGGCTAAATGATGTCACCAAAATAGGAAATCGTTTCATGTGGAAAATCTTCCAATGATGCTCTTTAATAAAGTCTGTTTGTGTGCCTTTCAGAAAAGTAAACCCACCGAAGCCGAAGCAAATGATCTTCAGCTGCCATCGTCTTCTACCTGTCAGCAGAGACAAGGACCGACGGCAGATTCAATGTCAGTGCTGCAACCAGGGATAGAGCCAGGCTCCCAACCAGGACCGTGTTCTATGTCAGGACCGGGGTCAGAGCCGGAGTCAGAGCCGGGGTCAAAGTCGGTATTGAGAACAGTACAGGGCAGAGTCTGTCCCGTGAGCTCGTTCGCCTCTCCCTCCGCGGTCCCACGGCGCCTCATTACCCTGTCTAGGGGTCACAAGCTGCCGGGAGCTGCTCAGCACAGCCGGCGAGTGACGACCCCCGACCTCCCCGAGCGTCTCGAGCGAGTCGAGCGAATCGAGCGTCCCGAGCGAGTCGAGCGAATCGAGCGTCTCGAGCGGCGGGATGACGCTCTGGTGCATACCGCGCCGCCCACAACTCATACAACACGAATCTCCCGTAAGGATACGCGACCCGTGCTGGAGGAGACGCCACAAAACGCAAATCACGACGACCACACAGTGACCCAAGAGGGGTGTCGCTTCTCTTCGGAGCCTCACCGGTCTCCGAAGGGTGAATGTGGGGTGAACTTTCATCAGACGATTGCCCAGCTAGTTAGTGGTCGTTTTGACTCGGAGGCTGATGATGGGTCGAAGCACGAGGAACTTCAATTCAGTCGCGAGTTTCTAGCGTAAGTTGGTTGACCGTGCGGATGTTTTTGAGAACCCCAAAGGTTCATAGAGGTTCATAGATAGCAAAGAAATCAAAGGACTCCAAAAAAACCTTTCTCTAACGCTTCGAAATACGTTTTATTAAAAAGGAAATAGTTGAAACTGTTGTTGATAAAGCAACAGCTAGGTTAAAAAGTTAGGAGCGAACAAATTATTAATATTGTGAATGTATAATTAGCTCCTCCTGGTTAAAAACTTTGTGTTTGGAAGCATAATGGAGATTATATTTTTGTCAGAACGACGCGCAGGATAGGTACTTTTTGTCGGTGTTTAAAAGTGGCAGCATTCAATGTGCAATGTCCAGTTGTGCAGTGTTGGTTGTTTATTGCATACTTTTCGTTGCGAAGAGTAAAATGTGTTGGCATGTGAAAGGAAGTGTGCCATTTTTTGTCCGTGTGTTCGTGTTCAGAGACGTACAAATGACTAGCTTCCTGCCAAGAATCGCAACTCAGTGCGATTTTATCAAGCTGATATTTGATATTCATTATTCGGTATAGTCGGCTGTTGTTATAAATAAAAGAAACGTATTTACGCAGGTGTACCTATCGTCCCGCACGTTATTACTCGCTAAAATAAATTTAACTTTTGTGCATACATGGTTCAAGCTATTAAAATTATTTAATTTGGTGAAAAATGAGTAAGCAGCCCCGACGCTTGGTCCCATCACAATTTCAATAACTATGTCCATATAGTTATGTGGTGGGAATAATTACGCTTTGATGATAAAGTACCTGTATCAGATGCGTAGGAAGCGAGTGCAAACTGTAAAGGCCATCATTGTATGCTGTCATTGGCATTGCCTGGTTGATTTCTATCTTATTTTGCTTGGCCAGATTGGCCCAAATTCATTCCCGATTTAGCCATATAATGTCGTTTTTAAGCCAAACATGCAGGTCACTTTTGTCAAAAGGTAGCCTGTCGTCTGCCTCCGTTAGAAGTGTCTGTGTATCAGCTCAATTGAGCTGTTTTCCGTTGGATGTGTTATCGGCGAGTCTGAAGAACAATGTTTCGATGGCGTGTGAGGTAATGTGTGCAATATTAGCCCTTTGGATGCAGCGTGAGTTATTTTCCTGCGGTGCAGTTTGTAAGTCAAGTTGCAGTAGTGTCTCCCGTTTAGCTATTGTATTCGCCTCGTATTTACGAAGGATACCGGCTCAAAAACAGGGTAGATAGAATAACAAAAACTCGGTGAAGGTAGATGTAAGCCGTCTATTGAGACGGAAGACGGCACCTGATCTGCCATAGCTCGTAGTAGACTAAGCGTGGAATAATGTGCCAAGACCTGAGCAAGGCAGAGTGAATTTACTTATGATTACTGTATAGGAATCATGTGTGTCGTGTACTGTGTATAATGTATCGTGCGTTACTTCAACTCCGTGTGGTAAACCACCGTTCTGGCCTCACCACGAGCGTTATTCTTTTTTTCGACTTCGACCCAATGTGAACAGTCATTTTTGCTACATCACTAATCAAATATATCTCAAATATCGGCAAAAATGCTGACACAAGATCAAATATGAGCTTTCGCCTTTCAGATTCCGGTTACATTTCTTTTTTCGGAGATAACCGGTAGGCGTTTGACGTCGCCATAATGCGTGAATAAATCGTCGCTTTTCATGTCAGAAAACTACTGTTGTTTTATTTGGAAACGGCTGAATGAGAAAGGGAAGGAATGGAATAATTATATCTAAGACCGAGTCAGGACTAAGCAAGTTCACAGGGCCACGAATGAAAAGTTTTATCATCTCGAGACAATAACGGCATCGGCATCCCTTTGTTTGAAACTGGAGGGAGGGAGAAGGGAAAAAGAAGGGAGGGAGAGGGAGCGGAGTGGAGAAAATAGTTTGAAAAGTGCTGAAGAGAGAAGAGAGTTTGGGAAAGAGATGAAGAGAGAGAGAGAGAGTTTGGGAAAGAGATGAAGAGAGAGAGAGAGAGAGAGAGAGAGAGAGAGAGAGAGAGAGAGAGAGAGAGAGAGAGAGAGAGAGAGAGAGATGCAGTAAGAGACCGTTGAGAAAGAATGAGTTGCTAATCATCCTCCGTTTACAGCTTGAGGTCATTCCGATTTACCACATCTAGGAGTAGGACACATCAGTGTCATTAGTAAAGCCATGCCCCCCCCCCACCCCCCCAGCACCACCATGCACCGCCATTCACACCGCTTTGATGAGTGCACCCTCGGCTAACCCTGTCAGTCCCGGCTCAGTCAGTTTACTTGGTAGACCCAGAAAACGCCAGAAGATGGCAAGCCCTGACAGCTAGGTCACTCCCCCCCCCCCCGGCCCCCCCCCCCCCACACACACACACCGCCGGCAAGATCCGAACTGGAGTTCAGCGTTGGAAAATAAAAAATGTCACCAATGTATGGTGGAAATCAACGTCAAACAGAGCAGGGAGTCGTTAGACGCTGTCATATGAATAGTTCAGCGGGGCAGGAATACGAGGTCAAGGCCAAGGTCAACGTTAGGTCAAATCGCGCACAGTGCACTAAATTGACGCGAAACGTTTTGTGGTGAACATCACAACCCACGGTTGCACATTCGGTACGTCACCATTTCGAAGCGATGTCCCGGGTCAGCCAGTCGGCAGTCGACCGATGGCTGACGATTTTGTTGACAACCTGTCCCTTCGGCTGTCACCGTCATCGTCCAAGCCCTCGTTCTCTCGCAGGTCCGATACTGCATCTCAGTATACGGCAACTGCACGCAGACAAACCTCTCTCGGCTCCAAAAAATAATTAACTATGCTGCAAAGGTGATTTTCGGCCGCAAAAAGTACGACCATGTATCGGACCTGCTGGATAACTTGGGCTGGCTCGGCGCTGAGCAGCTTGCTCAGTATCACTCTCTGTGCCTGCTGCACAAGGTGCGGAGATCAGGCGAGCCAGAAACCCTGGCTGCCCAGCTGGTGCAGGTATCGCAGACGCGGCAGCGATCCACCAGACAGGACCGCAATCTGTCAGTCCCACGATCGCGGTCAGCGATGGGGCAGCGCCGGTTCTGCTGCCGGGCGCCCCTCGCCTACAACCAGCTCCCGTCAGAACTGACGCGTCTACCGGCCCACCTATTTGGTCGGCACCTCCAATCCCACCTACGGGGAGGCGAGGTGACTTAGACAGCGGCCATGAGTCTGTATGAGTGCATGTGTATGTTTGTTTATGTGTACGGGCTTTGAGCGTATTTATCACGTTATTTTATGTTATGTCTCCCATGCAGAGTTTTAGCCCTGTACGAGCGGCCGTAATAGCCACGAGTGTATCGTGGATGGCTTCAATACACGTCTATGTCTATGTCTATGCCTTTCCGCCATCTTCGCTCGTTCCTTGTGCTTTCGTTACACCGCCTGGGCTCGATGATTTTCACTGATTTATCACTCGTGACACTGCCCTTGTCGCTCATTGATCTATCACCAAAGATTACAAGACACCACGTTACACCAGACAGACTCACTCAACGCCGCAATACAAACTAAAAACGCTAAAAACCCAAAACTGCGCAATGGAACAACCCGCCGCCCGCCCTCTCGCGGGCCGCGGCACCCTACTCTACCCAGAATGCCTTGCGGCCATCTGTTGCCCTCTGGGTCGTCTCCCGGCTTCTGATTGGTCGAGAGACGGTCGCGTGATTTACCCCGAGGCGATGGTTCGGCCGGTGCCGCGGCGACGCCCTGAAGCGAGCGCATGAACGCACGGTAAACAAAAATCTGACCTTCAAGATAACCCTGATAAGTAATTTCGGATTTATGGGCGTGCTCAAGAAATAAATGGCATTTTGAACCAGAGTCCAAGAATACACTGGGTGAAGTTGGTTGCTTTAGATTGACATTAAAATAGGTATTGATTATGAACATAATAAGTTGATAAGCTGATAACAACAGGGTTAGGTACAGGGACCCGCAGTTGCTACTGTACAGCGACCCTGAGTAAATTGTCCCAGCACCCTCACAGGGAACAACGATAAGCTGTCAGAGGGTAGGTACTCACAGGAAACCTCAGCTGCTCTTGTACAGGGACCAGCAGTCGATATCAATGTTATCAGTTGTTACTGGACAGGACAGACGGTTAGACTTGGGGTTCGTGTACAGTAGCAACTGCGGGTCCCCGTACATATCATTCGGTCCGGTTGCAGAGGATGACCGGTGGTCGACGGGCCGGTATGGATAGCTTGGTTTGGTCCGCTTGCCATTCCATCTTGGCACTGGGGTCCGTACCGTACCCCCGCTCGGCTCTCAAAATTCCATGGAGACGCCTCTGATCGAGCATATCGGCTATCACTATTCGCGCGACTTCGTGATGCAATCTTCACAAAAACACTGCCGGCGCAATATTGGCGTCCCCGTAACTACCGGAATCGATGCGATGACTATTAGGTCAGCTCAGAATACCAATCCGGGAGATGAGAGTAGACTACAAGACCATTATTATTATTCGTCTTTCTGTCCGGGTTGGCTACTATGCTTCTGATATGATGCAGACGTGATCAGTAATTAAATCACTTTGTAGTGAACAGATGCCACGAGATATTCAACCGATTCCATTATCTGACTATTAGACCTATGGCAGCGACAAGCGAGGGAGTGCAGTAGTGACACGCGCATACACGTAAGTGCGACGAGAGACCGACTTGTGCGTCGGCCTGTCTTTTGGGACGGGCTCAGCCCCGGTGACTTACTAGGGTGTCTGCCCAGGCTAATGTCTCCCCCTTGTTCCCGTATCATCCTTCCGACTCTGAAAAGGCCTTGTCAGACCGAAAAGGCCTAACCCAACAAACAAAAAGGCTTGTGCGGGTGCACGGGCCGCCCGTCCGCTCTAGCCTATCTATAGCGCTGTGCCAAATTTGAGCGCAATCGGCCTCGCTGCTTGTGGGATGTAGAAGCGTTCCCTGCATGTGGTCTTTGTGTGGGCATGTCCAGTACCAATCCAATCGTGATATGTGGGGGTGCATCATCCGGTCGATATCCAGCATTTCGCCAAGTTTCAACGTCATCCGTCTAGTCAAATGCGGAGTTATCTGAACAATTTTTGCACCCCTAATTTGACAGGTGGCACGTGGCGTATCAGTCAGACACTTATATTGATAAGCAATAAGCATCAAAAACAGTTGAATTCGTGATTGGAGGGACGCCGGATGAACTTATTTCAGACGCAGAAGACCAATATTCGATCGGTCGAGCGGTTACCGAAATAAAATTTATTTATATATTTCTACATTGTGAGCAATTCCGTCAGAACAAACGGCTATTACATGCTCGTATCACACGGCGTACTGTCGCGAGGCCGGGTCTGGCCGCTCGTACTGACTTTTTGTTTCTTCAATCCACAAATAACCTCTCTCGCTACGTTCGTTCGAAAAAAAGCACTTGGCAACCACTAGGTATAAGTATTTTATTAACGAATTCAAGCATACAAAAATTGTGAAAACGGTTCAGTAATCTCGGACACTAGCGGTACATGTAACAACAGACGCGAGGAGACGCGCCTAGGGCACCGACAAAACATTATTGCTGATAGCCTCAAGCACTTCCTATTGTTTCGTTAAGATACTGCGATCGTATATTGTCAAGTCCGGGTACACGTAAATCACAAAGCGTAAGCAAAGCTCAGTATTGCCTAATAAATAATTAGTCATGTAGGTGTGGCGCATAGGACACGCATTTTCTAACAATAGTTCACATTTCTACGGCCACAACCTCGTTATGAAGACGTCTTCGAAATTATTTCGAAATCAATAGGTGTGTGGAAGGGGAAAACAAAGGAGTACAGACAAAGGCATTCACACGCGGAAGGCACAGTAAAACACTTCGCAAAAAGAGCGAAGCAGAAATATGGATCACAAAAGCTCTACATATATGGGAGACGCCACTCACCACAATTCTCTGCGTAAATCTTCTGCATAACCAAGCACATTACCGAGAAGAAAAACAGTGTGATTCTATTGTTACATCGGAGGATTCGAAGAAAATACAACAGAAGCAGGCTACACGAGTCAGTGCGTTTGGCTGCCAAACAGAAATCGCTTCAGCTGCTAGTAATATGGGTCATTCAGCACGACTGACAAAATGCGAGAATAATGGTTGCAACTGCAAGCTCCCTAGACCCATAAAGACCGCAATTTATCAGAGGAACATTCATACGTATCCACTTTGAAGGCAACTCGAAATCACGAACATTTTCCGGACAATCACTAGATATTGTGGTCTTCCCCTTCTCCAACAACCAATCTTCGTCACAGACACTGATAAATAATTTCATGGCCCTGGTCGCAACAGTTTTCAGCACCTGGCAACCCTAAAAGACGCCTCTCAAGCGAAAGGCCAAGGCAGCATTCAATCTAGAAAATACGGTACCACCACCACGAAAAGTTTGACTAGTCTAGTCCGACTTTTACTGGTAAATATACCAGCTTCAGTTCAAACAACCTAACGATGGCAAACTTTCCCAGTTTTGCGCGCTGAAGGCAGGCGCTGTTTTCTGCTCACGTGCGGATCGCGGCGCACGTTTTTCGCTCCCGCTCCGTGGTAGAAAGGTGTTCATAAAAACACATTCATTTCACATATAGGATCCACAGTTCAACTCGCATCTTCCTGTGTCAGACAGTTGCTGCTATAAGTTGAAAGTCTGTTCAAAGTTCAACTGCTGCTGGTGTTAGTAGATTGTTCGATGTCCGTGTCAACAGTTGCTATTGTAAGTACATAGTCTGTTGGAAGGCCGCGTTGGCAGCTGCTGATGTAGGTTGACGGTCTGTTCATCGACACTGTCCCCGTCAACTGCCGGCCTGTTCGAAGCTTGTGTTTACAGTGGCTGATCTTAGCTTGATGGTCTGTTCGGCTCCTTCTGACAGTTGTGCCAGCTCACAGGCCGAATATCTTGTCGATCGTGGCCTCCTGTTAGGCGAAAAACAAACACAATTATGTGAGATGAGGTTCCATGAACATACACACGTCTATACACTTGAAAAGGAATGATATTTTACATTCATATTAGCGATGAAAAAGGACGGTTTTGATTTTCGGAATAACACCATGCCACCATCTAACGTGAAAATAGTTAGCACACAACGACATACTGCGCTCGTCTCACCGACGACCATATTATTTTTAACGAAGCAAAACAAGCATTCACACTTCATCACACAACAGGGCTTAGATCTCAGGCAGCTTTTGCCAAATTGTCAGGGAACTCAGATTTGTTTTTCAATAGAAAAACACAATTCTAAAGAATAGTGTTTTAACTATTGACAACAAACCTTCGGTTATGAAGCTTACATGCAGCCCAACCTTATGACTCGTAAGGAGTGGACATGGCCAATGATTGTTGGGCTAAGGACGCACCGATGAAGGAAGCACAGGACAGGTGAGGTTTTTAGCCGAACAAATTCCGCACGGTCTGGTCCACGACCGCCTCCTGCGGGTCAGGAGAAGTTCAGGGTCAGGTCAGGGACAAGGTCAGGGTGAGGATCAATGTAGGCCGTAGGATCATGGAAAGGCCAATACTAAGCAAGGTTAGGATATTGTGACTGTAATCAACTACTTTGCGTGGTAAAATACCTTTCCATCAAGAACACAATTAGGAATCCATATAACCCTGTCAACTTTTCACACTCTTGGCTCAGTTCAGCAGCTGCCAAGCTCTGCACTTCCATCCCTTTCCCCCCTCCCACGCCCTCCCTCCCCCCTCTCTCTCTCTCTCTCTCTCTCTCTTTCTCCTCCCCCCTCTACCCACCGGCACATTGTAGAGGAACAGTATCAGGAAGAGCGCCAACAGCAGAATCAGAATCAGCGTGATCATGTACCACTTGTACTTCTTCCAGATGATGTGCTTGAACGATTTCCATGGAGAGCTGAACCACAGGAACGATGTGGCGGGCCGGCTAAGGGAGAGACGCGTCAAATGACGTCATTGGAGCAGAGTGGTGCACTGTGGCATTGGGTAGTAGCGCGACAAATGACGTCATTGGGGTGGGAGCGGTACATGACTAGAGCCCTGAAGAGTAGAGCCTAGACTAGAGCCGCGTCAAATTACATCAGTGTGGGTTGGTACGATACGTCGACTAATGTCATTGGGAACAACGCATCAAATTACGCCAGTGCAGCTACGCCGCAAAATTGCGCTGAAGTACGCAATTTACGCTGTTTTCTTACTTTGGCTCTGGCAGTGCGGGGTTAGTGTTTTGCTTCTTACTTTGGATCAAGCAGTGTCGGGTCGGTGTTTGGCTATTATAACGCGTCTCCTTACTTTGGCTCTGGCAGTGTGGGGTTGGTGTTGGGCTCTTCTCGGGCCGCCCCTGTCTATTAAAACGTCTCCTTACTTTGGCTCTGGCAGTGTGGGGTTGGTGTTGGGCTCTTCTCGGGCCACCCCGGCCGGTCTCTGCTCGGCTTCCTCTGCGGTCAGCACCTCAATCTCCATCTCCAGCTTACCCTGCGGAACGGATGACCGGTCACACGGGTCAGATGAAACATAGTGAGGGGTCAAAGGGATTATATGGGGAATACAGGGTCATACGAGAGTGACTACGGGACAATGAAGAGTTTTGTGTCAGATGAAACACGGTGGCCGATGAAACTAGTCGGATCGAACGTGGCAATCAACTATACGGTTAGGACAGAACATGACACGATACTGATCGTAAAATTGTAAAAGGACGTTATAAAGCTAAGATTCTAGTCTATCCTCTAACATTATTCCGTGCCCCCCCCCTCTCTCTCTCTCTCTCCCTCTCTCTCTCTCCCTCCCTCTCTCTCCCCTCCCTCTCTCTCTTTTCCTCCCCCCTCCCCCCTCCTCACCGTACAGACACGCTCTCCATCCACCTCTCCGGCCGTTGGCCAGAAACCCATCACCCGCTTCTTGGTCCAGATGTCCACCGGGCCCTGACACCCCCTGAGGCAATTAGAAAGGTCACGAGGTCAGTGGTTCATCCTGGCAGCCCCTGAGGCAAACACAGGTCACGAGGTCAGTGGGTCACCCTGGTATCCCTGAGGCAATCACACAGGTCACAAGATCAGTGGATCATAACTCTGACCTTGGATCAGACAGCTAAAGGTCACAAGGTCAGTGGGTCGGCTTGACATTTCCTGTGAGGGTAAAAAATGTCAAGTTTTCTGTGGGGATCAATAAAGTCACAACTGGTGACCGTGGTATCCAGTGAGGTAATAACAGGTCCAACACAGGTCAAAAGCTCAATTGATATTCCTTACATGCACTGACGCGGTTAAAAAGGTCACTGGTTAACCTTAGCATCTGATGGAGGCTCATGGAACAATCAAACAGCTCACAAGGTCATCGTACCATACCCTAAGGCGATTCAACAGGTCAAAAGGTCACCAGAGTCACCAGTCCGCTTCGAACCCCCAACCCTTCCCACCACCGCTCAGCCGACTCACTCCTCCTTTTTGCGCCTGCGCAGACTGTCGGTGAGTGCCGTGAGTGCTCCGTTGTTGTTGTTAGCCGTATCGTCCGGCTGAGTTCCGTCCAGCTGGGAGAGGGAGCAGTCGGCCGCCGTGCGCGCCGGGCAGAGCAGCCGGTTCAGGTCGAGCTCGATCTCACCTGGGGGAGAGAGAGAGACGGGGGAGAGAGAGAGAGAGAGAGAGAGAGAGAGAGAGAGAGAGAGAGAGAGAGGGAGAGAGAGAGAGGGAGAGAGAGAGAGAGAGAGAGGAGAGAGAGAGAGGGGGAGGGGTCAAAGACCTTAGTTTATCTGCCATTTGGAATTTGATTTGCCCAATTCGCATGATATTAATCTATCAAATTTCGCGAGACAAAATTTATCCACGAGCTCATTATTCCATGCTGCACTATGCTATGACGGCGCTTCAACGACCTGTGTAAAAAAAACAGCATGAAGCATATCCAATATCATACCATCATTGAGCACAGTGATACCACGCTCACATAGATATCATATTCGCAGGTTTCAGATTGGTCAGCGACAAAGAGGCTCTGTAACTGCGCTGGCTAGCTTCCAGTAATCATATTGCACATATGCACAAAACCTGCAACTCTATCCGCCACCTACACAGGATAAAAACCTGCCACTCTATTTGCCGAGGTTATTTGATTCCTCGTAAAATATTAGGTACCTACGCCACATTTCGGTAACCACGTGGATACAGCCCCACGGCCACGGCGTATATTTTCAGGCTCGTGACACAGGCGAAACGAAATCTTTGTTCAGAATAAAGTGTTACATAATTAGCAATGTGCAAAAGACAAGTGATAAAAATATCACTAAAAATCAAATAAATGAAAAAGTTACCATGTGAAACCGTAAAACGAAATGAACTAGACTAGCAGTGCCAATTAAAAAAAAAAAGTTTAGCACTCGATTAAATGAATTACTGCATATCAGATTAAGACGACATAATCTGCACAGTGCACAATAGCCGTTTTCACGACAGCCATCTGGTACACATTTGGTGCACATCTGGTACAGATTAGGTGCAGATCTGGTCAAATCAGGTTCAGGTGTCTCTTAGCAGCTATCATCTAGGGCTGCACTAATTGCTTATATGCCTGCTTTGTCATATTATCAGAGTACCATCGATTGAAACACTGAAATAAATTCATAAAATGAAGATATTTGCTGTAAAAGAAATTAGGTGCAGATTTGGTCAAATCAGGTGCATTCGCCAGATAGCCCGTCGTGAAAACGGCTATTATGTCTGCACTCATGCGATACATGACATTATGTGCCTTTTTTAAGTCACTGTAAAATGTGGAGACTGTCTATGTCAACTCCATACCGATGTAGTCGTCCTTGCTGATGAGGTCGTTGTCCCAGATCTGGAACATCAGTTTGGGAGGACGGTGCTCCTCCCGCTCCGCCAGACTCCAGAAGTGGTCCTGTCGAGGGGAGGGGGGGGGAGGGGAGGGCAGGTCAAGGGTCAGGAAAGGTAAGGGGAGAAACATAATCTAGGCGTTCGACTTTGACTTGCAACAGGAGCAGCTAAACGCTAGATGTCACAAAATGCTAAATCAATCATATCGGCAGATAAAACACATTTTAAGACTGACAAGGGAGGAAAATAAGGCATGACTTCGGTACAAAACCGGCAGAGTCCCTCACCTTTTGTTATATATTCAGTGACCCTTCTAAACAGCAGCATTACACCTCCTAGGTCCAGGGTTGTGCTCGACTCAAAAAAATTGCCGACTCGACTCATCATTTAACTTCAGAATGCCCTGACTCAACTCTGACTCAAACAAGGAGCTGATTTTTTCCCTTGACTCGATTCATGACTCAAGCGGATCAATGAAAATATGGGTTGACTCAAACTTGACTCAAATTTTTTTGTTGAGTCAAGTGTGTTGACTCAAAATTGACTCAGATAAAAAAGTTGTTGAGCGGGGGGGGGGGTGAAAAAATCCGGCAGCAGGGCCAGGCCTAAGTTGTTAAGCGGGGGGAAAATGAAAAACTTATACTATATATTGTTTCTAAAAAGTTGAGTCAGCTGACTCATGTTCCTAAATGTTCTTGACTCAACTCAATGTCAAAAGTTATTTTAATGACTCAACTCCGACTCAACTCAACACCTTAATATTTTTGTCCGACTCAACTCTGACTCAACTCAACAGCTCAACATTTTATCCGACTCGACTCAAATCTGACTCATTTGAGTCAGAGTTGAGTCAAATTTCTGACTCGACTCTTGAGTCAAGCACAACCCTGCCTAGGTCACATGTCCACACATGACCGCATGATACCGAATAATGACCTTGAACTGACCTTGGACTTGATGACGATCATCCTCTCTGCCTCCAGGTAGTTGATGTCGAACACGAATCGCCAGTTGAACATGGCCTCACCGTCCATACACCTGACAATGGGAACTCGTGACGTCATAAAAACAAATATCCAATACGAACCACCAGTTAAAAATGGCTTCGCCGTCCATACACCTGACAATGGGAACTCGTGACGTCATCAAATCATGACGGCGTGAAACAGCATATAAAGTTGTAAGATGATCAATATGTGCTAGACAGGGAGCCATTGTGTACATGTCTTATAAATCCGTATAAACCCATTTTAGCTCGATGCCACGTCTTTTGAATTATTTCTACGTCCATTATGCGTTTTAATTCACAAAACTCATGACGCCACGGACCTAGCTTCTTTTTTCATCACATCGTATCTGCTTACACCTCGCTTCATGTCATTCAGGGGCCAACGGGAATAAAGCGGGTTTTTTACGGCGTAGTTAATGTTCATGTGCGTCAGTGAACTATCAAGTAACATTAATGAGACGGACGCTGGGCGGTACTCGCGAAGTACCATGATGTAAGTAGCGCAAATTGCTCAGTGTTCTATGAAATCGCGTAACAAGAGTGGAGAATATGATTACATACTGTAGTGTACTGCAGTGCCAGCGATGATATTATTTTGTAATAGCGAGAATATGTCATATATCTTTCATTGGAATAAATGTTACCATTTTCTTCTTTATTTCAGCACGCAAGAACTACAGCTTACGTTAATGATCAAGTAAAGCAACATTTTTCTTTGGGTATATTAGCAAAATTTTGAATGCTTGATGGAAGAACGCCGTCGTCAAAATATTTTAGCAAAGTTGTCATCAAACAGTTTTGGCCAATTTAACAATGTGACTCAGCTATGTCGGACCCTATTTCATCTCCGACAGCCTCGCAGAAAAAAAGTGATATGAAAGACGACAAAGAGTGATTTGAAAATGAAAAAGTCGACTTTGCACGTTATAAACACACTCATTCATTTCTCACCTTAAAACCTCAAATGAAACGCCCAAGGGGAGACACGTCAAAATTTCAGGCGTGATGCCTCTTCCCATAAACGACGTGCATGTTCACAACTCATGACCAATCAACAAACACACATCCGTCAAGCTCCTCCCCCCTTCCCTTCGACCCTAGGCTTCTAACAACCTCCGTACCTGTAGTGCACATCGGTCTTCTGCACGTTCTTATCCCCCTGGATCCAGCACTTGACGTAGACGTCAGACATGTTGCTCTGGGAGACGGCAGAGTATTCCTGCATCACCACGTCCATCACGTTGTACAGCACCACACGCAGCTGGTACCTGAGAGGCGGAGAAAGTCAAAAGTAGGACGAAGGTGGGATTCGAACACACAACTTTTACGATGAGACGTGATTCACTCGGATAGTAAGGAGGTGATAACCCACTTGCTGGGCTCCCTGGGTGTGAACGACAGGAACAGACTGACACAGAGACAGACAGTCAGACAGACTGCCTGTCTCTGTCTGTCTCAGACAGGACATAAGAGGAGGAGACAGCAGACAGGAGCCGCAGCAGATGACTTACTTGCTGGGCTCCCTAGGAGTGAATGATAGGGACAGACACAGAGACAGACAGGACATAAGCACAGACTAGGAGGAGACAGACAGCAGACAGGAGCCGCAGCTGATGACTTACTTGCTGGGCTCCCTGGGAGTGACGTCGAAGGGCGGCCCCGGCGGACCTGCCGTCTTGGGGAAAATGTCCACCATCATCTCCAGCTGAAAAAAAACACAACGGCAGTGATGTGAGCGCCATCAGTGATGAAACGTCAGTTATTTTATCATAGGACGGCATACCTGACAGCGATGACCAGAGTCCAGAAGTCACAAATCATAAAATGTCATCGAACTTGTGATGTGACCTCACTAAGGTCATGTCATCTAGTGAGTCATGACGTCAGCGATGTGAACCTTGTGTAGGACAATAAGATACAAATGCATTGCTGTCATCTGTCATCATAAAATTGTATTTTATCTCCAACGACGCAATTAGGAAAAAACGTACTTCATGGCATGGTAAAAACCACAGCTGGATGATCAGGCAGGTTTGATGCATTTATAATTAAAGGATTTATACGTCCTCAGGATAGATCAGAGTAATCGCATGAGACCCACCTTTCCCTGCTCGAGGTCGGGCATGGCCGGGTTGAAGAGCCGGCGTGTTTCCACGTGTTCCGGCACCAGGTCGAAGGTGTGTAGCACCAGCAGGGCCAGGCGCTCGTCGTCGGGACCCAGCGAGGACGGACGGGCCGCCGAACGGTCTGTGGGGTCAGAGGTCAGGCTCAGAGGGTCATAGGTTAGATCAGTTAGGGGTCAGGGGTAGAATGTCAGGGATACATTTCATTACATCAAAGGCAGGCGGAAGGCTAGCTCTGTAACCCAATTCTTTTCATCTGTAGTATTGCGGATCACTGTGTGACTGTATAGTATAAGCATGACAGAGAGAAAATCACTTGAGAGATATCAAAGTAGAGAACAACCCAAATGGGCTTTGATCTGATTTACAGATCAAATGAGCGACCGAGTGAAACAGAGAGATTCCAGTCATTCCCTGCAGAAAAAGAACATCATTTCCTGCAGTATCCCTTCAATAGATGGTTCTCCCTCCCACGGCTTCCCTCTAACTGGCTGATCCCTTCTATGACTGCCCCCCCCCCCCTTCCCTACCCTCGAGCTCGCTGAGACGGTAGTGTTTGTTGCCGATCACCACCTCCGTCTTGGAGAGCCACAGCGGCTGGGAGCGGTTGTTGGTCTCACAGACGTTCTCCAGGATCTCGCGCGGAGTCTGGGAGTCACGCCACTGGTTGGGGCCAGACCTGCAAGCGGTTATCGGAAGGGGACAGGGGTCAGAAAAGGTCAACAGTAATTGGAGCGGTAGAGGGCGATTTGTCAAGCAATCGTTCCTGGTAGAAACATTGATCAGGGAGCTGATGCACCGTGAAATGTGATGCCCGTCAAACATCTTCCCTTCCATGTCGCCAATGTTTTCCCATGCCAATAGTCTGGCACGCATCTAATACATTACAGCAGAAGTCAGATACTGAGCAACGTTTTTTCATCTGCATTCATCGAATCGTATGCGGTAGCCCTATTAAAAACCATGCAGGGCATTTAGTCACCCCCCCCCCCCTTCTTCTATCTACCCCAACTCTCGCTAAGCTAACTCATACGCTGCTCAGCCCCCCCCCCCGCTCCGTTACTCACAGGTGGTACTCTCGCGGAATACCGCACGTGGCCCGGTATTTAGTCATGTAGCGATTCTCCAGGTCGATCTCCGTCTCACCAATCAGGTCGTCCTTGCTGATGACGTCATAGTCGAGGACACTGATGGTGAGGTCCTTCTCCTTGGGAAGGGTGCAGGTGAACTCCATAAAACTGAGGGAGAAGAAGAGAAAATGGGTTAAAATGTTGTATATTCAGTGACAAAGAAACTAGGATGAAATAGTGAAATAGATTAGGCAAAAAGAATCAATGAAATAGCTTAGCTCAGCTCAACTGTTCTCAGTACCATAAAACTGAGAAATAAGATGGGATGGAAGAAAACGGATCATAAAGTTATACATTCACAGAAAGCTTGGTCGGTAAAAGTTTATGTGCGAGAAATTGAGTCAAATGGAGTCCAATATTTACAGAACTGGGATAATCAGTGGAAAAATACAAAAGTAAACGAAAAATAAAACAGCAAATCGGTACAACAGCGTAGGTCATGAGCTATGGACTTGGGACGAAATCGCGTTAAATTGAGTTCAATATTGAGACGAACGACATAAAGGCCACAGCAGATTGCTGGACAAGATCACATAAGTTCGAGTCTGAGACGGTCGGCACGTCACAAATGTCTAGAACGTAACGTTAGGCGGCACGGGCGGACATCGATAGCAGCGCCTCTATCGGTCACTAGGGAAAGCTGGGCTGTAGGCGACGAAATACCGGATGAGTTGTCACACGTTGAATAGGTTTATAGACATCAGTCTTGTGAAAAAGTTGAACTTTTGCCTTCAATATTTCTACAGGCAATTTTAGAAGTGTCTTCACATTGATTACAAAACCGTTTAGATTATTGTATTAACTTCAAGCCTTCCCTATTGTTCTTGATGATGCGGGAACTATTTCTAATGAGTGTTTCTAGCTTAGTAAAAGAACATATTGTGCAAACGATGATAAAAGCATAAATGGAAGATTTTAAACGCAATTTTCTCTAACAATTAATGGTAAATTCTCTACACATCAAGGAAAAGGTGCATGCTAACTGATAATTTAAAGGGAGATAATGAGCTTTCTTTTTTCTTTAATAAAAATTACTCGACATCTATACTATTTCTACTGTAGTTTCTATAAAATATGAAAATTTCCTAGCACATTTTCGTATGTGAAAAAGGTTTTTATTTTTGCAAAAAAGAAGCAGTACTTGCAGTACTTGTAACACCCACCGAAATGCGTTGTCCTTCTTGTCCTTCTCTATAAAAAAGTCGCAGTATATGGCGCTTTTGTTTCAAACAGCGACGCTTGGGTTTTTGTTTATGTTATCGCCTTGTCGTTGCTTGGTTGTAAGGATTCTAATTTGAATTAGAGTTAATTCGGTTTAGAATTAATTAGATTCGTACATAGTGCCTACTCTTCTTTGTTTCCAAGTATTATTTTGCGCCACAAATGAACGGCATGCGCCAGAAACGCAGCCAAAGCTTGCGATTGCGACTACGAAATTCATTATTTTGGCCTCAGAGCCTGAAGCGAAAAATACAAGCATATTTATTTCAAAAAGAATTCAGGTTTGTCGAACGGTGTTATGAGAATTTTGATAACAGTACTGCATAAGTTTTTCAGTGATGCCGCAAAAGTGTTGTATCCAGACTTGTGACAGCTCAAGAAAAAAGTGAGCTCGCTCAGCTCAACTCCGTTTTATCCGCTCCCGCTCAGCTCCCGCTCAGTTTAACACGGCTCAGCTCAGCTCACGCTCCGCTCAAACCGGCTGTGCTCCGCTCACGCTCAGCTCAGCTCAGCTCAGTTTCCGCTCAGCTCAGCTCAGCTCAGTTTCCGCTCAGCTCAGCTCAGCTCAGTTTCCGCTCAGCTCAGCTCAGCTCAGCTTCCACTCAGCTCAGCTCAGCTCAGTTTCCGCTCAGCTCAGCTCAGCTCAGTTTCCGCTCAGCTCAGTTTCCGCTCAGCTCAGCTCAGTTTCCGCTCAGCTCAGCTCAGTTTCCGCTCAGCTCAGCTCAGCTCAGTTCCCGTTCAGCTCAGCTCAGTTTCCGCTCAATTCAGCTTAGCTCAGTTTCCGCTCAGTTAAATTCACGCTTAGATCGCTCAGTCGTTCTTTTTAAATCGGACATGCTTAACCCTCGCCCGTATAGGGGGGGGGGGGGGTCGAACGGACCCCCCTGTTTTTCGCGAATAACTCGCGTAAAAAGCGGCCGATCGCGACGAAACTTTCAGTACCCTCGCGATAATCAATTTTACACCTATCCTGAAAATTTCATGACCCTGACCCTAATGACCTTTGACCTGTGACCTACTTTTCGAGACCATGTTTGGCCGGAATCGCGATTCGGCGTATGTCGGCTCGCATTAGCCGCGCGTTAGCAGTCTTTTTGTGGTTTCAAGTGTTCAAACATGGCATATGATGTTGCTCCCATGCATTAGGGTGGGTGTCAAGGTCACCGGAAGGTCAGGTCAGGTCATTGACCTTTGGTGACCTCGGTTCACTTTTTCGAGTTTTACATGTTTCTAGGCTAGTTTTTGGAGCTGAATTCGAATTTAGCAACCATTTGAACATTTACGAAGCAGTTTTGGTGCCTTCGTAACATGTTACGAAGCTGTCAGAGGCTACTACGAATACCCGGCAAAATCCTTACTGGTTGACCTGACCTGACCCGACCTGGCCTCAATGCATAAAGACATCATTAGTGATCATAACTAACATGATATTCGTGATCAGCACCCCGAAAAACCCCATAGCAGCCACGTTTTACGACGTTCTAACAGGTCCCGATTTTCCCGACTTTTGGGTCATTGACCTGACCTGGAAGGTCAACCGATAACCTAGGACCTTAAAATTGGGTATCATCGGCTTCCTCTCGTCGCGGGCAGCACGCTCGTTTTTTCCGCGAAGCTCTAGCTCGATCAGGGACGAAACGGCAAGGGGGGGTCCAACGGACCCCCGCCCCCTTATACGTTCGCGGCTGGAAAAACACCAATACGGGCGAGGGTTATAAAACAGACCAACTCTTGGCGCATAAGTAAGTCTCCTCTAACAAGGAGCGAGGCAACTTACACAATGGGCAAAAGAGATAAGCTCATTAAGACCTTGAGACTTTGCGAGTCGTGCGTTTACTTGGACTCAGACTATAGTTACATGAAATGGACTGTTCTTGGCAGTGTTATCACATGTTATCAGAGTGTGCACCCGCGATGTTAACATAACATATAAGTTCAAAATATACGAACGAAAAAAGTCTGGACGAAAAAGTTTACAGACGAAAAAAATGTACAGACGAAAAAATGCCAGACGAAGAAAAGTCGGACGAAAATCTGCTAGACGAAAAAAACGCCATGGAATCATCTCAACTAGGCGGTGTTTCACGGCCGAGAGCAGCACGCCCACGCCGCCATCCGCTCTTGGCACCCTGCCAGGAGCTGACGTTACATTTTGGGGTAGTGTTGGAACTTGGAGATAAGAGTTTGTTTATATCTCCATGGAAACCCCATTTGACACGTGTGATAGCAGCGTGCTGTTATCAGTGAAACCTTGAGTGAAACCAAACACCACCCTGATCTCAACCAAGGCAATGTCAACACAATTAGAATTCATAGTCGGCGTGTGAATAAGGGAGCTTTTCCCATATTATGGACATCAGAAGGTGAGAGTTCCAGTTAGCGCCTCTGCCCCACCCCACTTTCAATAGGATATGGTTGCTTAGCCCACATTCAACCAACGAAGAGGAACATTTGCTAATTCCTAATTGTAAATATTTTATGCAGAGGTAAGAACCCTTATCGATAAAATTAATTTAAATAACTGCTTAAATAACAAAGTGAAGAATGCTGAATTGTACATTGCGGAGCAGAGTGTCAAGGCGAAGCATCAAAGCCTGACAGTAGGTATTCATCTTGCAGTCAGACTTGAAACTTGAGACTGGCTGTATTAGCCTGTAAATTGGCCAAGACCCTGGTCTTCCAATTTCCATGCAACATGGATGAAATAAATTAAGCTTGATTAGTGATTAATATTGATTTCTTTAGAGTTTTGATATTTTTAAGTGCGATCACGAAGGCAGTGTAATTGCTCACTCCATAGCTAGCTCATAGCTGAAGCATCAAATCCTGAGTTAATTTCCAAGCATGAACTGAAAAGAATTAGAACTGGATCAGCTCAGCTCAGCTAAATCAGCTCAGCTCAATCAGCTCAGCTCAGCTCAGCTCAGCTCAGCTCAGCTCAGCTCAATCAGCTCAGCTCAGCTCAGCTCAATCAGCTCAGCTCAGCTCAATCAGCTCAGCTCAGCTCAGCTCAGCTCAGCTCGCTCAGCTCAATCAGCTCAGCTCAGCTCGCTCAGCTCAGCTCAGCTCAGCTCAGCTCAAGCTCATTCAGCTCAGCTCAGCTCAAGCTCATTCAGCTCAGCTCAGACAGCAGCTCAGCTCAATGCATTACTGAGCCGGCTCAGCTCACAGCTCAACAATTTGGCAAAATGTTGAGCCGGCTCATGAGCTGAGCTGATTTTTGAGCCGGCTCAACTGAGCTGATCACAAGTCTGGTTGTATCTATCTTCTTTTATTGTGCAGTCGGCGGGACCGATTCAAAATTGAGTCGTTGCTACTAAAATAGCAGCATATGGCCTCAGATGATGAACAGGAAAAATAGTTGCGTAAATTTAGACATAAACCACCCCCAAACCATGAATATCTTTTGAAGGCACTATAGACGACCATTAACTAACTAGATGTGATGAAGATCAAATGTAAGGAATACGCTCATTTTACAAAATTACATGCAAGTACCAAAAAGTGATGTAAGTACTTATTCAACGGTCATTTTCAGCGCTCCCCGCTAACGTGACTTCAAGTTGAGATATTTGCGGCAAGGTACCGCATTGAGCAAAATGGTTTTAATTTACATTATAACTTGTTGTGTTTTGTCAGAAAATGATCCTAACTCAGATTTTGTGGAAAAAGGTCATTATCTCCCTTTAAAGTTCTTGGGGCCAGTTGTTTTCTTCTTTTCTTACGTCGCCCCAATGGCCGCAAATACACTTGTGATAACACCCATCGAATAACTGGCAAAAACCATAAGCTGTTTCCTACTAGCTGAACGGTCGTAGGTGAACAGAATCCGCTTAATTATTTTTATCACGATGAGCTACGCATGTCAGTGCTCCTATGTTGCGATATATCCGATAAACGGCATGAGTTTTTTTTTTCTTTAAGTTTGACCTTTCTTCCGGGACACCTTAATTGCGTTATATAACTGTAATTATGGCGACGAAATTGATCCACGATCAGCATTCAGTCGGAAACTAGATTATTCTGGTTTTTAGATGATCTATCAGCATCCACAAAGCATCGGAGGATAAATGCCGTAGCAACCAATCTCAAAAACATCGCGACAATCCGCCCCCATATTCCCGCTCACAAATACATTTCATTTGAGCCGGGTATTATATTAAACTGCCCACTGTGCGCTATCTCATTACGAGCCAATAACCCGTGTCACCGAACCCAAATTGGCCTGAACAGCGGCGGAAACCCGACACTGGGGAGGACCGACCGTGGTTACAGCGCACAACCCAAGCCCACGCGTGTATCTCGTCAGACACCGCCTTAACAAACTAGGGCGTGGGCTCAGTGGTCCTTACTTCTGACGGGACAGGCTATCGCATCAGGTTTCATCGACATAAATTACTGTGAAAATGCGACGGCTTTACCTGAATTCATAAGGTGTTCTGATGATAGCATTGAATTTAGACCGGCACTGCTAAACTTCTAAGCAGTGATTCTTTCCTTTTCACCAAACATTTAACCCTCGCCCGCACATGCCATTTTCCCATCCTAGAACGCACATGGGGGGGGGGGGGTGGTTGCCCCCCCCCGCGCCATTTCGTTCCTGTTGGAGATAGAGCTTAGCGGTAAAGACCAAAAAGATTCTTTGGGAAGAGACGAATCCAATGATACCCAGTTTTACCTTCTCAGGTCAGTCATTGACCTTCCAGGTCAGGTCAAACTAAAAAATGTTGCTGTTTTGGGTCACCGTTGGATATCAAGTGCGCTGCTTATCATATACCGATAACGATGCTGTTTTCTGGTGCCAAGCCAGCTAGAACCTCTTTCTCACACTACCCGACCAGGTTTTTGCTGCTGAGGTCATTTCAGGTCAAGTTAGGTCAAGGTCAGTTATATGTGTTTGTATGTCTGTGTGTGTCTGTGTGTATACTAATGTGTGCACCGATTGTTTATGTGTCCATATTACATGAAATCATGATCTGAGAAGCTTTTACCAAAAATGCAGTCAAAAAACTTCACAAAAAGTAAATTCCGCTTGCCTAAAACGCAATTATCTTAGATGACCTAGGTTGACCTTGACCTTGACCTTGACATCTGTACATCGTCGAACAACATGTTCCATGATGGGTGGGAGGTAAGACTGGTAAAAAAGGCCGAAATCAAGGTGTCAAAAGCTCACAAGGCCCATAGCCAACGCAAGATGTCGAGAATTGGCCATTTGGGTCATGACATGACCTGAAAAATAAGGTCATATCTCCGAAACCAAAGGTCACAGAAACTTGAAATTTTCAGTGGACATCAAGAAAGGATAGAGGAGCAGCTATACGAAAAATCAGCCTTCTAGCTCTAAAAATGTTGAGTGCAGAGCAGAAAGACTACCTGGGGGGTGGCAACCACCCCCCCCCCCCATGTGCGGGCGAGGGTTAAAGCAAAGGGAGGATGCTTGGGAGAGGTTTACCACAGAAGACCACCAGTTTTCAATGGGCGAGTTCTCAAATGGCTTCATTTTATCACCTTCGAAGATTGGGTTTTAGTTGACTACGTATTTTCAGAGGACTCACGACAAATACTCGTGGACCATGGGTTCTCAGTGGACACCATTCTCATCTGCCAAAGGTTCTCAGCGAATATTGTTCTCACCTTCCACACTCAGAAACAGTTTTTAGAACATTCGATGATTGGTTTACTCCGAGGTATCCGGCCAGTCTCAATTTCCGGTAAATGCTCTTGACACGGAGACATTAGATGCCGAAACTTTCAGAAAGCCAAGGTTTAGTACGCCGACTATCTCAATCAATCAACATCGATACAGCGACCTTCTTTGAGATAACATTGGAAGTTTTTAAGACCGTGCCGTTGTCCAGAAGACCCCCCAGGTGTCTCCAAGAACGAATGTCTTGACGGTCCGCGGATTCGATCCGCGCGCTGCACATCAAAAGAAATTCTTGCTAGCGATCCCCCGTCCAGGAGATTTCCCAACAACTGCGCATTTGAACGCATTTGAACGGCAAAATGCTATCAAAGGTGAACAAACATCCACTCTATCGCTGCACATCATCCACACTTGGCCAACATCACCACAAACGCTGCCAATCTCTAAAAAAAAAAACAAAAAAAAAACACGACCGAAGTCGTTACGACAGCCTGTCAGCCGCCGCCGCCGCTGGTACAGAATGCCGTTTGTGGCCTCTACGACAAGGCTCAATGGATAGAGTTGCGGTTAATCAATGGAAAGATTGCCGGTTCGATTCCGGGCGCGCCGCGACTTTTCCCGTGTACACCAACGCATGGTCTCCAAAGAGACCAATGTACACCAGCGTATGGTCTCCAACGCATTATCTCCAAGATATAAAAATGTTGGTGGTTTCACTGAAGCCCAAATAAAAAACAAAATTGTCTAAAAAAGGGTGGCTCTTTGCAAAGTCGTGCCAGGTGCCTCAGAGACAACCTAATGGGCTTTTCTGTTTCTGAGTGCAAATTATGGGGATTAGTGGATATTCGTGGGTAACCCGTTATCAGCGGACAATGAGTTCTCAATGGAGACGGTTCTCACCTTCCAAGATTGCGTTATCAGTGGACCATGGGTACTCACTGAATATCGTTCTCACCTTCCAAAGATGGAATTCAGTGGACCTTGGGTTCTCACTAGACTCCACGGGTTCTCAGTGGAGACGGCTCTCACCTGTCAAAAGTACTCAGTGGACACTGTTCTCACCTGCCAAAGGTTCACAGTGAATATCGTTCTCACCTTTCAATGACGTGGTTCAGTGGCCCATGGGTTCTCAGCGGACAATGAGTTCTTAGAGCACACCATTCTCACCTGCCGAAGATGGGGTTCAGGGTGGCCGGCCGGTAGTTGTCTTTGGTGGTCTGCCGCTGTTTTCCCAGCTGTACCTGGAGGTACGGGTCGGAGAAACCGCTCGAGTCCTGCGGAGACAGGTCCCACGCCCTGCGGGAGAACAAAGTTAGTGACGTCATAAAATAGAGATGTAAGGTTGTCCAGGCCCTGCAGACACCGCGGAAAATTTGGAGATTTCATAAAACGGGGAACAAAGAAACACTTCGTCCTGCGGGTCCTGCCAAGACCAATGACTTATTAGGGACACCATAAAATAACGAGGTAATGCTCCCATCCCCGACACTACGGACACTGCTACCGGGCTTCTAAAAAAAGTTAGACGGATTTCTTTTGCGATTAGAGGACCCCTTACAACATTTAAGCAAAATCAATGCACGTGGAAAAACGGAGAATTTTTCGTACAATTATATGACACCATGGTTTGAGCTTAAAAAATGAAGCCGTCTTCTTAGGAAGTAAAAGCAAAAATCGTGAAATTATGCTTTCCCAGACTAAGTCGGTCGGTTCGACACCACGGAAGATCCGCAAACACTTTAGGGCAAAGAGAGCAACATCTTGAAACAAAAATTTCCACATTATTGACAAGTTTCTGGCTCGAGGAAGTGTCAACAATAGGTTCACGCAATTCAAGGAACACAGCGGCGGCCATAAACCCAATCAAAGGCTCACGGCGAACACCACTCGTGTGAGAGATGCGCTAATCAGACTGTCAATGGTCAGCGATATCGGGTGGCTCTGGCGACGTTTTGGAGGGTTCTGCAATATCAGGATGAGCAGAGATCCGGAAACGCTTAAGATCCAATGGTACCAGCAAGACGGTTCCACGCCAATACCGCTAAAGAAAACCGGGAGGGGCTGTGGGAGCGCTTCGGGCAGCGCGTGATCTCGAGGTTCGAGACACGCCCGTGGTCGGCGAATTCTCCGAACGTAACCCCACCGGACTTTTTCCTATAGGACCACCTCAAGTCCCAGGTGTACCGAGACCACCCAAAAAGTTCCGAAGATCATAAGGATGCAGTGAAGTCAGCGGTGTGCCGTCTGCAGCTTTCCGTGGGTCGTGCTGCAGCAGAGGTCGCGCTGCGCCGGGCTAAACTGTGCATCGAGCAAAAATGGAATCATCTCGAACATGATCTCGGCGCGGCTCAGAAAGGCGACTGCCGAGGATCGAAATCCCCTCAAACGAAATGTATTTGATGAGGCTTTCAGGTGATACCCAATTATGTTTTGTTACACTGATACGCTTTTCAATACGTTAGTTATAAAATCGTCCAACTTTTTTGAGAAGCCCGGTATAACATCAGTGGCGTCACGACATAAGGACAGTGCTAGCAGATCAGCAAAATAACTAACGTCGTGAAATGGGGAGGAAAGTGCACACAACAGACGAGGAGGTAGTAACGGAATATATCATCTATCTATTCAAATCCTATCCGATTGGATCACCAGCTACAACCTTTGCTACCCAATACGCATCCCTTCCCCTCATTTTCAGACCCCCCCCCCTTCCCGCCCCCTCACCTGATGACGTAGACTCGCACAATGACCTCCTCGGAGGCCGAGGGCGGGATGCCGCGGATCTGACGCGGCGGCAGCGGCACCGACGGGTCGTCCGGCAGGGTGTACACCTGGGGTACAGCAGAGGTCACACAGAGGTCACACATAGGTCAGCGGTACCGACGGGTCGTCCGGCAGGGTGTACACCTGGGGTACAGCAGAGGTACACAGAGGTCACACATAGGTCAGCGGTACCGACGGGTCGTCCGGCAGGGTGTACACCTGGGGTACAGCAGAGGTACACAGAGGTCACACATAGATCAGCGGTACAGACAGGTCGTCCGGCAGGGTGTACACCTGGGGTACAGAGGAGGTACACAGAGGTCACACATAGGTCAGCGGTACAGACAGGTCGTCTGGCAGGGTGTACACCTGGGGTACAGAGGAGGTACACAGAGGTCACACATAGGTCAGCGGTACCGACGGGTCGTCTGGCAGGGTGTATACCTGGGGTACAGCAGAGGTACACAGAGGTCACACATAGGTCAGCGGTACAGACAGGTCGTCCGGCAGGGTGTACACCTGGGGTACAGAGGAGGTACATGGAGTCAGTCAGGGTACACCTGGGGTGCACCAGAGGTACACACATAGGTCAGCGGTACAGACAGGTCGTCTGGCAGGGTGTACACCTGGGGTACAGAGGAGGTACACAGAGGTCACACATAGGTCAGCGGTACAGACAGGTCGTCTGGCAGGGTGTACACCTGGGGTACAGAGGAGGTACACAGAGGTCACACATAGGTCAGCGGTACCGACGGGTCGTCTGGCAGGGTGTATACCTGGGGTACAGCAGAGGTACACAGAGGTCACACATAGGTCAGCGGTACAGACAGGTCGTCCGGCAGGGTGTACACCTGGGGTACAGAGGAGGTACATGGAGTCAGTCAGGGTACACCTGGGGTGCACCAGAGGTACACACATAGGTCAGCGGTACAGACAGGTCGTCTGGCAGGGTGTACACCTGGGGTACAGAGGAGGTACACAGAGGTCACACATAGGTCAGCGGTACGGACAGGTCGTCCGGCAGGGTGTACACCTGGGGTACAGAGGAGGTACACAGAGGTCACACATAGGTCAGCGGTACAGACAGGTCGTCCGGCAGGGTGTACACCTGGGGTACAGCAGAGGTACACAGAGGTCACACATAGGTCAGCGGTACAGACAGGTCGTCCGGCAGGGTGTACACCTGGGGTACAGAGGAGGTACACAGAGGTCACACATAGGTCAGCGGTACGAAGGGGTCGTCCGGCAGTGTAACTGTACACCTGGCGTACAGCAGAGGTAGGGAGGTTAGCGGCACAGAGGTACAACAAAATCAGACGTACAGCGATTAAGGGCGTAGCATCACGTTAGATATAGCCTCAATGTTCTCTGCCTCTAGATTACATACGTACCCCCATAGACACGCACCTTATTCCCAACTTCCTGGCTCCAGCTCTAGTTCTGAGCCTTATTATTCGGCCCTTTATTACGTCCCTGGTTACACATCCGCGTAGTAACGATTTGCTCGTCCCTGGTTCTCTTCCCTCTTGATATCAGTTCCATGGTTGTTTCTTCTAACTAGTGATGTCAATTACGGAAAATCGTGATACCGATACCAAACCAAATACAACAATACCCATGGAAAAATACCGAAACCGAACCGACTTGAAAATATGAAGGAAATGCCAACTTTTTACCAAATTCTCCGCTCCTTTTGCATAAGAGAGAATTAATCATACCAACAAAACACCAAATGCGTTCGCCAATACCAAGTTGGTATCGGTTTGGTATCAGTATACCGGCATAAAGTTGGTATCCGATTGACATCAGCTTGACCTCATCCCCGATTACGTACCCCTCCCTCCCCCCCCCCCCCCCCCCGGTTACGTACGCGCATGGTGCCTTTGAACTCTCCAACAGTCGCCGACTCCTCATCCTCTGACGACTTTCCGCGAAGAATGGGCAGGGTGTTCAGAATGTCCCGGAAATGGCCAAAGCAGGCCACGCGCTCCAGCTCCACCGGGTAGATCTCCAGCTTCTCGTACCTGAAATAGGGAGAGAATGGGGGAAATTGGTGTCATATAGCAGAATGACGGCAAAAATGGAAAAAAAAACGAGGAGCTGAAAATAGCTAGAGTAAAATTGGCAGGTACGTGTGAGTTCAATCAATGGCAAACATGATCAGAAACAGGAAAATACATGTAAATTCCAAATAGCATAGAACAGAAACATGTAATCACAACTTCAAAGACGTGATTTATAGGCGTATCTTCAAGTTTAAACAACCGATTGCATTCAATAAAAACGATAGCAAATGAGATTTAGTAGTTGAATGGATTCAACAAAAGAACACACACCAGCAAGATCGCAAACCATCAGCCTCTATCGTTTATAGGAACAGCAACACCGTACAAAATGCGCGGCATAGCGCCCGCCTATACCGCTATGCTACACCGCATCACACGGGGACGACATTCCTGTCGCTAGATGGCAGCACGAGTCAACGCCTGAGCCTATACTGCACCGCATTACACGAAGACGATATTCCTGTCGCTAGATGGCAGCACGAGTCAACGCCTGAGCCTATACTGTACCGCATTACACGGGGACGACATGCAGCCCGCTAGATGGCAGCACCAGTCAACGCCTGAAACGATTATGCGCCGCAATGCGCCTGAACGTTACCAACGGCGCCATGCGCTTACCGTGCATACAACCAAGTTGGTTGACAACAAAAATTTGGTTGAGAGGTGTCCAACGCACCTCAGTCCATATTTTTGTTTCACTACAAAGTTGCTCACAGGGACACCAGACAAATCTGGCTAAGGGAAACTACGGTCTATGCATGCTACCTCCAGCGTCTCACCCTTTCGTGAGGTAGTCGCCGCACTTTCTGACCTCTCCCGCTGACGCGTAGTACTTGCTCCACCAATCCATGTTTTTGGCGCGGTCGCTGGCCTGTATAAAAAACGCACGTGCACATGCGCACACACAGATGTTTGAAGTCAGGGATCGGGGTCGTGTGAGATAAAGTTCGAGTGAAAACCCCAACAAAATATGTAATAAATATAACGTACGTCATAAACAGCGAAAGTGAAACACCAGACAAAAGAAACAAAATAAAATTACACATAAAAAGATGGGGACTGTTCTCGAAAGAATACATTAATAATCTATGAAATGGCAATAGATAGCATTGGTTTACTTTGGAAGCTTCGGTAAGAAAGTAAAGACCAAGCGTGTTGCTTTCAAAAAGGGATGACTACTCGCCAGCGTTACGTTAAAAAAGACACGCAATAACAAACCAAGGCAAAAGCAGGGGCGTATCCAGGACTCTTATCTCCCTCTTTTTAGCATCTTGTGTTACCATGATGTCTCTAAGTATGACTCCGCTGGCTCTATGTCTTTTTACTTTCTTGGGTAACAGGCCTTGTAGTGATAAAGTTCAACTTTTTCCTTTCATGAGCATTCTTTTGAGAGAAAAATCAGAATTGATGTAGGATGAAAGCACTACCTCCTAAAACAGAGTTCCTGGATACGCCCCTGGCACTCACCATTTCGCGCCACAGCTCGGGGTCAGTGACCTCGGTGAGGTCAGAGTCGGGGTCAGACGCAGCGTCTGGGCCTGCTGCAGTCAGCTGACCAGTGGCGGGGGGGGCAGGCAGGGGGGGGGTGTTAGCAGAGGCGGTACGACGCCGCTGGCCATGCGCGGAGAGCGAAGTGAGTGAAAAGAGTCGAGCGAATTAATGGCGAAATGCATTGTACAGCGGGAGAAGTGAGTATTTACATGGTGTTAATTGTTGATTAGATTATAATTAAAGATTGTATGTGAGATGATTAGCAACAAAAACATCAACATCAAACAAAACAAACAAGTTTTGAGACTGGATAGAAACAAAGTAACGAATTTTATGCTGCAACTTCAGAGCAAATTACCGTATTATTTTCCAGCATAAATGTATCTTGCTTAATTCTTGCACAAACAAAACATCAATAACATCATTGCCTCAATCCATAACGTTTCCCATGCCATGCCAGAACAAGAACGCACGACACTCAAGCCCCATGTTCAGTAAATGACGAGTTTCCCAGCATAACGACAACCCCACACAATGTTGCACACACTGTCATGTTCACCAAAACGTTCAAGTCCATGAATGTAAATGCCAAAACAATCCCACTGCTATGTAGCCTCGAGCGATGACAAGTAGTCGACCCACGCTGAAGCGGTTTTCCCGTCAACCGATGCATAAACAAGCAATATAAACCGTACTCGCCAACGTAAGCAGAGCACACAACAAACCGCAAATAACAGGCAAGCAGCATACGCGGCTTGTTTGTCTAACGAACACGTCAATAAGCTTTCATCGTCATGGGCATATGACTCGTCACCCAAAAAGCCAATAAATAAGCACTTATTTTGACGATGTTGTTCAAGCGTAGATGTTCACCTTTGCTCTAATGTAAGCCTCGTGAATTCACATACTTCAAAACATTTTTCCCACAGTCACAACATATGCATATAAAAGTCATCGCATGCTTTCGGAGTCCCACGTGTGTGTGTGTGCAGTCTTTCATATTTGCCGAGTTCTGAAGCATTTGTGTTTGCCAGAACAATCATTCGAGTGCTAAAAGCTGCACGGATCAGACAAAACATAAAAAAACATTTTGACGGCACGATTGCACAATTCCAAAAACACGCAAAGCGCAGAAGCAGACATACCCGCAAATACAAGAGCTTCTTACCGAGACAAGATAGCTTCTAAATGCGACATCAACCGACCGATGCATGAAATGGCAGATCGAAATTCCCAGCATTAGACGGAACAAAACAATGACACGAAGCGACGACTCGGCCAACCATGTGATATGTTGTGTGAAATGAGCATTTGACCATGTGAAGTAATCTTTTCATGTTTCTGTAAGCGCTTCAAGCTTGCCATACGAACAGTGTCCCATGACTGCGAAATACGCTAAGCCCTACGGCACACATCGTTTCTTTTGAAGAAATACCCGGAGTGATATGGCGTTACAATATGCAGACTACTGTAAGCGATACAAAATGTGATGCCAATGTAGTGCGTGCGGAAGCGTGTAACCGACTCACATCTGACTTTTCATGTCTGTGCGTATATCGATAACTCAGATAGATAGTGTGTAAGCTCCACTCGAGCAGAAACTTCAATCCATGGGTCCAAATATGTTCGCGTGTCCATAAAGGCTTTGGCATTCTCACAAGCATTTTCAATATCCTTGCATGTGTGTGGAGCATTTCTGCGTGTTGTAAAAGCCCTCAAAATCGGTCACCTGTTCTTCTTCCTCATCTCTCGGGGTGACCGTGCGTCTCCTCTCCCTCGTCACACCAGTGACGTCATCAGTGACGTCAGCACCGGCCGGTGACGTGGCCTGCCCGGTGGCGGAGCCGCTCCGTCGGGTTCGCTCGGAGCGGCGGAAAGCACGAGAGAGCATACGGAATGTGCGCCAGCCCTGCCGGGGTCGGGCTACGCGTGACGTCACCCGCTGCAGCGCGTCAAATGACGTCATGGGCTCAGTATGGGATGTTAAGTGTGTATAGAGAGGGTAGTGTGAGCATGAGCATGATAGTTGTGATATATGTACATGTACGTAGTGTGCTGTGCAGGTGCATAACTTCTCCTTCAAAAGACGGTGAAACATTTCATATCGAATCGACACCACATCAACAATGCTGCCTTCAAGTTGCACACACATCGATAATAGGTTTTGTGACTGGAAGGCAGTACATACAATTGTCATTACTCAATCCTAAAAACGCCTTTATACATACATACAAGCAGCAAACGAAATACAACATGACACAAAATCGGAAACATATGACGTCATAAATATAGCATATTCCGTCACCGACAGCCCAACAAAGCTCATACTTACGCGTGTCCCGTCTACGTCCTGCTCGGGTTCCTACAGAGCAGTGATGTATGGTTAACCTCACAGCCGAGACCAGACAGTTGGAAATCCACTTCAACAAATCTCTATGATAAGATCACATAGCCCCTTCCTTCTGCTAAGTCTTACGAACGAATGATGAGCATTTATCAGCTATATTGTATGCGATGATGATGATGATTTGGTATTTTTGGGCGCAACAGCAACGAGACTATATGGCAGCTATATTGTATGTAGGCTAGTACATTGATCATTCATTACTACGGTCTCGATGTTCACAAGATATACGAACGCTTTTGATGTCAAAGTTTGGTATAAGTGCAATTGACGTCGCTCTTGAACAGCGCCGAACAGGATGTTTGCTATAGAAAACGCACATTGAGTGGTCTCAGATGTAATTCTTAAAACCTGCCGATGCGACAGTAAGTTATTGCCAGAAAAGGCTGGGAAAAGTACACCGCTTAATGAGTTGAGAAGGATGTAGGGCTTACATTGCAGGCTTCCTTTGTCTGCTTTTCCACTGTGGTATTTGGTTTTGAGTTCAGGAAAAGGAAAGATCAAAACACTTCTACAGACATACCATTATGCAAATTCGAATTAAAGACACATAGCTACTGCAGACAGAACACATAACTGACACAGCGACGACAAAAAGCCAGAAGCTCGATATCATTCGGGCAACAGCAAGCCACAAACACGCAGGCATAAATCGGTAAACTCCCATAATATATAATCGGCATACAAGATCACAGGTGAAAAGTTTATACCATCGATGACAAGCTTTTAACAAACCCAGTATTATCAATACCGTGTTTTCAAGAACACTGCGGGATTGCATATCAGTACCGACAAAACGCTCCAGCACGGCAAAAGCTAAATACAACCAAGAATAGCAGCGCAATAATGACTCACATCAGACACAAAGACAGGGATAACGCCCCTTCGGGAAACGGAAGAGCGCAACAAACATATAGAGCCGCTTTGGCTTTGCCGCGTTGAAGCTTTAGTAGGAATGGGGTAACTAAAAACATAACCCCGCTAACGTGCTACAATTTGTGAAGTTACATATATGTCTTGAAGGCCGCAGATATTGTCTTTGCGACGCATTTGACTTGATATCCGTTTCCCGAAGGCCTGACGGGAACTCAACTGGAAGACTTGACAAGCACAACAAATGTCCAGCACGCAAATGCCGTTTCAGTAGAGTTTCTTGGAATGAAACGCAAACACCGATGGAAAGAGTTATTCAAAGACACAGAGCGGAAAAAGTCAATAGTGATAGAATGCAGCCACGGCCAAAAAAAAGAAAAACATCCGTGGCAGAGTCATTAAAACAGATCGATGGAACCGAAAACCAAGAAAACCAGTTTGTCAAGATGCATCAATGAGTTCAGCATCCGCCTCCCTGATCTCTTCAGCTTCTGAAGAGAGCGAAGTAGTCAGATATGCTGAAAGCAAGCGAACTGACCGAAGTTTCAAGACCGAAGAGGAAGCAAGCCTGATCAAGAGTGAGCAAAACCCGCTGGATTATAAACTTAGAAGTCACGACCGATTAAAGACGAAATGCAGGAGTTAGCACTTAGCACCTTTAAACCACAAAGCAGAAACCGCAAAGCATTAGCACCATGGCTCGATCCTATTTCCTAAACATGAGCTTAGTGTATAGTCAAAATAAGCAATTTGGAGCGAACATGACTTGGTAAACACGCAAATAATATTCATCAAAAGAGCTGACTGTCGTCAAATTTGTAGCTGTACTTCATCGTTGGATGAGGAACATTAAAATCATAAAAATGTTGGGCGTTTACCGCCTGTGAAATGAAAAATGAAAATTAACTAGAAGGAAAGAGTTGGACGTTATTGCAGTAAAATAGCGCAAATCAGCGTATGTACAGAAATGCAAATTTACAAAGGGTTTGATATTCACACCAAAATAAAAAGCTAATGTAGCTATGCACTCTTTCAAATAAGTGCACAAAGCGTATGTGCATAAGCCATCCAAAGTTTGTACAGATATACAGCCTGCAGCTTTTGCGTTATTCCACCAAAGCTCGTGCGCTAGCAAAGTCAGAGCCTCCGGATGCACCGTGCCATTCCTCCCAGCTCCAGTCCTCTCCATCCCTCCACCGCGCCACTCCTGAACATCCTCAGGATTACCTCAGGGTCATGGCGCTCCAGCTTCTGTGCAAACTCAGTCCTCTCCTGCGCCGCCAAACTCGGTTCAGCAGCCAGCAGTCGCTTCTCCACCTTCTTATGTGCAAATCCTTCCCTTCCACTGAAGTTTCCACGTATCGATACAGCCTCCACCGGGGGTTCCGGCTCAGTTGATGTCAGCGCTCGGCCTTTTCTCAGCGGTGATCCGCGGCGCGGGGGTGCCGTGGGGGAGACAGTCACCTGCGACTCCAAGTCGGAAAGCGGCTGGTAGTCGAAGTTTTTCGAGCGGCGGTCGGCGAATCGACCTCGACGCGCATTGGAGCCGGGGGCCGAGACGCCGGCGGAGACGGATGAAGACTCGACGGCGACTGCCACCAGTTCGGTGTCGCCAGGCTCGGCGAGGGCGACCAGCTAGGAGACGTAGTAGAGGTTATAAGGGGAGTCCAGATCCAGGCTCGAAGGTTAGGATGCTCGAGGGGAGGTAAACGAGCGCTGGGGTTAGAGGGAAGTGGAGAATCTAACGATGCCTAAAGCTAGGGAGGCTTGTAAGATCGAACTAATATCGGATTTATTACGATTTTTAGAATGTTTCCCTGTAATGGCCATTCGAGGCAATCTGGGTTACGGAGGAAGGGAATGGAAGAAAAGTCGATCAAACGTGTCAATATTTTTTTCAATTCAGAGTTAACCGAGGCTTCTTTCAGAAATGTCGGATGATTTCTTTCCAGGATGAGGCGTATGGGATACAAACCAATGTGGAAATATATTTGGCATGAACGAATGGCAACAGGCAAACTGGCAAGGCGGATAGGATACTGGCAAATAAGCTCTAGCGTCTAGCAGGCGGGGAAAGCGGGGTAGGTACTCTATCAAACGCACACAAGCATACAAACTGGCACGCAAGCGAAACAAGCAAGACGCAGACACCGCAAACGCTCCGCAAAAATAAAAAACTCGGATGAGCTAGAAACTGGGAAGAATTCTTGGGATCGTGGTTGAAGACCCTGAATTTATCCGTGTGCTATCTAATTTCCTAAATATCTTCTCTATTAAATGTTGTGCTTATATCATGAGCCACACATCTCTGTATCATTCAAAAGCTGATACAGCTTACAGAAATATCCTCCCGAATATTCATACCACAAAACCCCAACCAGACCAGTTGCATAAGTCACGTTACACCGCAGAACTGTCCACGTGACCTAGCTAAAACAGCACCATGTGATGTCGTCACATCCCAGCAGGGCGTCACGTGATCTTTCCTCTGTGCCACCGCCTGGCAGGAGTCATTACTGGTGAAACATTAGATGGTAGTATGTGCTGGCTCGTACGACACGTGAAAATTACTCACAGGGACGCTCTATGTTACTGGCTTCTACGTCAGTACACAGCAAACGGGGGCACATACATACATGGTCAGTTCCCGACCCGAGTAAGGGATAGGCTTGGCTGGGATGTGGTTTTTTGGGCGCCCGGACTGTGGTCATCGGCGTTGGCTGGGATGGGAAGGGGACTGGATGGGACGGGAGTGGATGGGACTGGAATTGGGCATCGGACTGAAGTGTCCGGGATTGGGTTTGGTCGTGTCAGGTCATCAGTCAGGTCAAAAACGGACCTGACATGTCAGGTCAGAAACTAGGCTAGCTCAGACAGGCTGGCCAAGGCTGCTGAGCCACAGTTTGGGACGGACAGGCTGGAACTGGGCAGGAAAAGGACAAAAAGGCCAAGTTGACAGGCTAGGCTAGGATAGATCAAGCCAGGCCGTACCAGCTCGAAACTATCAGGCGCCAGCGGTAACAGTACCTGCGCGTTGGGCGCGTCTCCGGCGGCGGCTGCAGCCGGTTCCTCGGGTACAGCAGGCTCCATGTCGATCACAGTTGATTGTCGCGGTACGGTGGACTGACGGTGGACCGTGGACTGGCGACGCACCGGCTTTGACCTGAAGGGAGGGGGGAGGGGAGTTAGAGGTCAGTTGGGTGAGAGCTGAGTGAGTTAGCTTAAGACTTGTCAGAGTTGGGTGAGATTGCGGTTGTGATGCTGGTAGTTAATTTGTGCGCTATGCTGAGCTGGAGCAGGTATTTTGATTTCAGCACCATTGAAATATTATCTAGATCATTGGATGGGTTATATTCGTGACCAAATAACACCAAAGATTCGGCAGAATTTTACACGTGACGATTGCCTTGTTGATGGCGAGTTACGAAATTCACACATTATGTGACACATTGGACATGACCTAAATTCACCCGACTTTAGTATGAAGCAGAGACAATTAATTTATGGCCAGCTCTATCACTATTTCTATCGCTTCATCCTACCTCCTCCTCCCTCCCTCCCTCCCTCCCTCCCCTCCTCCCTCTCTCTCTCCCTCACTTGACATCCATCAGTGGCTCGATGCTGTACTCGTGCAGCGATTTGACCACGTGAGTTCCGACCACAGGCCGGGAACCGAAGCTGCGGTGGTCCCGCACCTTGATGTTCAGGGGGGGCATGTAGAGCGGCTCCTTGGGCAGCATCTGCGGCAACGACAGGGTGATCAGGGTGAGGATGATGTTGGTGATTATGTTAGACAGTTGGCGGCACTTGGAGGTCAAAGGAAAGAAGTGGTTAGAAAAAGAAACTCAATGGCGATTTGTTAACTTGATGAAATTGCGAGACTGTGCGAGTAGAGTGAAGGGATAAAAAGAGCGACGTCAGCAATATTTTAAGCAACAACTGAACTTCTACATTTTGATACGCAATTTACAGGTCGAAACGATGTTTATGACGTAAACTAAAAATACAGAAGCTAATAACTAAAAACTGTAGATCTTTACAGCAATTAGTGAAATATATTCGCAGCCCTATTGACAATCCAGTTTCCGTTAGTCCAACTGTCATCCGAAACAAAACCTCCAAAGCCAGCGTTCAAACTGCTGCCGTTCAAATTCATACAATCATTACCATCACCGTTTTCTTCACCCGCATCACCGAATCGATCGAACAAACATTCCTTCACTTACGATCTCCATAAAGAGGAACGGTTCGGCGAAGTTGGGGTGCTGCTTGACGTCCTTCATGACCTCGGAGGTAACAATCTTCCCGGCACACTCAAACTCGATGGCAGGGTTACGCACCGAGCGTAGCTCGAAACTCTTCATGTTGCGCACTCCCCAGCACAGGATCTGAGACGCGGGAAACGCATTGAATTACACAATAGGAAGAAGCACAGAATGCGAGCATAACTATCCGTGAAGCTGAGCCAGGTCGTATAGAATCGCAATTACATAAAAAACACGATTAAAGCAAACAGCAACGGTAATTCAACTGTCTATATAATAAGTTATCATGCATTCCTTTCTATATTCTCATGAGTTCATTACACATGAATTGACTCATGACAAAAGCAGACTTAGTTTATCGGTCGGACAAGGGCTAATCAACAAACAGCTGCAGCCCAAAGCGCCGTTGCGTTAGACTTTCTACCAGAACTAACCGACCCCTTTCACCCCCTCCCTCCCGCGCCCTCCCACCTCCACGGCGGTCCTCTGCAGTACGGGTCGGATCCCGCTGGGCACGTAGTACAGCGTGCCGCCCTTCTTGGTGGGCGGGAGGAACGGCAGCTCCGTGGTCTTGCAGTACAGCTCGAACGAGGCCAGCAGCTCGCCTGAGGGGGGCAGAAGGGGGGGGGATATGAGCCATCGTTAGGTGGGAGGAGGTTTACTGACGGGGTAACTAGTCAGTAGTTGTGATTGATTTATCTTGCGGGACGAGGTGGTGCGGATATGTGGCGAAACTTAAGGGCGAAAGTGTGAGGAAATTCTAATGTTCGACGATGCTATCTAGCATAGAAATAAGAGACGGCAGGGTACCGTATTGCAAAACAACTAGAAATAAATTGAATGTGAATTGAAAAAAATGCATTAAATGTAGTTCAGAGAACAGCAAAATATTAAACGCATGCCGTGTGCAGATTTTTTAAATTAACATCGAGTGTTAGGTCACCAAAATTATAGTTATTCTACCTATTTAATTTGTTAGGATTAAAACAAATGAAAAACGGACGGCACAAAACATTCGTGCAACACATAAATCGCAGTTGGTCAATTATCTGCCACAAGAAAAGCACCCAGAACGACCACAGCAAGCTGTAAATGAGAACGTCAAAGGTGAAAAGCTTACGACATGCTGGGAACGGTCTATCAGCGAAAAGTTCCGAATGCGGGATAACTGAGTCAGCAACAGCTTGCACCACGTCCGGCGCCGCTAGAATTATACTTCTCTGATGATGTTGGCATGTTTGTAACATTTGGTTTATGATATATTTCAGAATTAGGTACCGAAAGAAAGAGGTGAATGCGGATCATATTAGGGAACTACAATCAATTAGTTCCTGAAGACGGTTAGGCAAAGGAATTACTAAGGAGTTATAAACGAAGACATACCGAGGACAACAAACACCCAAACGTCACACCACACAGTACGTCATTTGACGTCACAGCACCCAGAGGCGGACAGCCCACCGACCGGCGACGCGGGACTCCCGTGACGTCATATTGACGTCATCACCAGCTGACTGACCGCGGAACGGGCCGGCGGGCTGAGTACCCCTCTCGGAGGGTTTTAGACCGCTGCGACTGCGGGACCAGCCTACACCGGCCGGTGGTCACAGGCGGCAGGGCACCGGTTAGTCACGAAATTGCTGGATAGAAATTATATATAATGCACGTCTTCGATTTAGAGGAGTTGGTTCGCTATATACATTTTGACTACACTTTATATGGTTTCCTAAAACCAGTATAGCGCCTTTTGGGGCGACTAACGGAGCGAGCGAAGGGGTGAGTCTTGCACGTGCGAAATTTCGAGGGGGTACCTCCAACTGACTTGTGCACGGCACCCTACTGACCGGTTTCTAGCGATAAGCCAAATTTGAGCACAATCGGTCCAGCCGTTCTCGAGATCTGGAAACGACCCCTGCACGTGCGCACGTGCAGCAGCACCCCAACTCTGGCACATGGATATGCAGTGCCTAGTGGGTGCCTACCTTCATGCCAACTTTCAGCGCAATCGGCCAAGTAGTTACCGAGATATTGCAACAATTACAAAACTGACACCTCTTCGTTTTGCACGTGGCACGTGCATAAGGGGTCACCCACATGCATCGGGAATAGTCCAATACTTGGTAGAAGGAATGAAGCTACCCTACAAAAATTACCGCGTGTAAATCGGTCAAGTTGTCGTACTGCGCTGTGGGTAGCGCGTGGCTGGACGGACGGTCTGTGACAACCTATTGATCTGTGGCTGATCTATTAGAGTGTCCGTCCGAGAGCCGTACGACGGCTGACAGAGCCTGGGGGTCGCGAACTGGTGTGGTAACCGTTACGCCCACCTGGGACGCCCGAGTCGGTACGGCACTTGCGGTGTCGTAACCGGATCGACGGGAACCAGCAGAACGCTGTTGGACCGGCGGTGAAAGTCGGAACCGAGCACTCGCCCACCAGTGGGGCGTCTGGTCGAGCAGGTCTACCCGCTAAGGCAGCCTGAGCACGAACCAGTGGCAGGGTCCGATCAATGACCGTGGTCCGACCAGGGTGTCAGCGCAATGGCCAGTCAGAGGCGTCTTTAAGGGCGCGGAAGCCCACCTCGGTCGACTGTGGCCGGTGCAACCTAGTCAGGTCGTTTGTGTGAATCTCCGTGTTCTTCCCTCGCCTCAGAGTAGCCGCTCTTCTCCAAATGCCCGAGCCGTTTTCTATGTGTATTTGTCTTGTAGCGAACAGCAGAGTCGAGAAACGAATTGACAATGTCGCCGAAAACCGCGGTCATATGCTGGCCGTCCCTAGTACTACCAATATGCCCGCAGGCGCGGCGAGAGACAAGCTCAACGTATGAGTCACCGTCCGGCTGCCGGGAGAGCCCCTACCGCGACCTTTGTCCACAGTCATGACGTCACGACAATGGGCTCCTAAACGTACGGGCAGCGGCCGCCTCAGGGGTGCCGCCGTGACCTTTGCACGACACGTTCTATAGCGTATGGCACAGCGGTTACTAGGAAGGTTGAGGCCAGCGGCAGGCCGGTTTACAAATAACAAACAAACTTGACGCGCAATTGACAACAGGTAACAGATTGATTAATAAGGCGGTGACAATATAAATAAAAATGACAACATGAAATGACAAATCGCATAGATGACAAATCGCATAGATGACAAATCGCATAGATGATCTCTACAGTACCCCCTCGCCAGACATGTCGCGGACAAAAGTGACATGGCGATATCTTACCGGAGGTCGTATGACGCGGCCGGAGCGGGTCGTCCGTAGTATCGGCCGAGGCTGCAATGGTGCAGCGTCAGCCCGAGCGACGGCTGCAGGGCGATTAGGTGCGTCACCGTAGATCAGAAGCTCCGGGCCGCTGGGCTCATTGCTGAGCGGTGGCGCGGCCGGCGGGCCGCTGGACTGAGTACCGTGCGGCTGCACAGTCGGCAGGTCAGACTGTCGATGACCGGATTCGTCTGGCGTCTCCAGGAAGGCGGCCTTACACCGGTCGATGCTGATGACCTCCTTTTTCTGTCGACGGTCGATGGTGATGGTTTTGGTGGTCCTTTCGGTAACCGGGAACGGTCCGTCGTATGGAGCGTCCAGCGGGTAGCGGTGACAGTCCCTGCGCACGAAGACGTGTGTCGCCGTCTGGAGTGCCGTCGGGACGTACGTGGCGCGCTGGACCGGACGTGGGAGTGTCGGCCGCACCTGAGACATGGCGCGCTTCAGGTCCTGTACGAAGCCGGCTGGTGATGCTGCTGAGGCTTGGCTGCTGATGAAGAACTCGCCGGGAAGCCGCAGTGAGGAGCCGTACACCAGCTCGGCTGACGTCGCCTGCAGGTCCGCCTTGATGGTGGAGCGTATGCCCAGGAGCACCAGCGGCAGCACGTCCGTCCATGACGTAGCCTGGTGTGCACGGAGGCTGGCCTTCAGCTGGCGATGCAGGCGTTCCACCATACCGTTGCAGGCCGGGTGGTAGGACGTCGTCCGAGTTCGCTGGCAGCCCAGGAATCGCTGTAGCTCCGACCAGAGGGCCGACTCGAACTGGGCACCTCGGTCCGTCGTGATGATGGACGGAACGCCGAATCGGGCGACCCAGTGCTCGAGGAAGGCGCGGGCGACCGTGGTGGTGCGGCTGTCCGGCAGAGGGATGGCTTCTGGCCACCGAGTGAACCGGTCGACGCACGTCAGGAGGTACGAGTGCCCTCTTGACGGAGGCATCGGGCCGACGAGGTCCACGTGGACGTGGTCGAAGCGTTGCTGAGGTGGCTGGAAGGTGCCGACGTCAGACTTGGTGTGCCGGCCGATTTTGCAGCGCTGACAGGCGAGGCAGGTTCGGGTCCAGCGGCGCACGTCGCGATCCATACCGGGCCAGACGAACCGCTTAGAGACGAGCTTGACGGTGGCCTCGACGCCAGGGTGCGACAGGTCGTGCAGAGCCTTGGCGAAGGGCCGGCGCAGCGCCTCCGGGAGGACCGGCCGAGGCGATCCGGTGGACTCGTCGCAGAGCAGACAGAGTCCATCGCCGACCGGGATGTGGCGCAGGCGCAGTGAGGTGTCTGAGGCCTCGAGGTCTTCCAGCGAGCTGTCTTCGGACTGGGCCTTGGCGATGGCAGTGAAGTCGGCGAGCGGGGGTCGCGGCTGGGCCACCATCGAGACCGTGCGTGACAGCGTGTCGGCGACCACGTTGTCCTTGCCAGGCACATGGCGGATGTCAGACACGAACTGGCCGATGTAGTCCAGGTGGCGGACCTCTCGTGGCGAGTAGCGGTCGGACGAGGAGCCGATGGCCGTTACCAGTGGTCGGTGGTCTGTGAAAATGATTGCTGACCGTCCTTCGATGGCGTGCTTGAAGTGCCGGACGGCCAGGTAGATAGCGAGCAGCTCGCGCCCGAACGTGCTGTATTTCTTCTCCGCAGGTTGGAGCGTTTTTGAGAAGAAAGCGAGGGGCTGCCACTCGCCGGCGACGTGCTGCTGGAGGACGGCGCCCACTCCGCAGTCCGAGGCGTCGACGAAGAGGGCGAGCGGCGCGTCCGGGACTTGGTGTGCGAGATGTGTCGCCGTGGCCAGGGCGTCCTTGACGTTCTTGAAATGCTGCCGCGCCGAGTCTGTCCACGTGACAGGCGCTCTCGAGCGTTTTGCCTTGTGGGTGATTAAGGCGTGCAGAGGCTGCAGGAGCTCGGCTGCCTGGGGGATGAAGCGGTGGTAGTAGGCTACCATCCCCAGGAACCTCCGTAGCTGGGACTGAGTGGTCGGTTCCGGGAAGTCTTTGATGGCCTCGACTCGTCCAGGCAGCGGGCGGACGCCGTCGGCGTCTACCGAGTGGCCGAGGAACACCACCTGCTCCTGTCCCAGGACGCACTTGTGCCTGTTGACGACGACGCCGTAGGTGTTGAGGCGCTGAAGCACTTGGTCCAGGAGCTGCAGGTGGTGTTCGGCAGTCGGGCTGGCCAGCAGAATGTCGTCCAGGTAGACGAAGCAGCCCGGTATGCCGCGGAGGACCTCATCCATGAAACGCTGGAAGGTCTGTCCGGCGTTTCTGAGGCCGAACGGCATCCGAACGCATTCGTAGAGGCCGAACGGTGTCGTGATGGCTGTCTTGGGGACGTCGGCAGGTTCCACCGGGATCTGGTGGTACGCCTTCACCAAGTCGATGGTGCTGAAGACGGTGCACCCATGCAGGTCGGCTGAAAAGTCCCGCAGGTACGGCAGTGGGTAGCGGTCTGGTACCGTGCGGGCGTTCAGCGCTCTGTAGTCGCCGCAAGGACGCCACTCGCCGGGTCTCTTCTTTGGCACCATGTGGAGTGGAGTTGTCCAGCTGCTGCTCGACGGTCGAATGATGCCTTGCTGGAGCATCTTGTTGAACTCGGCACGTGCGATTTGAAGGCGCTCCGGCGGGAGGCGTCGTGGCCGCTGGTACACCGGTGGACCCTTGGTGACGATGTGGTGCGTCACGTTGTGCTTCACCGGTGTTGGTCCAGGTTTTGGTGAGGTCACATCCGGGTACCGTGCGAGGACAGCTGCGAAGCGAGCAGCAGCCTGCTCCCGGACGAGACGCACTCCGATGGAGCACAGCCGTGACCGCTCGGCGCTGGCGCAGACGGTGCCGTCCCGCAGGAGACGCTGGTTGGCAACGTCCACGACGAGGTGATGTGCGGCCAGGAAGTCGGTGCCCAAGATGGGTGTGGTGACGTCAGTGACGAAGAATCGATGTTTCAGGCGGTGCTGCTGACTCAAGGTGACGTCCAGCAGGCAGGTGCCGTGCACCGCGATCGGTGAGCCGTTTGCCGCGACGAGCTGCTGGCCGACAGGAGCAGGGGTCAGTGTGGACCCGTTGGGCAGGCAGCGGCGAGGCAGCACGCTGACCTGCGCCCCGGTGTCGACTAGAAATTGCCGGTCCGTCTCCGTGTCCCTCACGAAGAGGAGTGGCGCGGCAGGAGGGGCGCCCGTGCTTTGCGCCATCAGCACGGGGCGCCTCAGTTTTCCGAGGCGATCCAGGAGCACGGCAACTTGCATCGGCGCGCTTGGGCGCCGAATCGCTGGTGGTACCAACACAGCGTGTCGTCGTGCGGCGGCGTTGAAGGACGAGCCGGTGACGGGCGGCGTGACTGGCGAGACGCCTGGCGCGGCCGGGAACGGCTGCGGTCGCGCCGCACGGCGTCCTCGAGTCGTCGGTTGCTGGCCTCCAGGCGCTCCATCTTAGCGACCAGGGAGGCGATGACGGTGTCCAGCGCAGGGGTTGCAGCTGGCGCCGGGGCTGTCACTGCAGCAGCGATGGGCGGTGCCGGCTGTGTGTACGGCTGTGCCGCGATCGCTGATAGCCGTGGGTCGGGTCCGCTAGCTTCCAGGTACCGGTCGGCCGCTTCTGCCAGTGCGTCAAGCGTGCTGTCGGCTGGCAGGAGGGCGAGGGCAGCACGGACGGGCTGCGGTAGCCGTTGTTGAAATAGGGTACGGAAGAGCTCCGTATCAACCGGTGCGTCCCCGGCTGCGGCTAGCTCGTTGCGCATTGAGCGCAACAGCGCCGTCGGCTTCTGATCGCCGAGCTGCTGGCGGCCGAGCAGGGCTTGTAGTCGGTCGGCGCGTGACTGTGCCAGGCGGGCTTGGAGCGCTGCACACAGCACGTCAAAAGACCGGGATGACCGGATGACGTCCTTGACCTGGACGGCGATGTTGGCGGGGAGGTTTGCGACGAGGAGCTTAAACCTCAGCTCGTCGGAGTCGACCCCGCTGACGTCGAAAGCGCACTGCACCTGCAGTAGCCACAGGTCGGGCTCTTCCGGAGAGTATGGTGGTAGCCGGAAGCTAGCCATGGGCCGATGAGTTGACTCGGAGGCTGAAGCTGGAACGCTGGCCGAGTCTTGAGCTGCGGCGCCGGACTGTGCGCTGTCCGCGGGCATGACGAGAGGCTAAGGTCGAACAACGGAGATCACGTCGGGGTCACCAATTGTCGTACTGCGCTGTGGGTAGCGCGTGGCTGGACGGACGGTCTGTGACAACCTATTGATCTGTGGCTGATCTATTAGAGTGTCCGTCCGAGAGCCGTACGACGGCTGACAGAGCCTGGGGGTCGCGAACTGGTGTGGTAACCGTTACGCCCACCTGGGACGCCCGAGTCGGTACGGCACTTGCGGTGTCGTAACCGGATCGGCGGGAACCAGCAGAACGCTGTTGGACCGGCGGTGAAAGTCGGAACCGAGCACTCGCCCACCAGTGGGGCGTCTGGTCGAGCAGGTCTACCCGCTAAGGCAGCCTGAGCACGAACCAGTGGCAGGGTCCGATCAATGACCGTGGTCCGACCAGGGTGTCAGCGCAATGGCCAGTCAGAGGCGTCTTTAAGGGCGCGGAAGCCCACCTCGGTCGACTGTGGCCGGTGCAACCTAGTCAGGTCGTTTGTGTGAATCTCCGTGTTCTTCCCTCGCCTCAGAGTAGCCGCTCTTCTCCAAATGCCCGAGCCGTTTTCTATGTGTATTTGTCTTGTAGCGAACAGCAGAGTCGAGAAACGAATTGACAATGTCGCCGAAAACCGCGGTCATATGCTGGCCGTCCCTAGTACTACCAATATGCCCGCAGGCGCGGCGAGAGACAAGCTCAACGTATGAGTCACCGTCCGGCTGCCGGGAGAGCCCCTACCGCGACCTTTGTCCACAGTCATGACGTCACGACAATGGGCTCCTAAACGTACGGGCAGCGGCCGCCTCAGGGGTGCCGCCGTGACCTTTGCACGACACGTTCTATAGCGTATGGCACAGCGGTTACTAGGAAGGTTGAGGCCAGCGGCAGGCCGGTTTACAAATAACAAACAAACTTGACGCGCAATTGACAACAGGTAACAGATTGATTAATAAGGCGGTGACAATATAAATAAAAATGACAACATGAAATGACAAATCGCATAGATGACAAATCGCATAGATGACAAATCGCATAGATGATCTCTACAAAGTGGTTGCTGAGATATAAGCCTCGCAAAAGCGTCCGCACGGCCGGCCGGCCGGCCGGCCGCTCATACTCAGAAATTTCCGTTAATCTAAGGAAAGACTACGCTCGCTTCGCTCGCTCCGTAATCACTCCATGTATCTCCTTCACTGACGATAAAATACCAGTATAACGCCTTTTGGGGCGACTAACGGAGCGAGCGAGAGGGTGAGCCTTGCACGTGCGAAATTTCGACGGGGTACCTCCAGCTGACTTGTGCACGGCACCCTACTAACCGGTCTCTAGCGATGTGCCAAATTTGAGCACAATCGGCCCAGCCGTTCTCGAGATCTGGAAGCGGCACCCTGCACGTGCGCACGTGCAAAATGGGTTCCAACTGACTTTTGCACGGCACCCTACTAACCGGTCCCTAACCATGTGCCAAATTTGAGCGCCATCGGTCCAGCCGTTCTCGAGATCTGGAATCGACCCCTGCACGTGCGCACGTGCAGCAGCACCCCAATTCTGGCACATGGATATGCATTGCCTAGTGGGTGCCTACCTACATGCCAACTTTCAGCGCAATCGGCCAAGTAGTTACCGAAATATTGCAACAATTACAAAAGTGACACCTCTTCGTTTTGCACGTGGCACGTGCATAAGGGGTCACCCACATGCATCGGGAATAGTCCAATACTTGGTAGAAGGAATGAAGCTACCCTACAAAAATTACCGCGTGTAAATCGGTCAAGTGGTTGCTGAGATATAAGCGTCGCAGAATCGTGACCACGGCCGGCCCGGCCGCTCATACTCAGAAATTTCCGTTAATTAAGGAAAGACTACGCTCGCTTCGCTCGCTCCGTAACAAAGTCCCCGCTTCAATCGTCCCACCCCGTATCCTCCCCCCTCTCCCCATACTCTACCCACCTGCGTCCGCCCTGTCTCCTTTGGTGAAGGGGTACCATTTGAGTGGTGGCGGCTTGGCTTTGCTAGGGTCCAGGTGTACAGTGGGCGTGGCCACGGCACGGCCCAGGAACTCCGGCTCGCCCTGCAGAGGAGAAAGAGAGGGGAGAGAGAAGGGTTAGTCGTAGTTGGGAGATGGGGAGTAAAAATGAACGCAGAATCTGTTTCACCTCGACCTTTTTCACTAATTAATACCTTCCTTTTTAACTTCAGCATTCATTCATTCAACCATTCAATTATTCATTCTCTCCTCTTCATCCTTACTTTATACCTTACTATCTACACCTATCATCTTTCACGCTTTCTCTCCAAATCAACTGACTGTCCTTCCCCCCTCTTCTTTTTTGCATCATCTCCATCTCTTTCTTCCCTCCCTATCTTTACCATCCCTCAACCATTACCATTATTCCATCCTTACTGGAATGATGACTTGTCTCATCAGCTGACTACTCTCCAGAGAGGAAAGAGGAGTCCTTTCTCCCATCCTTCCTCTCCTTCTCTCTCCCCTCCCCCATCTCACTACTCACATAGGCGTCATGGTCGAACACCTCGATGACCACCTGGGGCGGCTGCTCCAGGATGAACATGGGGTCTCCGTGGATGGTGAGGTCGTCGTACAGCAGTGTCTGGTCCCACGTGGGGCACAGCGTCGCCTTGGCCTGCTCCGTGCGCTGCGACACGTTCAGGAACGACACGCACGCGTACGGGTCTGCGGGGGGGGGGGCCTCGAAGTTAGAAAAGTCGAAAGGAGGGCGAAGTTAGAAAAGTATGGCATATCTTTCATTCCATCAGCGGCGCCCGAGTTAACTTTAACTATAATCAAGCCCCTGGTTTTATCTCGCCTGAGAACCGTATCAGCTGACATTCCCCGCTGCCCCGTCACACATGAGAACCTTAGCAGTTTATTCGGACAGGAAAATCTTCAGCTATTTTCATCCCGGGCAGCTCCATTCCCGTCACAAACTGAGAATCTTGTTAAATCCTTAAAAAATGTTGTCTCACCTAAAAACTCTGAGGATGGTTGCATAACCTGAACACTCTGTCATATCTCACCGAAGAACCCTACCCTGTCTCACCTGAGAACCCCGTATCGTCTCACGTGAGAACCCTGTGTTGTCTCACCTGAGAACCATGTCTTGTCTCATCTGAAAACCCTGAGGTGTCTCAACTGAGAACCCTATATCGTCTCACGTGAGCATCCTGTGTTGTCTCACCTGAGAACCCTGTCTTGTCTCAGGTGAGAACGCTATGCAGTCTCACCGAAGAACCCTATCCTGTCTCACCTGAGAACCCTGTCTTGTCTCCGGCGAGCAGGTCTCGCGCCTGGTAGATGTACGCTCTCAGCTGGTACTCCTGGTCCATGGTGTGTACCAGGTACATCTTCGGACAGCTCAGGTGTACCGCTGTACCGTAAGAAGGTAACAGGTCATGTCAGTCAGTGGAGCAACTCATGGGCAAGGATAAGATGGACACCGACAACCAGTTATAGATCAACGGTCAGCTCAAATGTCAAAGGTGAACACTGAACAGAATATATCGGTGGACTAATTTGGCCTACTTACTTTATGCATCTTTATATCGCTATCGCTAATATACATACCGTGAAATTATCAAGCTAACACCGGTTTGATGTTCAGTGGCCAGTCTGTTAAAGAAAGTGAGTCCCAACACCAAAAATAGCATGCCTTACGAAGTAATTGATTATTTTCTAGAAGCATGCAATGGTTAATTGTTATTGAACAGCATTCATTTAGTGCGTTCAGACACCATCGCAACAATCGCAAACTCAGACATGAACTGTTTAGGGTGCTAGCATATCATGCAGTCTATGGCCTAGTATGGTGAATCTCATCAACCTTATCTACTCGGTGGCGTTATAAGCCAACAGCAAGAGCATTTCAAATCCGGCAAAATACCTGATTGGTAAATACTATGCCTTCAAAAACATGCTTGAGGAAAAGCGAAGTGGAGTACGACCTATTAGCGAAAATAAAGAAGTGCAAAGTGACGGTAATACTGTGCAACAGTATTGTACTGCGGTCTGTGTCTATTTACCATACAAAACATTACAGCAGCGTGCAAGGGTTGGATGCGTTAGTACTCACCACTTAAACCGTGCAAAGGCACAACATCTATGAAAACTGCTGGTTGGCATTTCAATTTTGTAGCACTAATTTTCACATAACATCGCTAAAAATAGGTAGGGATAGTTGCCTTGCAAATTCATGAAACCCAGTCTTTACGTCGTACTTTTGTAAACTGTATTATTTACGTCAATATTAGAGCAGTGCGGCTGCCTAGTCTGATGCAGCCTTGATTTTCTTCCTTTTTTCTCCTTAATTTAACCCGTTTCCTTTCATGAAATGTTGTGCCTTTGCGCGGTCGTGAGCTGAAGCGAAGCCATTCGGTCCCAATTCAGCCGACTCCATGCTGAGATACGTAACCGTTACCACCTTCCGAGTCAGGATCCTTCAGGTGGAAGATGGGCAGCTTGGGAACACCCTCAGTGGCCAGCACGAGCTTGCGGTGCCAGCGGCGCCGCCGCACCATGTCCACCTGGCGGGGAGGCGCAGTCAGCTGTCAGTGAGAGTTGAGCGACCGGAAGAAGGTGGGTTTAAATCCAGGAGTATGTAGCGAGGTGTCGATCAGATCAGCCCACATTTTCAAGAGTTGTAGTTTGTCGTAAAGTCTCCTGAAACGTGGCATTAGGTCGATAAATAACAAAAATCCATATATTTATAAAAATGAGCTCGTCTTGGAACGAGTGTTGCATCTCAAGTTTCACGCTACTCACAGCGTGCGCAAGTTGAAGCGCTACCGTATAAAATCCTGCCATAATTGCACCAAGAAGGGATAGCGGAAGATTTTTTCCGAGTGAAGCGGGCTTTAAACCTAAGCTCACTCAGACAAATTGGCCAGTCTCCCCTCCAGTGTTCGCCACGGGCCGGGCCAGCCCAACGGGCCACGGGCCGGGCTGGGCTACGGGCTGGGCCGGGCCCCCAAATATCATTAGTTAATGGGCTATGGACGGGCCGGGCCAAGAGCTTTGTGCACTATGGGTTTTGCGACTAATGTCAATTTAAGAAAATTTGGAAACTGATGCAAACAAAACCCACTGGGAAAATACAAAAACTAAACCAAATTTAAGCAATGTGAAAAAAAACCTACTTGATATTGAATTTTGGGAGTCTTGAGAATTATCCAATATCACATCATGTCACACATAGGAGGGTTTTCATAAAAATTCCGCAACCAAAAAGATCAGAGAATCTCTAGCATCATTAGTTTGTTAATAAAAGTTAAAATGTAGTCATCAGAATAACTTACTTAGCACTACAACTCCAAAAACTAAGAAGCCACTCAACAATGATGGGCTACAGGGCTACATTAAGTTAACACTTATATATGGCGATAGTGAGACAATTCCAACACAGTCTTTTTTCCTTCACCGACGGCTTTTTAACGATCAGAACCTTAAAAGGATACTCACAAAACACACTGTAAGTAACGAGGAACTCTACAGAGTATTTCGCGATGAAAGCTTCTTTAAATGTCCATAAATTTGTCAAAATAAATCACAACAAACCAGCCCCTTCTCAACAAAATGTGCAATCATGGCGGCGGCGCTATGTTTATGTGGCGGCATCTAGGTAGTATACACAACAGTATATCAAATAAATACGTTTTTTAAGTGTGTATCAAGGTGAAAACAAAATTAAACAAATAAAAAATAAAACCAAAATCACGAAGTCTGAAAACTCGAACGAAAAACAAAACAAAAACTTGATCATATATGTTTTATTATACAATTCGTCAGAATCGCTACCTGCCGCAGCTGCGACAATTAAGAAGTGTTCGCTCATTTTCGATTGATGATGATGATGCGTACAAGTCGCAAAAGTACCCAATGACATTTCAAGCTTACCATGTTTTCTGCTTACGCTGCTAGCGATATCCATATCTTGAAAAGAGCCTAACATAAAATAGCAAGGAAAGTAGCAGATAGTTGTCCACAGAGATTCGGTTGACACGTGGGCATGAATTGAAAATAGATTAAATCAGTTTTGCTGATAAATGGATGGATTTTCTCTTTTTTTTGGAAGACAGTGCTAAAGTTAGTGTCACCTATTTTGTATGCTTTCTCAGGCTTTTGATATTGCAGCATCTATGGAGTGAATTTAACAGCAAGGTCAATCCCAGACAGATTCATCAATTCCCATAAGTCAAGCTTTTTTTCTGCTGGTAAGTGCTGGGAAGTATAGAGTATGTTGCAAATACTTCCTTCAAGTATGCATTAGAGTCACCAATTATTAATGATAATGTTCACACACATCAGCTTGCAAGATAACTTTACTCATAGAATGTAGTTAATATAATCATGTAAACTTTTTATAGGTGTGTAATCATGACCTAATTGACTGAGGTGCTTGCTGTTACTGTTAAAATTTGTGCCATAGGTGCTTGAAATGATTATATTCATTGAAAAGAAGGGAGTCATGATTGCCATGTTAATATTCATGCAATTTGAATTGTTCTCAAAATAGTGTAATCAATCATGCTTATTATAGCAATAGACTAAGACAATAACTAGATTGCTATTTTTGACGGGCCGGGCCGGGCTGGGCTTGGAATATTTGCCAAGAGCGGGCTACGGGCTGGGCCGGGCTCTGAACCCATGGGCCCGGGCCGGGCTGGGCTGGGGATTTTGGGGCCCGTGGCGAACACTGCTCCCCTCACCTTCCGTTCCCTAGCGTGGAACTTCATGCCGAACAGCGGAGCGTACTCCCAGCCCTCCTTGTCCGCCACGTTGTCCTAAAACCAAGAGAAAAGATCCGTTAGAAACACAGCATACACACACTGACACGTATCAGCCTGATGGGAGAATCAATAACGTCTATATATTCCCTCTTCATTCCTTCTTTTCAAATTGCAAACAAAATTTTCGAGCGTTCTGTTATACAAACAGCATATAAAAATGTTGATGCGCGCCGCGGTTATTACAAGATTTAATTGTTAAAAATAGCGTTGCAAGGTAAAATCACCACTGATAAAACAAACGAAAATAGCAACCATTTAATCACCCATCCCCCCTACGATCCTCAATTTACGTACCTCGGCGGCCACCTTGTGGACGAGAGTGCGGGGCCGGACCCAGCGCCGGCGGCGGCACAGGTGGTACAGCTTGTCCACCGGTCCGTACCCGCCCAGAGTAGCCTCGACGCAGTACTCCCAGCCCTCCTCGTCCACGGCGCGGTTCAGGTCCACCTGGGGATAAATAAGACAGTGATCAGTAGCCTCTACGCAGTACTACCAGCCCTCCTCGTCCACGGCGCGGTTCAGGTCAACCTGGGGATAACACAGGGGTCAGTAGCCTCTACGCAGTACCCCCTCCTCGTCCACGGCGCGGTTCAGGTCAACCTGGGGTCACAGAGGGGTCAGTAGCCTCTACGCAGTACTCCCAGCCCTCCTCGTCCATGGCGCGGTTCAGGTCAACCTGAGGTCACAGAGGGGTCAGAGGTTTGAGAGGTAAGAAGGAAACGAGGTCAGTTGACAGGCGAGAGGGTAAAAAAAAGTTTTATGTTAGATTAGAATGCAACATGCATGCCTTCTTTTTGTATTGTGTATTTGTTAGACTTGGAGCACCGACAAGAGGCGATGAAATAAAACTAGCGCATAAAAACTGCATACAAATAAAAACGGACAAAAATTGACAAACTGGACGAAAGGGAGGGAGAGAGGAGGCAAGGAGCCGGGAGGGAAAGAGACGGAGAAAAAGAAAAAGAGGCTCATTTTTCCTTGATTTCCATTCATGTTTATTTTTCTGCATTCTCCTCCTCTCACCGTCCAGGCGTCGTTCCACTCCCATCCTCGCGGGGCCGCGATCTCGTCCCTCGGCTGGCTGGGGTCACCTCTGACGTCACTCCACTGGGTCAGGGCCGGCATCCACCCTCCGGCCGGCAGGCGGTTCTCGTTTTCGAACACGTCCTCCAGGAACGTCGACCGGCCGGCGTCCGCTTCGTAAAACAGGCTGCGGCAGTAGACGCACATAACTCGGCGTGAGCTTCGCGCGCCGGCCGCCAGGGGCAGCACTAGTCGGAGGTGTGGTGAATAGAGCTGCCGGATTTATTGGAATGGAGCGCACGGTTGATGTTACGAAAAAGGACTCATCGGTCGAATTTCATAATTTTCCTTGCGTATTAGTCATTGTAGTTGAAATCTCACCTTTTTAATGACACATCAGTAAGTATTAAATACTTTTGACCATTTTGCTGCAGAAATTTGATCGCTAAATCGCACAGAGCTCATGGATTCAATGGCGTCGTAGCAGGGGCATACGGATTTACAGATTCTGGAAAGTATGGTGCGCAGTTTCTATCCGTTTGTTCGCATAGATATGTGCGCTTTATCCAGAAAGAACATAGCCACCCAAGGGGTCGGCAAGTCCGAGTTCCATTAGAGGAATATCGGTCCAATGATATGAAGGTGCCTGGTGCAAAGTGTCGACTATCGGTACTGAATGCCACTGTAGCCTCTACTGCAGGGTTATGTGCAGCTACTGATTGGCGGACCATTGACAGTGTGAACCGGGCCGGCCCGGCGCGGCGTTCGCCTTCATAAGAACGGGTGCTGCCACTAGCTGCCCATACCGCGGTGGTAGTTCGCGGTCCAGCCGCCAGGGGCAGCACTGTCGCGGGCGTGTGTTATGTGAGTCTACTGAAAGGCGGCCCAATGACAGCGTGCTCGACATCAATCAGGGGCGGGCGGCGACCGCGCGTGAGAACACGAACGGATGGGGAACGGCGCGAGTCACGAAGGTGGGGAGTCACGGGAGAGTCGCGGACGGGTCATGGACGGGTCATGCGCTGGAAGAACGAGTCACGGACGGAATAGAGATATGTGGGCACGCCGGCGCGCAATTGAAAGATTGGATTGGAGGAATAATTGCTGTCTGTGGTGATTAACTGATAACAGAAATGAATGATGAATACATACGCCCATTTACGTCGCCTGTTCACTTTCTGCGGTCATCATAGAGCAGTTTTATTCGTTGGTTTTTTCGTTGCTTATGATTATGAGCGCAAAAAAAGTTTCAAAACACCGTTTCATCTTATTCTGAAAAATTGTCTGTGGATCTGTCATAAATTGAGATGTGAACACCGATGGTGTGTCGTGCTACCCGACACACTGTGAAAGACTGACACCGACACTAAGTATAACGATTTTACATTTCGGAATACATCAACGGAGATCAACGCAGAGCAAAATACGCATTACGAACGAATCATCAGACACTAGACACTAGACAGTCGATATCGATTACCGATAGCTGAATATAGACACTGATCTCAAAGACATCAAAGCAGCCCGCCCCCTCCCCCCGTCAAGAGGTCACTGACCTTGGCTCGGGGTCGACGAACCAGTCCCCTGCGAAGCGCCAGCCGTCGGGCGCGCCAAAATTCTCGCGCGGCAGTAGCATGTCTCCTCCCGCGTCCGACCACTTGGGTCGGGTCATCGTGGGACCCTTGGTGACCCAGTGGCCGGCCACGCTCGCCTGGGGGTCAGCAGAGGTCAGAGAAGGTCACCAGAGATGCGAGGCGTCGCTAGCGATCAGAGGAGGCCACCAGAGGATAAATCTTATCTATCGTTACCGAAAGCACGACGTGCAAGATTCCAAAAACGCGTGCCCTAAGGTGTTTCATATTCGTATCAGTGTAGTAATATTTTCCCCGTATTCCCAGCCAGCGCACGTGTCTCTGTATATTTATTTTGTACAATACCGATTTGGTGTAATACCGTTTTCGCAAAATATTGCTTCGATAAAATGTCGCCTTTCGATAAAATGCTATTTCCGTAGAAACAGCATTTCCAAATAACAGATCCCCACTATCGTTACCGTAACTTGTCTTACGATCTTCGCACAATCGCACGCATGGCGATATCCGTACCTGATTTTCGTAGGTCTCGGCGTAGACGACCGTCTCGGCGTCGCGGTGGCCCTCGATCCACGCTTTGGACTCCTGCTCCTTGCCAAGCCAGAGCCGCACGCGCAGCAGCGCCGGGATGCGGCAGCTCTTGTTCTTGGTGCCTGGAAATCATAGATGGGCAAGGGTGTCAGCGACTGATATGACACTGATTAAAGGAGGCTCAATAAAGGGGCTGCATGAAAAATTCACTGGCATATTATACACTAGGTCTCGGAAAGAAATACATAATTGGTTTCGTTGGGCTTAGAGGAATCAAAAACTACGGGGAAAAACTTGAATTATTGATGGAAACTTGACGTAAATTTATTGTCTTTTTAGCGTTCTTTTTCCCTTCCTGGAAAGATGATGGCATGTATCGCAATGCAATTTTGCGAGCAGTGCCTTTACGAGTTACTTACTACTGGTGTCGTTCGTAACCTAAGCAAGCAAAAATCGCCCTTACGACTCACGCCCATCGATAAGGTCCACTCCCCGCCCGCCATACCTGGGAATTTGAGCTGTATGGTCTGCAGGCGGCCGCAGTCGGCGCCACTCTGCCGCTCGTCGCCAGCGAACAGAATCGTGTGCGCCGGGATACGGCAGTAGGCCAGCCGCTTCTTGCCGCTGAGCATCCAGATGATGATGTCCGGCATAGAGTTTTGGGGCTGAGGATAGGAGGAGGGTCATATAGTCATACGATGTTCGTAAGGTCAGGCCAATGATGTTTCATCTGAGATCTGAGATTCAAGTGTAATAAAACGACCAGAAGCAAATATTTGACTGAAGGGTCCAGGAATAAATGAAACTGCCATTTTAATTATTGGTATTTAGTGACGGATAAAACTGTGGATGAGGGAACTTACTGGGGAGCAATTTAAACGTAATCGGAATTTTAAAGTTAATAAATACGAGCCCACAAAGTTAGTCGACTAAAGGGACGGGGTGTCATTTTCAAAACGATCGAAGGTGTCTAACCTTTGCAACACAAATACCAAGAAATGTCAGTTTACCATTCCGGATCACTAGTTAAATCTACGCATCCCCCAAAGCTGAAAATACCTGTCTACCACCTAATAATAGGATACCTTAACGAGCATGTAGAAATAATAAAAAGGGAGCCCGTTAGAGAGAAATCCGAATAAAAAGCTGTTGCAATTTGCCCCTCCGCAAAAAACAACTCACCTCGACGGCCAGGTCCCTCAGCGTGGCGGCGTACATGTCCAGTTGTTCGGCGGCCTCCTCCAGATCAGTGGCCGTCTCCTTCAGCTCCAGCACGCCCTTGATGATGCTGTCCAGCCGCGCGCGCCGCTGGCCGAACAGCAGGTTATCCAGCAGGTTTGTCGACTGCACGTGCAGCTCCGGTGTGGGTAGAGGGATCCTGGGGGTGGAGAGAGAGGGAGGTGACGAGTGGTGGTGAGGGGGTCTCGGTAAGACAAGAGCCGAATCGATACAGGCAAGTTTCCTGTAAAATGAACAAATAGCCAAGATCTTGTTCTAACAACGCACGAAAAAAAAAACTACGTACCAAAAGTTGTATTTCTTATAGCCCTCTGAGCTCTAGTAAATACTGTTCCGTGACCTCGCTCTTGAAACAAAACAAAACACAACAAAACATTCGGTGAGCATTGAGCAATCGTATTTCCTGCAGAATCCACCAAGTTAGAAATCTACGGAAAACCGCACGAATGGAGGTCATATCCTGAGATTCATCCCCATTTTGAGCCATTCTGCGTCGCAGAATCTGCGAACGAGAGTTTGCCACTCTAACTCACCGGCAGTTGCGGAGGAGTTGGTCGCACACTCCGACAAACTCGATGGCCAGCTGCTCCTGGGTTTTTCCCGCCTGGATGCTGGTTCTCAGGAAGGAGAGGCTCTTCTCCAGCGTGCGGGCAGTCTGGAAAGATCGAGAAAAGGAGAAAGGTAGATGGCAAACGGGTGATTACTGGACTGACATCGCGCGTAAAACCTGAGAGTTAGATAATACTTCGCGCTATGACACACAAAACGTAAATGCCAGCTTACGTTACGTACTTAGTTAACAGGTAACAAACTCTGCTGGATGTAACGATGAGCTCTTGCTCACAGATTCCATATCCCCTCCCTCAGGTCCATCTCCCCCGATCCAACAGTCCTCCCCGTGTCCCTATCTAACCATGAGCAGCATGTTGAGCGTATGCAGCCGGTGAGAGATATCCTCCCACTGGCAGTGAACCGTCACACACGGCTTGGCGCCCTTCCACGGCAGGAAATAGTACCTGAGGGGCGCACACGGCGAGTTAAAGCTACAGACTAGTCAGCCAATGGTCATGGGCGAAATCTTCAAAGCGGTTATGGAGCATCACACACGACGAGTCAAAAAAGAGGTGTGCAGAGCCGGGAGATGAGCGGTAAATGAAATTTGCGATTATGGAAGTACGTAATCCGAATGCTTGGAACGAACAATACAACATAAAACCGTACACCTGCGGCTCATAAGTACTAACCAGTAAAACGCCTTTAGGGCGAAGAACGAGCGAGCGAGATAGTGAGCCCTGCACGTGCGGAAAGGCGAGAGGGTACTTCCAACGGGCTTGTGCAAAGCACCTTTCTAACCGGTCGCTAGCGGTGTGCCGAATTTGAACGCAATCAGCCCGGCCGTTCCTGAGATCTGGAAGCGGCATTCTGCACGTGCGCACGTGCAAACGGGGTCCAAACTGACTTTTGCACGGCACCCTACTAACTGGTCCCCAACCGTGTACCAAATTTGAGTGCAATCGGCCCAGCCGTTCTCGAGATCTGGAAGCGCCCCCTGCACGTGCGCACGTGCAGTAGCACCCTAACCGCAACACGTGGGAATGCATTGCCTGGTGGGTGCCTACCTGTATGCCAAGTTTCAGCGAAATCGCCCCAGTAATTACCGAGTTATTAAAATGGGAACAAATTTGACACCTCTTATTGTTGTATTTTGCACGTGCGCTGGGGGTGACCCACATGCATCGAGAGTATCTTATTTTTGGTAGAAGGGATGCTGCTACCCTACAAAAATCACCGCAAGTCAATCGCCCAAGCGGCTGCTGAGATATGAGCCTCTCAAAATCACTACTTTTGCAGGACAGCTTGAACACCCTTGACTTTTCACGTGGCACGTGCCACGACGGTCACTGAGGTGTATCAAAACTAGTCAATTACGGGGTAGAAGGGATGGGGCTACCCAGCAAAAAAGACCGCATGCCAATCGGTCCAGCGGTTGCTGAGATATAAGCCTCTCAAAAGCGTTACAGGCCGGGCCGGGCCGCGTATTCGCCAATAGTATTACACGAATCGGCCCACCAACTAGCGACATCTCTAGTGCGACGTCATAGCCATCCGACGTGACAATCATGCATTGAGGCCAGATTTGAGTTGAGACTTTTTTTAATTGTATATGGCAATTCAATTGACAGTGTGTCGTCGTAGCCGAGTGGTTAGAGTCTCGGTGTGAAGTGCGAAAGATCGATGGATCGATTCCTGCTTTAGCGGTTCTTTTCTAAGAAGTCGGTTTTAGACACGCATTTTCGGCCCCTAGGCCCTAAGTTCGTACGCCAATATCGTACGCCCAATAAATCTATGACAAGTATTCATCTGATTAAGGAATAAGTTGCAAAAGAACTGCAGTTGCAGTCTGTACCTGAAATACCAATTGTGTTGACGGTACTGTCGAATGTCGATACTGTCGATCCCCTGGTGGCAGAAATGTTAAAGTTATAGTTAGGGCATAGCTCCTATAGATGACGCCTTTGACGGCTGGAAGCTGATAATCTCGTCCCCTGATTACGCTAGCAGCTATGCCCAACTTTTTTGTGCATGGTGATTCTTACATGAAAACTATCTAATTGCATGCTAACCAGCGTGCGATTTTTAGCTTAGTTTTCGCTACTTTTAGGTACTTTACCTTGCCAAGTGCCACCTACTTTCAAAAGGTCAGCGCCACCCCTGTCATATCCAGCAGGAGCTGCGTGCTCGGTGCTATCACCCATTGGCAGTGAGAAATATTGATCAATGGTCATCGCCCAGCACCATTTGTCTTTCCATTGGCTACGTTCGCATAGTATGCACTATGCATTAGTGATGTCAATTGTCAATCACAGAAAATCAGAACACCGATACCAAACCAAATTCAAACAAAAACCATTGGAAAATACCGAAACCGAACCAATCGGTTGGACTGCAAATATTTCTCTTAGGTATGCAACATATTCATTTGAAGAATGCTTACCTCTGATTTCTTAGGTGCACGCCGTTGCAAATGTATCCAAAAAAAAAAAAACGCACAATGACAGATAACACGAAAACTGATGTCGCCGAGTGGATTCGAACCACTTACCTTTATATCACCATTCCCATACTCTAACCACTGCGCCACGGCGGCAACACGTATGCGGGAGTTTAAATGTCCTTAACTTAAAACTTAGCTTCAATAGACTCCTCCAAGGGCGAAGACCGAACGTATGACGCCACGCTGACGTCACTCAAGAGGCACGCTATTGGTCGGGCCGATTCGTGTAATGCTATTGGCGAATACGCGGCCGGGCCGGGCCGGGCCGGGCCGCTCATACTGAGATTTTTCCCTTATATTGAAAAGACTCGCTTCGCTCGCTGCGCTCGCTCGCTCGTAAACATTGGGAGCATCCAAGGTTCAACTTTAACTGAAAAAAAAAAACGATTTGATGATACACCGTTCCGTGCCTCTATCCTCAGGATACTGAAATCCTGCTCCTCCACGCCACAACCCCCATTCCGGGCCGGACAGGCATCTTTATCTCATGAGAGCTACTCTCTTGGAACGGCACCGCTGCTCCCGAGGGAGCGCACCCCGTAGCCGGGTGCAAAGAGTGCCTACCTTGGGGCTGGGTGGCCTGTCCTCTGGACGGGCTCAGCCCCGGCGACTCACTAGGGTGCCTGCCCAGACCAATGTCTCCCCCTATATCCTATCATCCTCTCGGCTCTGAAATGGTCTCATTGGACCAAAAGAGCCTAACCCAACAAAACAAACAAACAAATTTGATGATAAAGCCGAGCTTGTTTGTCCACAATCAAAAGATAATCCCCACTTTTTACAGCCCGGTTTGGTAGAAAATACATTAAAAAAATAGAAAATACATTAATAAACATGTTTAACGAATTGACCACGCAAAGAGCGCTATAAATTTTAAATACATATACGTTATTCAAGCATCGTGCTAAGGAGTATAATGATTATTCTTTATCGTTATTCAATTTCGTCCGTTTAAGCGCCGTCGCCGCCGTCCTCACTGGCATCCGTCGAACACAGCGTTGGTTGGCTGGGTGAAGGAAGGACTGGGCATCACAGAGTCCTCGAACTTGTTACCGAAGTTGCCCATCGACACCTCGAACTCTACCGGCTTGTCCACCTGAGGGCAGGAGAGGAAAATTGTGCCGTTATGTGAGTGATGAAATGTGACGTCGTAGATGACGTGAGGTGCGTCAGAAACACTTAAACTTTCGTTCGTCGAGTCATGTGTGAATCAAGAGCGAATTCAGCTGTGCTAACAAGTCGCGTGGGAAAGATTCAGCAACGAAAAATAAAACAGACTCGTGTTTGAAATCATATAGTGACGGTGAGACGAAAACGATGAACTAAATAAGCTGAGCTTCAAGCCATCAGATACATTTTTGCTTCGTTCTTACCTCTGAGACCATGGTGGCGTCCTCGAATGCGCAGTGCACCAGGTACTTCCTTCGCCGGAGATACGACTGAAATAAAAACACGAAAACATTCGTCAGACATCGCCCTTCACCAGCCAAACAGCAGTCATGAAACACAGCTAAGACAGCGCAAACCCAGAACATACAGATGTCGATTTCATGTCGCATTAACCATATGGAGCTGCGATTTTATAGACATAGACAATCATATAAAAACACCACGGAAATACGTACGTCGATTTTGAGTCCCTCCTCAAAGTCGAGCGGCTCGGAGGCCACGTTGGGATACTCGCCGACCGAGGTTCTCAGGGCCACCAGGCACCGGCCGCGGTACGCACACCCCTCGCCCTCGCCTGGGGAGGAGGGGTGGAGCGGGTCAGTGGGGGATCGTGGGGGGGGGGGTGTAGCACTCACTGGCTGATAGTAAGGGAAGAGACATGTGGGGCATGACCCGCATCGTCCTCAAATAGTAATATTGATTTTAATGAAAGGGCCAAGGGGCTATGACAACAGATCCGGTGTCATGACACTGTAGATCTAAGCTCACATAAATTATGGTAGCAAAAATATTCCTCTTTCACATCCCCCAGGCCCCAGCGAACCAATGAGATCACTTCACTGCGTTACCCCCCCCCCCCCCCATCCACACATACAACACACACTTCCCCACGTGCGGCAGCACCGTATCCTACCTTCATCCAGCATGTCCTGATCATCCTTCCCGAACACGCTGAACTCTCGGGTGCTGCCGTAGAAGTTGACGAAGCACGGGCCGAAGGTGGGCAGAAATCCGTCCTCCCCTGCCGCGCTGATGGAGGCGAGGGGGAGGTACGCCGTGCCGATGGAGTCCGAGTCACCCACTCTGTCCCTGTGAGGAGAGAGTGGGGGAGGTTAGAGGGAGTCCGAGTCACCCACTTGAGGGAAGAGGGGTTAGAGCGAGTCCCAGCGGAAAAGAGGGAGTATTGAGGCAGCGCGAGTCACTTACCTGAGCTACCTATGTTCTCCTGGTTATAATGGAGGCATTTATTCATTATTATACGAGACATCAGAAATGAATTCACTATGAGCGTTGTGAGAATATGGGGCATTAAAATCCAGCGCCTCATCTCTAACAGAGGAGGAGAGGGGATGGGATGACACCAGTAGCGGCGGAACACTTTCAATTTAGGGGGGGGGGGGCTGACGACTTTTGATCCCATTCTTTCCATGCAACGCCCATATGGCTAATGTTAAAATGCCAAAATCAAAGGGGGCACGGTGCCCCGGTGCCCTCCCCGTTCCGCCGCCTATGGATGAGACGATTTACAGCGACTTTCCCAGATGCAGTAAGGCAATGACATAATCTAAGAAGAATATAGCATCAATGGATCATGTGATATCTCACTAAATGTCTCACCAGTCCTTGAGCACCAGTTTGAGCTGGTTGGCGAAGGCGGGGAACTGGAAGCCGAGGTAGAGTCGCTGCTTGAACTCGGGGTGGTCCGACTTGTACACCACCTGGCAAAATAAAACACAGCGCACCCACCGGTGGTGTCAGGTTTCAGTGATAATTAAACACTTACCGTGTCTTTATTTTCAGATGAAAAAATATGCAGCGACACAAGTACAGGAGAAAATTGCTACAAAAACTATTGTACTTTTAATTATTCTACAAAAATGGCACGGCACACGGGAAATATTTTTAGAGGGAGCAATTTTGTAGGGCAAAGATTCTGAAAAGGAGGCATCATCTCGATGCAACTTCCCGCGTAATCTTGTCAAGTAAAATATGAAAAACGCAACATTGCCGCTGTCATCGCTGCAGCGTTCTTTAGTCAAACGGTATCATACACGTCCGAAAGCTGAAGCGAATGCAATAGGTAACAGAGATCCCACTACTGAAAACACGTGTGAAAAGCCGTACAGGATCGAAAAAAGAATAATCCAACTCGCCGGAAACCTAAAATTTATGATTGCGGCGACTCCGAGATCCGTGCACTATAATCTCACCGTGGTCTGGACTTCCTTCCCGGCGAAACTGAAGATGAGGAACGGATCGACCAGCTGTTTGCTGGAGGTCTCTCCGAAACCGAGAACCCGCTTCACCGTGCTCATGGCGCCCGTGTCCACTGGGGAAGGCAGAAACGAGAATTATACGGACGAAACAGTCAACCTAACATATTCAAGATACCTACTGTTGGCCAGGATTTTGGCAAAAGGGTCATAACATTCATCAATTGTTACGATAATTGATTATCATTCATCCTAAAAGGGATGAAACCCTGATGTTCGGCAAAAACTCAACGAAAATGAAAAAATACAAATGCATTGTTACTAAATAAGCAACTAAGCCTAAGCAAAGCTGAACACAAATATATCGCCACCTCTCTTGGCTCTTTCCCTCCTCTCTTCAGCTCCCTCCCTCTTTCTTCTCTTCCTCCTCCCTCCCTCCCTCCCTCCCTCACTCCCTCACTCACTCACTCACTCACTCACTCACTCACTTACTCACTCACTCACTCACTCACTCACTCACTCACTCACTCACTCACTCACTCACTCACTCACTCACTCACTCACTCACTCACTCACTCACTCACTCACTCACTCACTCACTCACTCCCCCACCCCTATCACTCACTCCGCGGCAGGTCCTCTGCCTGGAAGACGTTGAGCTCGAAGGCAGCCGGAGAGAGCCGTAGACCGGCCGGGAACAGCAGGTTACTCTCCACATCCTCTTCGCCAGTGTTGCCCGTCACCTTGAGGTCCGGACACTCGTCGTTTGGGCCCATGATGGCGATGCTGACCTTTAGAAAACCTGCCGGGAGAAGTGAGAGGGGTAGGTTAACAGTGTGTAGGTTATCAGGTGTGTAGGAGAAATAAGAGTGAAGGGTTATCTGGCTGTGGATTAGAGGAACGCTGACATCATTTTTTGTAGACCGTAGACAGACGTTTGCTCGTGAAATTTTGCGGGAATAAGAACAAAACTAACAGAAATTACCAATCGAACATGTTGACAGCCACGAGCGATGAATTGCGACATGACTACAAAACCGAGTAACCAATCTCACCCATATCGCCAGTCTAAGTTACAAACCACACCACAACACCACCTAGGTCGAGTTAGCCGAGTTACCACACTCCTCACTAACTCACCTATCTCACTACCATGAGTTACCAAACTCACTAACACAACCCCTGAATTACCATACCCCATTACCTCACGCCCCGAGTGACCAAACTCCTCTCAACTCACCCATGACTCCACTAGAGTCCTCATCCAGTGCGGTCAGTGCCAGCCACTTGTTGACGAAGGCGTGCAGCGGCTGATCGTACACGGCTCCCAGATCCAGTTTAAACACTCCGAGGACCACCTTGGAGCGTAGCATCCGAGAGTTGCATACCTGTGAAAGGATGGGGGGATAGTGTGAGAAGAAGAAGTCATAGCTGTGAGGGGGAAGTGAGGGGGAGGGAAGTTGGAGGCTAGATTTTTTTCAATGAATGAAAGTAAAACGTACATAGACGTATAACGTTCGAGGTAGAAAATGCAGAAAAGTTGAATGCCTGTTTATAATACGAAACTCTCTAGTCTAGTCTTTCTATGCATAGAGCCCGCCCCCATGATACATTAATTGCAATTAATTCCTCTCATTTCACCCCCCCCCCCCCTTTGTTTCAAGCCATCAGCCCTAATGCTGTTCGGTTCTCCTTATTTCCTGTACTTGTTACCCCAAACTTAGTCATATGATCACAAACACTTATCATACGATGACATCACGTACCCAGGTCTGATAATTGATAACCTTTTCCAGCAGTTGATCCCTATTCCGCTCATATCTCAACTTTTCCCGTTCACTCCCTATCCATCTCCCCCCCCCCCTCTCACCCTGAACTCCAGCGTCGTGTCCCACACTTCACTGGGCAGCTTCTTCAGGTAGTAGAAGAATATCTCGTCGAACCACGGGTTACTGGTGGCCTTCTGTACCCGGGTCGACTTGCCGTCATTACCCAGGGAGACGCGACAGGTGGGGTTCAGGTCGCCCCCGATCAGACCACGAGCCTCCACCACCTTGACGCGAATCTGGGGGGGGGGGGAGGAGAGAGATGAGATGAGAGGGCGGAAAGAGGGGTTGGAGAAAGCGGACAATCCGCACAGCAAAATGCGAGCTCGTCATTGTTAGACGAGATAATAACGAAAAATAAATTAACGTGATATTTTAATACGCGATACAGAATTATACATGTACGGCGCTTAAAATAAGACGAGCTTATCAAATACAGGTACTTCACAAGTTAAAATTGAATGCATACCAAAGCGCTAAAGTTTTGGACCATCAACGAAGTCATGGTAAATGAATATAGCAAGAAAAAGAATACAGCTGTGCGTAATTACACAACTGTGATAGGATGACAAAGCCCTCAGAATGATTACCACAGCGTGAATTTTGTTAAAAGTCCACTCTGCCTCACATTTCAATGGTCCTGTTCGTTGTCAACCAGGTCCCCTTTTTGACGTAATTTCCTGGCCCCCCTGTGACGTCATCTCCCGCCCCCTCTACCGTCTCACCTGGAACTTGGTCTCCTTATTGGGCAGCAGGTCCCGGCTGCGGGGCCCGACCCCGAGTCCCTCCAGGGCGGCGCTGTACTCAGCACCCTGGCCAAGCAGAATGTCACCGCTGGAGGTCGTCTGAACGGCCTCGTAACTGTTGAGAGCTGCGGGGAGGGAGGGGAGGTCATTGGAGGGCCAAAATATAGCTGAGGCCATATACATGGACTATGCCTGTAAGGGGACCCGCACTGCTGCCCATCAAATAAAAAAAAAAAAACATGATAATAACGGTGGTCACGATGATATACAAACTTCGTCTCCAGCTCAAAATTCCTTCTAGGCCCCGACCTGAATTTAGGTCTCGCGGTTTCTGTACTCAGACATTGCTGTAGCTTACGAGTTCTTAAATCATATTCCTTTCACTTCTGCCGCAATTTCGTGACCCCTTCCTAGTCTCCCTTCCTTTTCCCGTTATCCTTTATCACTCCGCCTTATGGTACACTCTTCCTTCTCCCTCTGGTTCCCTTTCCTCTCCTGGCCTTTCTAGCCCTCTCCCTCCCCTCCTCCCGTCCCGTCCCGTCCCGTCCCGTCCCGTCCCGTCCCGTCCCACCTTTGGTTCCGCCTCCCCCGGCCACATTAGCGGCCGATTTGCTGCCGGCCGGCGCGGGCTGCGGCGTTCGCGGCGCGGTGTACTCCATCCTGACGCGCAAAACTCCCGTGGTGGGCTGATCACTGCCGTCCACCAGAGGCAGTTCCAGCTCCTGGGAGTTCTGACCGCTGCTCATCAGGTTACGGAGCAGGATGGTGGTCTTGCCGAGAAGTCTGAAATGGAACGGGGGGGGGGGGTAGAAGGGGCGTTGTAGAGGGTTAAATAAGAGAAAGAAGAGTGGTAACGCTGAAGTGATGGATGGAGTTGATCTATCGGCAAGGTTAGCGCTATGCATGGAACACCGTCACAAGAGCTAGGAGCAAACACAATGCATACATCCATTCAGCATGTCTTGTTAAACTACGCATTTATCGTCTAAGTCTGCTTTCATCTATCTCTTACGCCTCTCCTAAAGCTTCATTATCGTCCTCTGACTGCTACTATAATCCTGATTCATCCCATCAGTTCGTGTTCTTTTTTACGTACCTGTTCCTTCCGACGGTGTCATGGTCTTTGACGAGCAGCTCGAGTTTCTCGTCCGGTGAAGGCGGTTTGCCGGTGAGCTCCCATTCGAGTTTCTCGTCCCACTCCGGGTTGAGGTCGCCCTTCTTCACAGAGGTCTTCTGCTTGACACCTGTTAATTGAAGAGGTAATGAAGTGTAAGAAGTGATATGCCAGATTGAGGACGGCTTTGCAAAAGGAAGGGTCAGGGGCCAGGGCATTGTTAAATATTGCAGATCAGCATAAGACTCCTGAGATGAACTGGAACGCAGTGATCATAAGGAATCATAAGGAAGTCACTTGGGTACGATATTTTTCTATTTCGATATCGTTAACCTATTATAGCTAGACATATGGACATTCATTTGCATTTCTGACGCTCAGGCGCGGATACAAGGGGGGGGGGCCATGGGGGCCATGGCCCCCCCTTGGCCGATTTTTTTATTTTTTTCAAAAATAAAATAAAAAGTTAAAAAGCTGAAAAGGGGGCCTCCTGAAAATAAAGTGGCCGAAATCCGATGAGTTTTTTTATAACCTACCCACTTAGTTATTTCTCGTTCGTTCATTTATTTCATAATTCGTTTATTCATGTTGAGATGTTGCCTGAACAGCTAGATAAGCTCAATAGACGCAGTTTTTTTTTGGGGGGGGGGGCCAACAAGTGGGAAGATGGGGCCTCCAACAGGTGGGATTATGGGGGCCTCCTGGTTTCTAATGGCCCCTCCCTTGGAGATTTTCTGGATCCGCCCCTGCTGACGCTCATTGATATCCTCTCACCTTGGAAAACTGTGGTGGGATACGGACACTCGTTTGCATTTGTAACAACCTTGCTGTTATTCTCTCACCTTGAAATACTGTGGTAACATAGGGGTCACTCTTGCCCAGACTCTCGATGTTGGGTAGGTTGGAAGCGTTGACGATATGGGCCCTCAACATGTTGAAGGCTTACACTTTGCCCTGTAAAAAAGCAAATACCGTCACATAATAGCATTCGTTCCAGCAATGTGGCAGCATGATTCATAGGCGTTACAGGTTTGCGATTCACAGACAGGTTTTGCATTTCAGCAAGCAAATACCCGCGCCCGAACTGAGCAAATAGTGACAATGGCACTATTTGCCATTTGAGCACAATCGGCCCAGCCGTTCTCGAGATCTGGGAGCGGCACCCTGCACGAACTAAAACTGTGACAATGGCACGTGTTCGAACCCACATAAAAGCTCCATGACTGACTGCATTCCTGGTTGAAAGTGAATACACGACTTCCATAAAAAAAACATATCGCATATGTGCACTGCCAAAACTGGCATAACATGACAAGACTGAATGGAGTGACCATATTCAAGACCGACGGGAGCATTTAGGGCGGGTGGATGACGCCTTAAAGACCTTACAACCGTCTTCCAGACCCACGCTGTTGCCTCACATTCAAGGTGATTTACGGCAAACAAAATATACATGTGTGCTATACACATAGCACCAGCCAAGGCCACGAAACGGCAATAACATGTATAAGCACACTTTGCACCAGACATCCCACGCCGCAACTCAGCAGCAAAGGATTGTTTGTCAAAATTGTATGCTGGCAAAACGTCCTAAATGCAGGCGCAAGATGAATGATAAGCCAAGATAATGTCTAAGTATAGTAGGGGTTCAGCAGCAATGCGGATTCCGTGCCAATATAGGAAGCACAACCGGCAAGACGAAATCATTAGATAGTTCTCCTTACACACGCCACGGTGAACAAACGTGGCCGGCATTCATCTCACATTTACAAGCATAGGCGGCGGAACAGGGGGGGGGGGGCACCGGGGCACCGTGCTCCCCTTTCATTTTGGCATTTTAACATTAGCCCTATGGGCGTTGCATGGAAAGAATGGGAGTGGGACCAAAAGTCGGCAGTGCCCCCCTCCCCTTAATTGAAGGTGTTCCGCCGCCACTGTTCAAAAGTGCCTTCGTGACCTCCATGTCACAGATATGGGCGTCGCGTGACACTCACAGATAAAAAAAAAAAACACTCAATGTCAGGAAATGTGCTCAGTTTAGATAGCAAAGTTGGAAGGAAAACCTAGCCGCAGCCAAGTTAGGTGAGGTATGGTTTTGAAGGTTACGACAGAAATGTGCAGTGACAGAGGACAGGAAGACAGAAACGGGCGCTGATCTTGTTAGGGTTGAAGGTTGTGGAAACTTGACAGGGAAAATGGTTTCTGGCGGTCAACTTTGTGGACGAGAGAGCTGCGACCCAAGCGATCGCTGAGTTCCCATCGGGCTCGATTTATTTAGATCATACAAATAAATCGAGATAAATAAAATACAAATATCCCATCGGATCAAAACAAAGGCAAATAACTTCATATTCATTGCTTGCAAAATAAAAAAGGGTTGGGGTGTGGCCTTTCACGTTTTTTAACGTGACTTAGCATAGCATAAGGTGTTTGAGAATTGAGGCTAAACAAAACGATTTTACCCGGCTAATCAAGGACAATTGACTGTACTGAAGAAACCGTTTGCGAGGCAAGTGTTCGAAAAAGATCGACACCGTTCTCGAAATGCACGAAGATGTCTATCAACTGATGTCGCTTGGAGCCGTTAGGTGTTAATCTACGATAGTACTTGCATTTCTCATGAAGGTCGAATGCACCAAAGCTGGTTGCGTAAAAGCATCACAGGAACAGCGATGTAACATGTTTATCAAAGGGCTCAATGATAAACCCCTTGACACAAGAACTAATCAAGAGGCGACACTCTTGTTGATTTAACCAACCGATAAGCTATCGATTCATTGATATCCTACAAGCTACAACAGTGTCACTATGTGTATCAAGAGGGTGCGACGTGTAACGTTGGCATCAAAAGGAATAAAATGAACAGCTGCACCACAACATGCAGTACAACTATGCATTGATAGCAATGTATGTATATTGTGAAAAAGAGCGTGTTTATTCGAAGCAGACATCTGATCATTCATGCTTGCTGCAAGACGTTAAAACCCATTGCAATGCACTCCAATCATGTGACTTTACCTGGAAGGGCAGTCTCTCGGAGAATAATTCAGACGCCCGAGGCCATCAAAGGTCGAGGTTGATCACGTGATCCGTGACGTCACGCCCTGAGAGCCGTGCCCGGGATTTCCTGTAACGAATAGAGAACGAATGTCAAGGTCATGGTCCTTAGTCACTGAGCGGATCATTGCTGAGAGTCTGATTAATTCCGCTGACTAAAGTGAAAAACAAACGGGTAGTGTCTTTAGTGAGCAGGAAGTGTCATATGAATAAGGATGCATGTCAATTAATATTAAAATACTACACGTCTTTTTTACTCTCATGATTCGCAGCCAGGCCCTACTTTTAGCACTTCCTTACCGAGTTTCATGCTAATGAAATCCCCGGAAATGGGTAAGCCTGTGACCCTTATCTCGGCCCATTATTCCAAACGCGACTCGGCATGGCCCGTCCCTCCGGATGGGATGAGCCGTATTTCTTAGCCTAAGACAGGATGTAAATTAAAACCAATAAAGCGCTCACGAGTATGGTGCCAGAGAACGCCTGGCGCTCTGCAAGACACAGATCTAATGTCGCATGCATGCCAGGAGTCCACTTCAACACCTGCCCACACACTCAACATAAGCATAAACAATTGTATATTCATCGCCAGATAAGATGAGATCATCCCCAGTGAAGAGCTCTAAGATTTGGGCTAGCCGATGAGGAAATCTTAGAAGGTATCGCAGACAAAATATGTCCCGTGAATCGGGTTGAAATATAGGTATAAGACAGGTCACGAAGTTCCACCTACGATTCGAATAGCTATCACAAATAGAATAGTTATACTAACCGCCCCTCCCCTTCCATAGCAACCCACACTGCACATCCCACTCGGTCCGCACTTGCTGACCCCACCACCCACCAGCTACCCTCAGATGACGTCACCATCAGATGACGTCATCACGGTGATCTCAGCGGGCGCGGATCTGGCGCCGGCGGCGGCAGCGGCGGTTGGCGGCGTTGGTGGGGGGGGGGGGGGGGAGAGGAGAGGGGAGGGGTCGACAGCAAATACCGGGATACGATAGCGACAGAGTCCGAAGTTAAGTGTGTGTGTGTGTGTGCCATGTGGGAGGGTACTTCGTGGCACCGGTGCGATTTCTGAATAGATTCACATTGTTCACACTGCACATAGGAGCTAGAGCAGAAAACGGGAGTGGTTCTGTACATAGGAAGCGACTCGATTAGCTATGATGGAAAAAGGTGGTGTGTTATGTGAACATGAAGAAAAAGTTGTACATCGACCGTCCTACGGATAAGACTTTTTAACTGTTGTGGACGGTGCAAAAACTTCTTTGAATATGTACCTGTTTTCTGTCAACAATACATGAATCTCAACACAACGCTGCTGAATATGTAATATGTATTTTGACATCAAGTCGAATACTATGCAATGAGATCAAATGCCCCAGTGTCAGCCCCACCGTTACACCCAATGTTCAGTGATAACTCAGGGTCGCTGATGCCATTACAAGGCATGGCCGTCAAGACATTTACCTATCCAGCCCAGATACATTTACAGAGCTGTTGTGCAGCCAAGCATAGCAGCGATGTTTTGTGCTAATGGGGTGGCGGAAAAGACTGCATGCCTGGCTGATCGTGGCCGTGAGACACGCGGAACTGGACCTGCTTCCTTACAGCCCAGCGGCCAGCGCGAGGCAAGGTGTTTTACGGACGGCGATGGTAAAATGTTAAAATAAAATCACTATCGGCACTGTCTTATGTAGGTATTTTGCATTATGTGGTCAATGGTCATCGGCAAGTCATGGAGACTGTCAATAGTCATTGTGCTTGAAGACCAGGCAGAGAAAACCAGGCAGGATGTATTGTAACAAAAAAAAAAATCCTTTTCTCACCTCCCAAATGTGCAGTGTTACTGCGGATTAGAATGAGCGCCACAGTATTTATCACAGTCAACACTCTCACAGAGCTAGCACTGCCACCACACAAGAATCCTCACAGTTCGGACCTCTGTGGGAAGCCCTCACAGCCCCGACACTCCCCACCAAGCGCCACCGTCCGTCTACTGGCACGGGGCAGCAGCCGAGGCGGGCCAGACAATCAGCTGTTCCCTCCCACTCCCCCCGTCTCGAGCCGCCCCGCCCCCTCAGCCCGCCGCCCCGCCCCTCCCTAGAGGTTCTGCACGGAATGGAGGTCAGGCCGTGGTGGAGGGAGGGGAGGAGAGGAGGCGTGACCTCGCATGGACCAGGATGTTTGAGTCAGGCATCCTGCCAGATGGTATGGTGAGGCTGCGAAATGTAGAATTTACGGGTATATAATTTATGATTCAGGGACTCCTCTCTCCCTCTCTCCCTCTCCCTCTCCCTCTCCCTCTCCCTCTCCCTCTCCCTCTCTCTCTCTCTCGCTCTCTCTCGCTCTCTCTCGCTCTCTCTCGCTCTCTCTCGCTCTCTCTCGCTCTCTCTCGCTCTCTCTCGCTCTCTCGCTCTCTCTCGCTCTCTCTCGCTCTCTCTCGCTCTCTCTCGCTCTCTCTCGCTCTCTCTCGCTCTCTCTCGCTCTCTCTCGCTCTCTCTCGCTCTCTCTCTCTCTCTCTCTCTCTCCCTCTCTCTCTCTCTCTCTCTCTCTCCCTCTCTCCCTCTCTCTCTCTCTCTCTCTCTCTCTCTCTCTCTCTCTCTCTCTCTCTCTCTCGTCACCAAAGCCTGCAAAATATGGAAATGCTATTCATAACGTAGTGCAGAATAGGCGTGTAAATAGGAAAGAAACAAGTCGCAAAAAACGCAAGCACTGCTGTGTTTAAAAGGACGCCAACCCATTGCCAGGTCATCCTTTATATGACATTAACTTTTCTATAAACCCCAGCAGCCTCCAAACTTGATCATACTTGTCAAAGGTCAACTAGGTTTGTAATGTTCAAAAACGCATATAGGAGGCAGAAAATAAGCACGTACAAAACATAACTCATTTCCGACTCATTTATTTTCTACCAAATGACCACTGGCATTTCCCACGAAAATGAAGCCCATGGTTAACAAAATAAACCTCTGCTAATACAACCCCAATAACTTCGACCAATGCTACACGAAGCGCGATGCCTGGGCTGAGGTCAAATGCAGAATGAACTCCAATCGAAGCTTGATATGGAGCACACCGTACCTATATTTAGGGCTCGTAAAAAATGACAGAACAGCTACACCACTAATGTGACAGTTTGAATCGTTGACACAAAGCGATGGACAAGATGCCGGTGTCGTTACTTCACTGAACCTGTTCGGTATTCAGAAAGCGTATCATCCATGATCAAAACAATGGTCAGACCGGTCGTCCCATTCAGAAAACAAATGATTCGTGTAACAAAGGTGTAAGAAAGGCCCTCTGAATCCAAAGTGCTGCAATTTTGAACTTCAACAATTTCGATTTAAAGCACTTCTCGATTTTTTAAGTGTCGGTAATTGCAAGCCAAGGACCCCAACATGGCATCTCAACTCAAAACTAATGTTAAGGTGGGATGGCCGCTTTAAGTCACAAACATTTACCTCAGTAATTCATTCAACGAATAGCGACATTATAATTCTTACTACAGCTAATGACATCTTGTAGCCCTTACCGCACGCTACTAAACAAAATATAGCCAACGCACGACACCACAGCATGGTGTTTCGTGCAATTATACGGCCTCGACGTCAGCCAGGCCCGTCAGCGAGTCGGCAGTCGAGCCAATCGCCTCTGTCGTGCCGGGCTCAGTTGGGATATCATCCGCAGTACTTGCTACAGCTGTGGTTGGTTCGGTAGTTTCCGGTTCAGTAGTTCCCGAGTCAGTGGTTCCAGCTTCGGTAGCTCCCGATTCAGTGGTTCCTGATTCGGTAGTTCCCGATTCAGTGGTATCCGATTCGGTGGTTCCTCCTTCAGTAGTTTCCGATTCAGTGGTTGCTGCTTCTGAGGTTCCCGGTTCGTTAGTTCCTGCTTCCGTGGTTCCTGATTCGGTAGTTCCCGATTCAGTGACTCCCGATTCAGCAGTCCCCGATTCGGTCGTTCCCGGTACAGTGGTACCCGGTTCGGTGGTACCCGATTCGGTGGTTCCCGGTTCAGTGGTTCCCGGTTCAGTGGTACCCGGTTCGGTGGTACCCGGTTCGGTGGTACCCGATTCGGTGGTTCCCGGTTCAGTGGTTCCCGGTTCAGTGGTACCCGGTTCGGTGGTACCCGATTCGGTGGTACCCGATTCGGTTGTTCCCGCTTCGGTGGTACCCGGTTCGGTCGTACCCGGTTCGGTGGTACCCGATTCGGTTGTTCCCGATTCGGTGGTAATTTCTGCGTCGGTCGGCGGACAGTGGCGACGTCTCGAGCGGCCACCAGATCTTCGGCCCTTCTCCTTCGAGTGCTTCTTCTTCTTCTTCTTTTTGCGTCCCCTGCCGCGGTGGCGTCTCTCTCTGGAGTCCACTGGTTCCTCGTCATCATCCTCACATAGTTCCCGAGATCGACCTCTGCTAGAGGGCTTCTTCTTCTTCTTCCTCTTCTTCTTTTTGCCTTTCTTTTCGCGGGAGTGCCTGCGATGCGGCTCTGGAGCGCGTTTCAATCTCACCAGCGTCATCAGGCCCAGCTCATCATCTTCTTCTTCCTCGCTGTCCAGCAGAACGGCGCCGAAGTCGGTGAGACGACCGCTGAGGTCCGGCAGACGACCGCGGCGGCTCTGCTGCACAGCTCCGCCGCCGCAGCCGTCCGGTACGCCGCCATCGCCGGTCACACACAGAGAGGAGGCAGAGAGAGAGCGTGGTGCTGCTGGTGTCGTCAATACCGTCAGCACCAACACCAGCACCAGCGGCGGCAACATCGCGCCCGGCCCCGCCCGACACCAATGGTGCCGCCAGTTGCCGGTGCCGGTTTATGTATGCGGTAGCACGGAGGCCTGTGCGACCACGTATGTTTGGCCTGCATGATACAGGAATGCAATGTTTCGTTTAAAGTTCAATAAGCAGTCGTAGCCTTTTACTGAGAGCTGGGGCACAGTTTAAGGGGGCCCAAACCAGTGTTCGTCACGGGCCGCAAAATCCCAGTCCAGCCCAGCCCAGGCCCATGGGTTCACAGCCCGGCCCAGCCCGAGCCCATTCATGGTAAAAATGTCAAAGCCCAGCCCGGTCCAGCCCGTCAAAAATGAATGGATTGAATATCATGACACCACACAGGTATTATGTCATCCAAAGCTACCCAAGAAACAAATCTTTTGAGAACATCAATCTTCTCAATGCACATTGCAAAATGCACATATATGCTTTAGGTATTAACTCATTTTTAAGCTTTGCAGAATAATCACTAATAAGCTAGTGAAGTGTGTTTTCTCTCAGTTGCAAACTTCTGGCCCCACTTTACAGTTCTTGGCCCAGCCCATCCACAGCCCATCGATCCGTCATATTTAAGGGCCCAGCCCAGCCCGTAGCCCAGCCCAGCCCATGGCCCATTGGGCTGGCCCGGCCCATGGCGAACACTGGCCCAAACACGTGACCAATTAAGATAAAAGGGTTGCTAGCGTCCTGAAATGGGCTGTTACCAAAGGAAAGTATGTGAATTGCATCCTAAGCGCTCTAAGTCCTAAGCCTTTCAAATCTGATTCACTTTGATTCTGGCAGTGTCCACTGCCTGAAGAGGTTCATGATTCTGGCATATTTTGGCAAGGAGGGCTGGCAGTAGGCGCTGCTCTTCGGCATGAAGTTTCACACTAGGGAGCACAAAGTGAAAATGTTACATTAGTACATTAGTAGACTCATACATTAGAAGACTTTCGATTATTTTAAAGGGAACCTCCCGGCTCCCACCTTCCAAAAAAAAGTTAATGAATTGGCACTTCAGTGCTGTAACATAGTTCAGAATGACCAAAATATTTATCCATCAAATTTCATTTAAACATATTGACCGGTCTTGGGATACAAGACATTTACTTTTGTTTATTTTTCGGAGCCATCGCTGTTCCTACGACGTCATTTGGAAAAGAATAATTTGGTATCAAAGAAGTGCGGCAGATGTTGCGCGCAAAGTAACATAAACCACCACTGCTTAGCGAAGGTGGTATAGCTAGAGCTAGGCTGACGTCAAAAGTTCAGAGGGGGCATTCAAATGCATTAGCCCCTCTGAATCTTAACCCTCGCATGTGTGCGGCGTTTGCCAGCTTCTAATGTGTAGGGGGGGGGGGGTCGGTTGGACCCCCCCCCCTTGCCGTTTGGCCCCTGATTGAGCTAGAGCTTCGCGGAAAAAACGAGCGTGTTGCCCGTGACGAGAGGAAGCCGATGATACCCAATTTTAAGGTCCTAGGTCATTGGTTGACCTTCCAGGTCAGGTCAATGACCCAAAGTCGGGAAAATCGGGACCTGTTAGGAAGTCGTAAAGTGTGGCTGCTAAGGGGTTTTTCGGGGTGCTGATCACGAATATCGTGTTAGTTTTGATCACAGATGATGTCTTTAAGCATTTAGACCAGGTCGGGTCAGGTCAGGTCAGGTCAACCAGTAGGCGTCGTGACGGGTATTCGTAGTACGTGTCAACCGCCTCTGAAAGCTTCGTAACATGTTACGAAGGCACCAAAACTACTTCGTAAATGTTCAAATGGTTGCTAAATTCGAATTCAGCTCCAAAAACTAGCCTAGAAACATGTAAAACTCGAAAAAGTGAACCGAGGTCACCCGAGGTCACCAAAGGTCAATGACCTGACCTGACCTTCAGGTGACCTTGACACCCACCCTAATGTATGGGAGCAATATCAAATCACATGTTTGAACGTTTGAAACCACAAAAAGCTTGCAAACGCGCGGCTAATGCAAGCCGACATACGCGAAATCGCGATTCCGGCCAAACATGGTCTCGGAAAAGAGGTCACAGGTCAAAGGTCATTTGGGTCAGGGTCATGAAATTTTCAGGGTAGGTGTAAAATTGATCAATGCGAGGGTACTGAAAGTTTCGTCGCGATCGGCCGCTTTTTACGCGAGTTATTCGCGAAAAACCATGGGGGGGTCCATCCGACCCCCCCCCCCCTACACATGCGAGGGTTAACCCGCGCCCCGTAGGAGGGTGGGGGGCGAAACGCCCCCGCCCCCTTTCCTTTTCCGTAGATATCTCCTAAACGACTGCAGATATCGCCACCAATCTCTCAGGACCTCTCCGGGCATCAAATTTACACAGTGTGACCAAAAGGACCTATCTAGAGCTGTTCCCTCCCCGCCCCCTTCCGTCTCGAGCCACCCCGCCCCCTTCCGACTTCTGCATAGAACGGAGGTCAAGCTGGGGGGGGGGAGAGGTTGGGTTGGGGCTGGTGGGAGGGGAGGGACGTGACCTCGCATGGACCAGGATGTTTGAGCCAGACATCCTGTCAGATGGTGAGGGAGGCATAAAATGTAAAATACATGGGCAAATATGGACGGCAAATTTGTAGCCGTGCGACTGCTTTCTCGGGGTTCTTAATCAATGCAAAAACTAACTAAACAGCAAAATTTATCCTATCGTGACTAGCAAATATGAAAAATCAACGAATTATGGAGCATGCAAATTATTATCAAGGGCCGGACGCAATAAGCACACTGCAATAAAAACAAGCAGCCAGCCCACTTACTCAGTGCTGGAATTTAGCGCTACAGAAAAAGAAAAATAAGCGGGAGCGCATGGCCAAGTACCTACCATATTTATAAATGATGTCTAAGCACGGCCAGGCGTGCAAATTATGACGTAAGCTTATCACATACGCCTCAGCACCGCTGAGCAAGCCACCAGCCTTATTAGGCAGTCAAATGCCATGGAAATAGGCATGGAACAAACGCAAAGTAAAAATACACACCTAAGAGTTATCAGTGTAACAACATTTTTCAATATATCAAACGATTAATGTAAGAAACTTTTGTGAACATATTCAAATAGATGCATCCAATGCTGCCACGCAAAGCGTGAAAGATGGGATACAACGGAAATGTTCAGGATTTGTGGCAGTCCACGACAGAACAGTTATGACACTAATATGACATCCCAACTCGGTATTACATAGTGATGTAAAAGATTAGGGTGTCGTTCGTTCCATGGAGCTGCTTGCTATTCAGGTAGCGTGCCTGAAATAAAAACCTGATCAAACCAGTCGTTCCATTCAGTAAATAAGTGATCATCAATAGTGAATGGATCAAAAATGCTGCTTCGTGTATAGCTTTTATCTCTAACCGTTTATTTCATGCAATTATGAAGGCATTTGTAAAGGGATTTGCACCAGTAAGCTTCTCAGGCAATATGCGATTCTGACAATTGAAAACGATATCGGGTAGCCTTCGCTGAACACAAGTTCCAATCCAAACCATACAGAGTCGGAAAACTCCAGGTAAACAGCATAAGTCACGTATAAATCTGCCGGAAAATCCCAGACAAACAACAGAAACCACGTGCGAAAGTTTGGCATGCTGCGGTAGCCAAATCCCGGTACACTTAACACACGTCTAACCAAAGCAGATCCCTAGCGCTAGCTTAACCAAACTACCCCCCCCCCCTCATCACGTGTTGATTCATTCCGTGCTACAGGACAAACGGAAGTATGACGTCATGCGTCACGAACCGGTCCACGGAGCGGATGTATGACGTCATTCCACAAACTGGTCTGAGGCATGACGTCACCCTCGCGGAAATAGGAGACCGACTGGTCTGTAGGAATGTAACAATAGAGGCGAAATAAACGCACGCTAGGGCTGTACCGAAAGTGATAACTGAGAACACAGCTATAGAGGTGGACAGAGCAGAGAAACTGAGAGGTGGGAAAGTCAGTACAGCCGAAAAGGCGACAGAAAATTTAGAAACCTTGCAGCGCTTTGCAGCACGCTATAGCAGCGCTATAGATCAATAGATCAAAAACCAAAGGTGTGAACTATGAAGCATACTCAAAGCAGTGAGCATCGAGCACATCCATAGCAAACATTTCATCTTTTTTCATCGGTTGACTCTTCGTCAAAAATACGTACTCGTTTTTAGCCGATCGCATTTGTTTTACTATGATGTGCTGATGGAAGCATTTTTCAGATATCACTGACTAAATCATCGCTGCAGTCTTCATTTATTGTTCCAATATCCACTTGACATCCGAAAAAGCCCCTTAACCAGCCTTGCATCTCTAGGAAGACAGCAAACAATCTCGCCATATGCTTAAGCCAGCGATGCTATATTCCGTGCCACCGTCAAACTTTCGCTGAAGGTCCCCCGCTGGGCCCTCGATGTGAAGCCGTCTCAAAGACCGATGGGAAGTGCTCTGAACAGAGCTCGGTAAAGGCGGTCCGCCCATTCCTCCCTACTCTTCCCGGCGAGCTCTCATACTCTGCCCAACAGAGCGTCTACTGAGCAAACCATGGGCTACTTTCTCCACATTGAAGGTGGGAAGAGAGGAAGGAGAGGAAGGTGAGTGAGAGAGAGAGAGAGAGAGAGAGAGAGAGAGAGAGAGAGAGAGAGAGAGAGAGAGGGAGAGAGAGAGCGCGAGTGAGTGAGAGAGCAGTGGGAGCAACGGAGATTAAATGGGAGTAAACAAAGATAAATACAACGAAAAGCCATTTACCTCAGAAGATAGCCTCACCTATCAAGCGTGTTACAAAAGCAGACGCATCATATGGTGATCGCATTAGTGTCATCTAGACAGGTTTCTGTGATATTTTTGAAGTCACATATTACATTCATCCGGATTATCCTCCCAAAACTATCAGGAGAGCCTGATTCATCGCCCAGTCATTTCATACCCCCCACCCCCCTCCACCGCCCTCCTCTCGGCAGCGCGAGTCATTTCCGATCTGTGGCGGCTGACAGCATCGCAGACACACGGTCACGTGCCTTTGACTGATATGTGACTGATGAGGCTGACTGCTTTATGCTGTGTGTGTGGGTGTTTGTGTACGAGTATT